AGTGTCCAAGAATTTTCAAAAAAAAAATTTGTTATTTTTTCTTATGAAATCGTAGAGAATCTTTTTGTGAAGGTAATAAAACAAAAAGTACGAAATTTGGTGGAAAATTGACGAAATTATGCTCTCGCGAATTTTGATGTGTCAGCGATATTTACGAATCGGCGATTTTGCCGACTTTGACTCCCATTTTAGGCCAATTACATTATTCCAATCAACCAAATTCTTAGCTATTTCACTAGTATTACTTCTATTCTATCGATTGAGCACAAGAAATCGCCAATCAACTGTTTCAACTACAAAATAAAGTGATCGGAAATTGTTAATTTGGCCAATTTAACACAAAGTTCAAAATATTCCAATTTCAAAATAGGGTCCAGAATAAACAATGTAGGTATTCCTGGAACTAAACTAACATTTCCTCTGTTCATTAGTTATGTTTTGAGGCTTTACAAATAAATTCCATTTTGATTTTTTATTCACATAATGAATTTTTATTCACACCAAAAAATAGAAGATTTACTGTTATGCAATACTGTAATAATTGTATAAATATCATCACTATATTTGTGAATGTATATTAGACCCACCAGCTGACGTGTATTAGACGTGTGAGGTCGTTTGTTTACTCTTGAATATCGGCAAAAATTTAACATTTCTGCTACTTTGAGCTTAGTTTCAAGCCATTTCCAGTGCTAAAACCAATCAAAATCATCTCCATTTCTGTAATATGTCTTCCATTCTATCAAATGAGACCAAGAAATCGCAAATACAACTATAAAAAACATACGAAAAAACACTGCAAAGTTGCTGTTTTAATCGAAAAATCATGATTTCATTTTTTTTCTCTCATTATACACAGTGTGCTGCATGATCTGTTTTATGTGGTGCACACATACCACATAGATGTATTCTCTCATATCTAGGCCCAAATGTACCACTCACAGTTTATCAGAGTGAGCTGAGCTCATGGCGTAGATCTACGGTTTGGACCCTGAACGTAAAGCCATAGATCTACGGGACGGACCCTGAAAGGGTTAATATATTTATAGATGGGGTTGTAAGAGAAGTAAATGCGAGGGTCTTGACAAGAGGCGTGGAGTTAAAAGATAAAGAATCACACAAAGTGGGAGTTGTCACAGTTGCTCTTTGCTGATGACACTGTGCTCTTGGGAGATTCTGAAGAGAAGTTGCAGAGATTGGTGGATGAATTTGGTAGGGTGTGCAAAAGAAGAAAATTAAAAGTGAATACAGGAAAGAGTAAGGTTATGAGGATACCAAAAATATTAGGTGATGAAAGATTGGATATCAGATTGGAGGGAGAGAGTATGGAGGAAGTGAATGTATTCAGATATTTGGGAGTGGATGTGTCAGCGGATGGGTCTATGAAGGATGAGGTGAATCATAGAATTGATGAGGGGAAAAGGGTGAGTGGTGCACTTAGGAGTCTGTGGAGACAAAGAACTTTGTCCTTGGAGGCAAAGAGGAGAATGTATGAGAGTATAGTTTTACCAACACTCTTATATGGTTGTGAAGCATGGGTGATGAATGTTGCAGCGAGGAGAAGGCTGGAGGCAGTGGAGATGTCATGTCTGAGGGCAATGTGTGGTGTGAATATAATGCAGAGAATTCGTAGTTTGGAAGTTAGGAGGAGGTGCGGGATTACCAAAACTGTTGTCCAGAGGGCTGAGGAAGGGTTGTTGAGGTGGTTCGGACATGTAGAGAGAATGGAGCGAAACAGAATGACTTCAAGAGTGTATCAGTCTGTAGTGGAAGGAAGGCGGGGTAGGGGTCGGCCTAGGAAAGGTTGGAGGGGGGGGGGGTAAAGGAGGTTTTGTGTGCGAGGGGCTTGGACTTCCAGCAGGCGTGCGTGAGCATGTTTGATAGGAGTGAATGGAGACGAATGGTTTTTAATACTTGACGTGCTGTTGGAGTGTGAGCAAAGTAACATTTATGAAGGGGTTCAGGGAAACCGGCAGGCCGGACTTGAGTCCTGGAGATGGGAAGTACAGTGCCTGCACTCTGAAGGAGGGGTGTTAATGTTGCAGTTTAAAAACTGTAGTGTAAAGCACCCTTCTGGCAAGACAGTGATGGAGTGAATGATGGTGAAAGTTTTTCTTTTTCGGGCCACCCTGCCTTGGTGGGAATCGGCCAGTGTGATAATAAAAAATAAATAATAAATAAAATATATTATAGAAACCAAAAGGAAGGAAGAAGGAAAGGAAGGAAGGAAGAAGGAAAGGAAGGAAGGACGAGATGAAAGGAAAGAAGGAAAACAGTAAGGAAGGAAGGAAAGTAGGAAAGGAATGCAGGAAGATAGGAAGGAAGGAATGATGACACACTATCATTTACCTAGGGTAATGGGGAAGTGGAACAGAATTCTTCCTCCATAAGCCATGAGTATTGTAAGAGGCGATTAAATGCCGGGAGCAAGGGCCTAGTAACCCCTTCTCCTGTATAAATTACTAAATTTAAAGAGAGAAACTTCCGTTTTTCTTTTTGGGCCACCCTGCCTTGGTGGGATACGGCCGGTTTGTTGAAAAAAAAAACTGCCTGCTAATACTTTGAAGAAAACTCCTCAGACGAGGTGTTTTGTCTTTGCACATAAAAAAAAAATGCCCACAAAAATGCAGACACACTGGTTTTATGTGAGAGGAGTGTAAAACACCATTGTGTATGACACCATGTTTCAAAGAGTTCCACAAGCTGCAGAACTTCTAGGAACATGTCCAGTGACTGTACGTTTGTATATGTATTATAAAACAATAGTAATAAACAACTTTTTGTATTGTTTGTGTAAACAAGTTTTGTAAACAATATACAGCAGGGCCCCGCTTTACGGCGTTTCACTTTACAGCGTTCCGCTAATACGGTCATTTCAAATTATGACCAAAACTCGCTATACGGCTCCCCCCATCTGACTTTCTAATACGGTCACCGCGCCCCACCCTGTTTGTTTACATTCTTCGTGAGCTCAGTAAGCACTAAGTCTCTCCATTTTGTCTAGAAACTCCAAAATTTCAAATGTTTTTAAAAGTTATTTCATATTTTATATATACTCTGATAATTATACTTATGTATACCTGTACTTAAATAAACTTACATACTGTGCTGGCATGCAGGTACACATTAAAATCAGTAAGAGTGTCTTACGTCTCCAGACGTCATATTAGTAATGATAATAATAATCATCGAGTCTCATTTAAATGTCGTATATTATGTTAAACACACATTTTCATTAATCCATCTATGATATTTTTTCAAAATTATATAATAAACACGATACATAACATAAAAAGATGATAAATACACCCCACAATAGAATAAATAAACATAAATATGAGATGTGGTAGCCAGATAACTTGTACAAGTGACGGCAAGAATAACATTTTCTCTAATCTAACGTAAGACAAAATGTGTTACTGGGGGTAACTGTAGAAAATTATTCCTTTCGTATGTATGTAAGTAAGTTTATTCAGGTATACACAAATACAGTTACAAAAGGACCCCAATGGAAGTAAGTCACTCTGTCTGACTTTTTTGGGTTATCCTAGGTTCTCTACACATATGCTGCTATGTATGATAATTCTATGTAACTGTATTTGTGTATACCTGAATAAATTTACTTACTTACTTACTTACTTACTAGATTATCATACATAACATATGTGTAGAGAACCTAGGATAACCCAAAAAAGTCAGAGTGACTTATTTCCATTGCCTTTACTCAGAGCTTCATTTCTTCTCAAAATGATGTTACATGAGAATGGGAGTGTTCTTCATTTATTTATTCTACCGTATCAATGTAGAGACAACTTGTACACAATGTAACTTGTACACAAACCAGACGTGTACACTTTGTTTACAAAACTTACCTTCGCCTGGTTTGTTTACATAACTCTGCACCTGTACTCTCTCATGCACTCATTCTTTCTCTCTCTCATTTATTCGTTTTATCTCATTTACTTACTCCTGACCCTACATTAAGACTACAAATATTTTAAGGTAAGTAATGAGTGAACTGTATATACATTTTATCGCTCTGGGATGCTTAAATATCATAGAATAGTATGTGTGGGTGGGGTGGCCTGGTAAGGTAGCCTGGCTGACTACCATACATACCACACTTGATTTCTTACAATAAATACTACTTGTCTCACCCTAGATTAAGACTATAAATATTTTAAGGTAAGTAATGAGTGCACTATGTGTGTATTGTACTTTATTGTTTTTTGATGCCTGGTTCTATTGCTAACTTAATATATGTTAGTGTAAACTTGTTATCTAGTGTTTGTATGCATTTGTAAGTGGAAAAAAAGGGTGTTTCACTTTACGGCGGTTTCCGCTTTATGGCGGTAGCCTGGAACCTAACCAGCCATATAAGTGGGGCCCTACTGTACTAACAATTACATTCGTGAGCTTATTGTGTTGTATACGAGTGTATATATGTACATTGCACCTTACTTTGGACTCTCAGGCCACATAAGTTATGTGAAAAAATAAAATAGTGAAAAAAACAAGAAACCTTTGAATACAAGTGAACCAAAATTTACCGGGTGAGCGGCAGTCACCGCTGTTGCCATACGCGGCTCATTTTCTGCCAACTTCACGCCTCTATATCTCGGCAAGTACTGATGGCAAATTTTTTTTTTTTTTTTTTTTTTGGGGGGGGGGGGGGGACTAAAACAATCAGAAAAATAATCTTAACATTTTAATAAGAATTTTTTTTTTTTTTTTTTTTAATATTTTTCAACACCAGGAGACACTTCAAGATTTGGGGTTTCAATAGTCAAGGGGTTAAATGATCCTCCAGTTGCAACATCTGTTCTGTTGTAGATTCGCCAGTATAATCGCCAGGCCCTGGCATTTTCCAAGAGGTGGCCAAGTCTCGGCTCCCTGTCGAGGGAGCGTCTCAGACCAATGTCTGCCATGGGAGGAGGTAGCTGCAACACCCCCACTCATGCTTCAGATATTTTTATAATGAAATACCAGAAAATACTTACCTGTGATTGTGTGAGACTAACAGCTAGGCCTGTGGTGCCAGCCCATGCTAGACCAGAGATGCCTCCTGAGCCTACTACTGTCTGCAGCAGGGAACCATCTTGAAGAGACCATACATTCACCAGTCCATTTGTGCTTTTCAAACAACCTAAAATATTAAAAGACTTATGAAATAATAACGCTGATAATTCACAAATGGTCTATGGCTTTTTTTTTCACTGAAGAGTAACATTATGCCTCCTGTTTCATTGACTAACCTGTAGCCAGCATAAGACCTGAGAGTGATATATCTAGTGCAGTAACTGAACATTGATGACCACGTAGTTGGAGCAAACAGCGGGGGCTGTGAGACAGAGTCGGTGAACAAATTTCAGGTTGCTCACTGTTATGGAGAAACAACTGCTAGTTATGTTTGTTTAAAACAATTCAAAATATATTTTAAATAGTGAAGGTACATAGTCAACTCTTATGATGCATGGGATATATTGCTGAAAGTTGGTGTCCTATGAAAATTAGCTTTATCACAGTGAAAAAAAAAAAAAAATAGGGTTACATATCAGACACCTTCAAATTTGCTCAAACAATATTGTCTAGTAGACATGACTTGCTCTCACTTAACATGATTGGTGGGAGACTAGGAAGCACTGCTTGTGGCTTACTGAGCAGATTGTGAAAAACTAAGGAAGCCAGTCTAATTAACCCTTTGAGGGTCTGTCCCGTAGTTCTATTGAAGCCAGGGTCCAAGCCGTAGTACTACATCATGAGCTCAGCTCACTCTGATAAGCTGTGAGTGGTAACTTTTGGCCTAGACATGAGAGAATACATATATAGGCTAAGTGTGCATCATATAAAACAAATCCTGCAGCACGCAGTGCATAGTAAGAAAAAAAAGCTGACCGTTTTTGGATTAAAACAGCAACTCTGCGGTGTATTTTCATATAGCTTTTATGGTTGTATTTTCGGTTTCTTGGTCTCATTTGATAGAATGGGGGATATATTACAGAAATAGAGATGATTTTCGAAATAGCTTGAAAATGAGCTCAAAGTAGAGGAAATTCTTGCCGATGTTCAAGAGCAAACAAATCACATCACGCATCCAATATACGTCAGCTGGTGAGGCTAATGTGTGTTTACGAATGCGCTGACATTATTTATACAATCATTACAATATTGCATAAGAGTAAATCTTCTATTTTTTGGTGTGAATAAAAATTCTTTATGTGAATAAAACATCAAAATGGAATTCATCTGTAAAGCCTGGAATCATAACTAATAAACAGAAGAAATGTTATTTTAGTGCCAGGAATGCCTGCAATGTTTATTCTGGACCCTATTTTGAAACTGGAATATTCTGAAATTTGTGTGTAATTGGCCAAATTACCAATTTCCAATCACTTTATTGGGTAATCGAAATAGTTGACTGGGCAATTTCTTGTGCTCAATAGATAAAATGGAATACATACTAGCAAAATAGCTAAGAATGTGGTCTAATGGAACAATGTAATTGGCCGAATATAGGACTCAAAGTGAGCAAAATCACCGATGTGTAAATATCAAAGTTTGCACTTTTTTTTTTTTTTCAACAAACCGGCTGTATCCCACCAAAGCAAGGTGGCCCAAAAAGAAAAACAAAAGTTTTTCTTTTTAAATTTAGTAATTTGCACCTTCAGAAAAAAGATTCTCTACCATTTAATAAGAAAAAATAATTTTTTTTTAAATTCTTGACCCCTGTGGGGAATTTTCAGATTAGGGGTGTGGACCCTCAAAGGGTTATGATCTAATGGTTATATATCCAGTATTGTGCCTTGTTATTCTTAATGGTTATATATTTTTTATTAACACATTGGCCGTTTCCCATCGAGGAAGGGCGACCTGAAAAAGAAGAAACCACTTTCATCATCGCTCACTCCATCACTGTCTTGCCAGACATGCCTACACTACAATTAAACAACTGCAACATATCTCCACCCTTCCTTAAGAGCACAGGCACTGTACTTCCCACTCAAGTTATAGTTAACTATAATTTTTAAAAGGATGGAGGAAAGTAAGCCAGTGGAAGGCCTTGGTCAGATGACCAAAGCTCCAGCTGTGGGCCATCATGTGACTAAGACTAGCATCGGGAAACAAATGTTCCGTTTCTTGACAAACCTTACCTAACCTAATGAAGGTACTACCCAATTTTTTTTTTTAGATTTTCAGTGCATCTAATTAAGGTTACTTTGGGTTATATGTAATCTAGGTGGTATCAACTTAAGAGCTTACTGTACGACCAATATAACAGTAAAAAATAAAGTTACAAAAGTAAAATACCTAACACAAAATAATGTCAAAATCTTAGTGGCAGAAACACAAAACAGAGATGAAAAATTAATCAAAAAAATGTATAAAAGCCACTATTAATCAACTAGAGAAACAGAGGCTTGCCAAAGTGGAATAGAGAATTTGACAAGCTAAATGAGAGACTAAAGATTAAGACATGTGCAATAGTTGGGTATCTTTAATGATGAAATGTTTTGCCTACACAATAGGCTTCTTCAGTCGAATATAGAGGGAGAAGGTGTGGCAGTGAAATAAAGATGATGTAATCAGTCCATCAACCTTGGAGAAAAGCATGTGAGGTGGTCAGTCCCTCAGCTAGAGAAGAATTCAGCTCCATGGTCTGGAATGATACTGTTCCACTATGGAGTAGAAGTCTGATAAACCAACAAATAGTTTGGAGTTTTTGTTGATTGCCTGTTCAGTGAGACTGATGCTACTGCTGTTGGTCTGCACCAGTATGTGACAAGAGGCAGAGAGCCAGGTAAGTGTTACCCATCACTCACATACAGCTCTACATATAACAACTCAATTTTTTATGCTTTACAGTTATTCCTCTGAATTATTTGTAGTTTCTGGAAATTATCAGCGGTACAATTTTCCTAAACATGTAATATTCAAGACAACGGTGGTCATCACCTGCTCTTAGGCTGAGGAACTGATTACCTCATCTTCTACTGTCTGCTGTATATATTTCTAGTCTTTACATTGTGTCCATGTAATGTATTGATAAAGCAACATTGTGTCCATGTAATGTATTGATAAAGCAAACGTGTATCTTTCATTATCTTGTCGGTACTGTATACCACTAATATACAACATTTTTTACAGGGAAAAAAATAATTTTTTCCACAAATTACAAATTACTGAAATCTTAAATGTCATTTTGCCTTTTATAAAAAGCTAATATTGTAATTTTGTTTTTCTTCTAAACCTGACAAGGTGAGATGAACCTTGTTACTGTATTTAAAAGAAAAAATAGAAGCTCTCTTACCTTCCCTCGTACTCCGAAGCCTCTGAAGCAGGAGTCTGAGGTACGACCCAGACTGTTACCAAACCATCCTCGTGGCCAACCACCAGCATGTGTACGCACACTCCTTCACTTACACCACCTAGAAGTACAAATTAAGCAATATCAACAATACTGTAAAAGCAGCATATCGTGTTGCTACAATGAGTGTAGGATGACTATTAGGTTAGCCTGGAGGATTAGTGTTACAAAAAACGCGATTCTAAAAGCTTAGAGATCTCCAGTGAACACTAGAAAGGACTGCCCTTCTAGCATCCAGCCTGTTACTGGGTTTTCGTAACAAGTAGTCAGTATCCTTGTCCAATTATCCATTAGAATTCAATATGATTCAATAGTGCTTCAGGATAACAACTGGTAGGCTACTAACTAGGGAAATTAAAATTTAATAAATTTATTAAGTCTAGAGGTATATTATCAAATTAAATTAAATTAAATTAAATTAAATTAATCACAGTAATCAACATAATATCAATTCTCTCGAGTACAGTATTATTGTGCTGAAAGCACATATCACATTTATAATTCTTAAGTACCATCTGGTACATTAACATTTAATAAGATATTACAAATATGTACAAGTAAGTTTGTGTATGTGTGTAAGTGCTCTAAGTAGTTCGCTATGTCTCACGACTCGACTAGACTTAAACAAGTGACTGACAAAGTCCTCACATAAACTAACTTCTTGACCGACTGGCAACCAGAACAGTCTGCTTGAACAATAAAAAGAATGCTAAGCCCAATAGCAATACAACAAGCAACTGCGACACAGAATCAGGAACAAGGAGATAATATAACGACACTAAGTAGGGACCATCTGTAGATCCTCCACAAAAGTCACAAAACTCCTATACTACTGAATCTAAGTTCAGCATAAGAAAATCCCCGACTGTGATAATACACAGAAACCAGTACAAATTAGGTGAGAAGCTACAGCTCAGGACCTGAGATGTTTCGAGTCTATGTGACACACAACCTCAGTACAACGTCGAAAATCACTAAGTCTATACAAGGTTCTGTGAACAGAGTTCTACAGAACTAACAAGAATAATGAGACAGACAATCTGTCCGACCACCAAGAGAGTCTAGAGCAGACTGAATACTTCACGCGAGGCGAGGACACCCTCCCTCGATCACGTGATAGCTCCGTGGACAACTGCAGCTCAGAAGCCGGCAGTCTAACGAGCAAAGAGCGATAATTACAGTAGTTAGACAATCAAGACTTGAACTGAGCACATAATATGTTACATCCTACCAACGTAAGTCAAATAACAATATAAAGCAATACATTTACGATTTAGCTATTATCGCAAATATAAGCAATATAAAATTATATGAAAAGGTAATATACATTATATATATACATAATAATCATTGCAACCCATTCAGGGGTTGCAACAATTAGTAACTTAGGGTAACAAAAAACAAAAAAAAATACTTACATCCAGTGGGTCATTTGTTTCATGTCCACAGGATATCACTTACAGCAGTCGCCCAACACCCATGTACCTACTTACTGCTGAGGGAACAGGGATAACAGGTGTGTAAGGAAACATGACCAATGTCTCACCCTCTCTGGGATCAAGCCCAGGTCCCTCAGTTATGTGCCACTACCACTCAGCCACTGACAAAATATCCAATACAAACCCTGATAAACTCTAAACTCATCCTAGTGATGCTCATGCTCCTTCCAAGTAAAATAAAAACAAATATCAGCAACAGCAGCAGTAGATAAAATGTTGTAATCGTTTCAAAGAATAAGTCGCAACAAAACATTAGATTACTACATGAAGACTGTCTCAAAGACCCAGGTCAGAAGTCACCTGCCTTGTTTCCTGATGAACAAGCCACTACCACTACTACCACCACCATTACATACTACGATGGTGAAAAAGACAATTGCAATGGAGACCTTCATTTGCACAAGGTTTCATGCAATATTGCATAAAATATTGCACAGAGCAAATTGTCTTTCACCAACCATCTGCATCCTGCTACCAATTCCATTCACTAAGATATCGAACAGGGAACAAAAGGGTACACAAACTACTTAAAATACAAACTCAATAGCATAAATATACAATATAATGGAGGGATAAGTTAAATATAACTAAGAAAACCTATATTACCATTCTTACTTATAACTGGAGACCATTTAACTGATGAAGGTAAAGACTTGTAATCTAAGGAATACACTGGTGTCCAGCCATTTGCTGTTTGTGCCCAGACTTTGGTTCCACCTTCACCACAAGATGCCAGTAAGCAACAGTTGCTGCTCCACTCCAGACACTGAACTGGACCCTGCAATATAAAGCAACTATTAAAATCGAGGAAAACTCCTGTGGAGTGTAAAATGTTTATCTTGTACTCAGTGGACGGAGGATTGAACCTCCATCGCTTGCTGTGTTGAAGATTTACTTGGCTTTATCGTTACAAATTGATAATAAAAAAGATATTAAATATTATGTAAAGCACTTTTTATTCACTCTAAAATGCTCGAGAGTTAATATGCAAGTAAAACAAATTCCTATGCACCTCAAAAATTAAAAGAAAGATATGATAAAATGGTAATACTACTTTGAATATCTACTGTATAATATTTATTATTTATTAGCTTGAATATCTTTGGGCCTGTGGATATTATTCTTTCTTTAGAGGATGAACTGAAAAGGATCTATTTAATATTCAAAATAATTAAAAGTCAACATATAAATAAAGCAATTTTCAATTATCGACCCTGAGAAACAAGGTTTGCTTCAGTATAAACAGCCAGATGAAAAATTAGAAAGAAATTGAGAGAGATGAATTAAAAGGCTAATTCACAGAAGAAAATATTTACCAACTCACAGAAATCAGAGAACTTTTGTAACAAGTCATTGGCTACAGTGGCTGACCAGAGAAAGGAAATGCAATTTGTGGTTATTAATGTTTTTCTTATTAAACTGGACTCTCTCTACATCAAAGCAAACTTTAAAAATAATGAATCTCTACCCACATAACCACCCAAAGCAAATGAACAGAATACTGTATGAGAAAAAGACTGAGGAACACAGAAAATATTTAAAATTCCAATGATCGCACCTCTGAAGACCCACCAGGAAGCAGAAACTATCATGGTGCCTGGTCATAAGGAGGTCCAGGCAGTGTCTTCTCTCTGATAGGGGCTTATAAAACACCAGCATGACTTCAGGAATGGGAAGTCTTGCCTTACAAGTGTTACAGAGGTTTACAACAGGTTAATGATTGTCATACAGCATATTACTAATAGGTAAGGCAGCCTCAGATACAGTGTCACACAGAAAACTAGAGAACAAACTAAACACACAGGCTGAGGTAACAGGCAGGCTACTTCCATGGATTAAGGAATAATTAAATAGAAAGTGATAATAAGTTGCATTAAGAGTTGAAGTGTCAGAATGGACAAGTGTAACAAGTTTTCCTTTTGAAATGTATCAGTCTCCATACAGCATAATTTCTAGGGTTTATCAATGTTTGTCTCCATGGGGAAGCAGAGAAGAATTTTTCCTCCATAAGCCGTGAGTGTCCTAAGAGGTAACTAAAATGCCGGGAGCAAGGGGCGGCTAGTATCCCTTCTGTACAAATTACTAAATGTAAAAAGAAGAAAAACTTTTGTTTCTCCATTACTAGGTCACCCTGGCTTGGTGAGAGATGGCCTAGGAACTATAGTTCCCCTAATCTCTAAACTTAATCAAAATAATTGTATAGTTTGAAAACCATAACTTCATTATTATTTTTTTTTTTCTTTTTAACAAGTTGGCCATCTCCCACCCAGGCAGGGTGACCTAAAAAGAAAGAAAATCCCCAAAAAGAAAATACTTTCATCATCATTCAACACCTTCACCTCACTCACACATAATCACTGTTTTTGCAGAGGTGCCCAGAATACAACAGTTAAGAAGTCTTTCTTTCTTTCAACGCACCAGCCGTATCCCACCGAGGCGGGGTGGCCCAAAAGGAAAAACGAAAGTTTCTCCTTTTACATTTAGTAATATATACAGGAGAAGGGGTTACTAGCCCCTTGCTCCCGGCATTTTAGTCGCCTCTTACAACACGCATGGCTTACGGAGGAAGAATTCTGTTCCACTTCCCCATGGAGGTAAGAGGAAATAAACAAGAACAAGAACTAGTAAGAAAATAGAAGAAAACCCAGAAGGGTGTGTGTGTATATATATGCTTGTACATGTATGTGTAGTGTGACCTAAGTGTAAGTAGAAGTAGCAAGATGTACCTGAAACCTTGCATGTTTATGAGACATAAAAATGGACACCAGCAATCCTACCATCATGTAAAACAATTACAGGCTTTCGTTTTACACTCACTTGGCAGGACGGTAGTACCTCCCTGGGCTGTTGCTGTCTACCAACCTACTACCTAGAACAGTTTAGAAGTATATACGTATAAAAATACACAATATATCCCTCCAAACTGCCAATATCCCAAACACCACCTTTAGAGTGCAGGCATTGTACTCCCCATTTCCAGGACTCAAGTCCGGTTATATAAAATAACCGGTTTCCCTGAATCCCTTCACTAAATATTACCCTGCTCACACTCCAACAGCTCAATATAAAATTACAAGAGGTTCAATATAAAGTCCTGTCTTAAAACCCATGATAAACATTTAGATCACCACCCTGGAGAGTGAGTCTCACTCACCTGTTGTGTGTAAATTATGATACTGTCCAGAGTCCTAACCTCACTTACCTGTTGTACTCTGAGGGTGACGCTGTCCAGATCAGTGTTGACAAAACAAACACGAACAATTCCATCACTGAAGCCCACAGCCAGCTCCTTGTCTTGGTCTTGCCAGGCCATGCAACTTACATACACTGCATGGAAAGAATATGCTCAGTATATAGCACCAACCACTAAATACAATACAAACCCTGCTTATTAAACTGTCACTATCTATAATGCCTAAATTTATTGTTTGTACATCTTTTATGCCCTTTTACACTATAAGCAAATAATAATTATTGACACTAGTCTTCAGTTAGGTTTAAGCTTACTCGAAATGCTCTGCATATCCATGGGCTTTCTGCATGCACAACCAAATGTACAAACATTGTAATATATAGAAGTTCTCGAGTTTCACAAATTAGCCAAAACATTTAAGTGTATGGTGTCCAATTTTTTCTGCAAAACGTACAGACAACTTACAAATGCTGTATAGCCCCAACTGTTTTGGGAAGGCAAGAAAGCCCCAATAAAATTTTAATTTTACTGGCAGCTTATATTTATGACAGCCGGACTCGAGTCCTGGAGGTGGGAAGTACAGTACTTGTACTCTAAAGGAGGGGCTTAGGATATCTGCTGTTAAGAGGGGCATCTAAATTGTCATATCCCTGCGTCTCTGGCAAGACAGTGGTAGTGTGAATGATAGTGAAACTGTTTCTGTTTTGGGTCACCCTGCCTTGGTGGGAGACGGACAGTAGGTTAAAAAGAAAAATTCCAATAGTATACAACTCCACGTGTCATTCCTAAACAGGATAGGCACACAAGTAAGATTCACCAGTCTGTAGCTGCTGCTTGAACTGTCAGCATCTCCTCCACACTGCAGAGTTAAACTTATGAAGGCTTCATTTATGATTGCTCTTGGAGGTGGTAAGTACAGTGCCAGTCAGCCGTCTCTCAATGAGGCAGAGTGACCCAAAACAGAAACACTTTCACCATCATTCACACATGATCACTGTCTTTTATTTCATTAAAATACATAAAGGTAACATTGGATGGCTCAAATTTGTAAGGCTACGGTTTCAAGAAAACATAACATTGCATATTCTAAGGAAAGCCCATCGTTACGCAAAACATTTCAGGCATGTGTCATAATGCTGTAATGTGATTTTTTTTTTCAATTCTTCATTGGCAGTGACGGAAACCAACACTACTGAAGGAGAAGTGGGAATGTTACAGTTAGGAAGGTCATTTGAACAGCAATGTAGCATACTTCTGACAAGACAGATACTAAATGAATAAGAGTACAGTGGAACCTCAAAAATCAAACTGCTCCCAACACGACCAATTATGTAAGTGTATTTTTATAACTGCTTTTATAAGTGTATTTTTGAGGGTCTGAAATGGACTAATCTAATTTACATTATTCCTGATGGGAATAAATTCATTCGGTAAAGGCGCTCGAACAGCCTTCTGGACCGAAGAAAGTTCGATATTTGAGGTTCCACTGTACATGCTTTTTGAGTTCACTCTACCTCAGTGGAAGATGGCCGGTGTGTTTAAAAAAATTAAATGTCCAGAATAAAGATTAAAACAATCTTCCTTACTGTGATGATTACAATACATTGAATACCAAAACATAAAAAATTGGACAAAACACTTTTTCTTTGCCAAACTATCAGTTTAAAACTGGATTATTACAATAAACCTGGGGAAAGTATTGCAAAGGTAGGGCTTATAAAGTGATGTGATCAAGGAAGCAAAGTTAACTCCAATTCCTTGAATAAAGAGCTATTCACAACCATCAAGGAACCCTTGGAAGGGGTGTAAAAATCCAAACTAAGGATCATAATAAACAGCAAAAAAGACATTAATAAATCCTGAGTATGAAAGTGACTTCAGCACTAACAAGGCAATTATTATAGTTATTTTAATCACAGGAAATGCCAAACCCATAGGAGTCATATAGTGCCTAGGAAATGGGACACAATCAGGATCCATCCAAGATGTGCCTTGATGCCAGTGAGGGGCTCTTGATCCAAGTCATTGGATCAAGAACCCTTCACTGGCATCAAGGCATCTCTTTCAAGGGATCCAACAAGTCAAATTCCCAAGAAAGTTGAACTGCCATAATTTTTTTTATTGTTAATTTATCATAATATTATTTAACATTAATGCAATGCCGTACATAAATTTTGATTTTCATACTGACCTTTTTGACAGAGTTAGTGTGAATGATGGTGACAGTATTTCTTTTTTGGGTCATCCTGCTTTGATGGGAGACAGCCAGTGCATTAACCCTTAAACTGTCCAAACGTAGATCTACATTTTTTTCAACATTTGAAAGTATGTAACAAAACGTAGAACTTTTTTTTTTTTATATTTGAAAGCGTGTAAAAATAACTTTGATCTACTTTTTTTTTTTGTTATACAGTGGTCCCTTGAAAATCGTCGGGCTCGATAGTCATCCTTTTCGGAAAGCGTTGCATTATTTTCGTCCAAACATTGGCTCACAAATGGTCAGTTGACTCACTAATCGTCATTCGTCCTGGACGCGTACTCACAGCTCTGAGCCGCCTTGGCCTCCCTTCCCAGCCAGTGTGCTATTGTTTACCAGTGAGCGACAGTTCCCCTCACTTGTTCATATGAAATATTTCATAATAGTATTCCATTCATTTTAGTGCTTGCAAGTGCTAAATAAGCTACCATGGCTCCAAAGAAAGCTCCTAGTGCCAAGCCTTTGGTAAAGAAGGCGAGAAATACGACTGAATTTAAGAAAAACATCATTGAACAATATGAAAGTGGCGTACGTGTGGCCAAACTGGCCAGGATGTACAGTGGTCCCTCAATAATCGTCCATAATCCGTTCCTGGAAGTGGGACTATTATCGAAATGGACGATTTTCGAATCAATTTTCCCCATAAGAAATAATGTAAAACCAATTAATTCGTTCCAGACACCCAGAAGTATCAACAACAATTTTTTTTTTACCTAAAAGATAGATTTACATGCACAAAAGAATGAACATTCAACATGACAGTTACCTTTATTGAAGGCTGTTGTTGATGAATGGAAGACAGGGAGGAGGAGAGAGGGAAGAGAGGTTACTGTTTGGAAGGGGAATTCCCCTCCATAAGGACTCTAGGACACTAATAAAACGTATAAATGAACATTGGTAATAGGGGTAGTTGATGAGTGGAATGGTCTGCCTAGTAGGGTGATCGAAGCTAAAACACTGGGTAGTTTCAAATTTAGGTTGGATAAATACACGAGTGAGAGGGGTTGGATTTGAGTCGGACTTGCACCTGAGTTTATTGCTTGGGTAGCATTTGTTCTGTTAGTGGGTTGGATTTGTGAATGACCGGCCTAGTATGGGCCAGCAGGCCTGTTCCAGTGTTCCTACTTTCTTAAGTTCTTATTTAACATCACACTTACCAGTAGGGTGATCGAGGCTAATACCTTGGGTAGCTTTAAGAAGAGATTGGACAAATATATGAGTTGGAGGAGCTGAGTTTGATTTGTGTCATTGGGTACGGGAGTAAATTCTTGGGTAGCTTTGGGTGGAGGTCATTTTGATAAGGACCTGCCTTGTATGGGCCAGTAGACCTGCAGTGTTCTTCCACTATGTTCTTATTGGCTATTTGCTTGTGTGAAGGAGGGATGGCAAGTTTATTGTTGGAGAATATGACACTAACATCAACTCTATGGCTTATTTATCTATCACAATTCAACTAATATGACATAATAAACGATATTAATAACATAGAAACATGGAATATACTCTAGAATGAATAAAATAAGTCATTACGTATGTCACGAGAGGTGTTGTGTTGTGTTGTTGTTGGGTATATAAGGGCCACTGAGTGTAAGCCGTCCATAATGGTGGTGAAACAGCAGCTGAGGCGGCGGTGGTTTTTGTAGCCCTATATAACTCATCTTCTGTACATAGTTCTCCTGTCTTCAAGTTATGTCCTGGAATTTGTATTATAAAGCCACTGGATGGCGAAACGTCTACAATAAAGATACCCAGATGTTGCACATGTGTCTCAATTTCAACTCCAACAACATTGGAGGAGTTGGTAGAATTACTGAATCACTAAAGAAGGAACCCTCTACCACCATCACTACTACCTTTTACCACCATCACTACCACCAAAGAAAGCTTCTAGTGCCAGCCCTTTGGTAAAGAATGTGAGAAACACATAATTTATGAAAAAGTTTGTAGAAAAATACAAAGATGGTGGTGGTAGAGTGGAAGCAGTTGTTATAGTGGTTGATGAACATAAGAACACAAGACAGGAGGATCACTGCAGCAGGCCTGTTGACCCATGCTCGGCAGGTCCTTTACAATTCATCCCAATAACGAAACATTTTCCCAACCCAGTCCTCAATGCTACCCAAGAAATAAGCTCTGATAACTCTATCCACCCATTTGGGACTTGCAAATGAGTGGATAGGGTTATCAGAGCTTATCTCTTGGGAAGCATTGAGGACTGGGTTGGGAAAATGTTTCGTTAGTGGGATGAATTGTAAAGGACCTGCCGAGCACGGGCCAACAGGCCTGCTGCAATGATCCTCCTTTCTTATGTTCATCAACCACTATCACAACTGCTTCCACTCTACCACCACCATCTTTGTATTTTTCTACAAACTTTTTCATAAATTTTGTGTTTCTCACATTCTTTACCAAAGGGCTGGCACTAGAAGCTTTATTTGGAGCCATGGTAGCTTATTTAGCACTTGCAAGCACTAAAATCAATGAAATATTATGAAATATTTCGTAGGAGCATGTGAGGGGACCATCACTCACTGGTAAACAATGGCACACTGGCTGGGAAGGAAAGGCCGAGGCGGCTCAGAGCGTGAGTACGCGTCCGGGACGAAGGACTATTAGGACTATTAGCGAGTTACCGGACCATTTGCGAGCCAATATTTTGATGAAAAAACTGGACTATTTCCGAAATGGACGACTTTCAGGCCGGAGGATTATTGAGGGACCACTGTATAACAAACCCCATAAACCATATCTTCCATCGTGGCAAAGAAAAAGGAAATCAAGGAAGCCGTTGTTGCTTGGAGAAAATTGTAGCCAGATTGTGTCCACAAGGGATTTTGAAGGGTTTGTGGCTGACCCTGATGAGCCTGTCAGTTGTGGCATTGCGGAGTTCCATGGGGTTGGATGTGGGTTTGGAGGATGTGGAAGCTGGTGGAGGACCACAATGAAGAGCTAACCACTGAGGAGCTGCAAGAGCTTCAGCAGGAACAGCAACAGATCGCAGCTCAGAATCTTGCTGCAGAGGAGGAGGAAGAGTGATGAAAGAAGGTGACTTCTTCAGAAATTAAGGAGGTTTTTGAAATGTGGGGTAGGATGGAAAGATTTATGGAGAAACATCACCCTGAGAAAGATGTTGCAAGCCACATCGGTAACTTGTACAGTGATAGTCTTGGCCCATTTTAGGGAAGTTTTAAAGAGACACCAGAAACAGAGCTCTATGGACACTTTTCTTGCTAGACAGGAGTCCAGTGACTCTCAAGCTGGTCCTAGTGGCATTAAGAAACAGAGAAGTATGTAACCCCAGAAAAGGACTTGTTACCTGATCTGTTGATAGAAGGGGATTCCCCTTCCAAAGTGTAACTAATCCAATCTCTCTCCTCCTCCAGTCTTCCATACACTAAGAATAATTGCCAATAAAGGTAAGTATTATGCTGTTAATGTTTCATTCATCATATGCCATTGTATTGTTTATGTACTACATCTATATTTCATGTAAAAAAATGTTTTAATACTTCTGGGTGTCAGGAATGGATTAATTGTATTTACATTATTTCTTATGGGGAAAATTGATTCGAAAATCTACTATTTCGATATTCGTCGCACTTCTGGGAACGGATTAACGATGATAAACGAGGAACCACTGTATTTGAAAATATGTAAAAAAACATAGATCCACTTTTGGAGCACTATGCATGTGAACGTAGATCTACTTTTGGACAATTTAAGGGTTAAAAGGAAAAAAAAATATTTTGCAGAAAGATTCTTGCAGAATAGGCAAGAAATAGGCTTCAGGGGGATGAGCCCAATGGAAATAGGTCACTTTGACTTTTTAGGTTATCCTAGGTAATTTACACTATGTATGATATTTGTACTTACGTGTACCTGTGCATAAATAAATGTCTCTATTTACTTATCCCCAAACAATTATTAGATGGCAGATTAAAAGAGAAGGTACATACCATCTTGTCTTCCAGCATGCATGATGGTGGAGGGCACAACACCAGTAGTGGTAATGGCTGCTAGTGTCACCGAACCATCGTGGTGTCCAATGACCACACAATCACACATGCCCTGGGCTGCTGCTTCCAGGCAAGTTATTATGCTGTTACCCGACCACGTTCCGATGCTTCCACCTGCCGGAAACATAACAGCACACTTGGTGTACCGCTTAATTATTTTTTTTAACATGCTGGCCATCTCCCACTAAGGCAGGGTGACCCAAAAAAGAAATACTTTCACCATCATTCACACTATCATTGTCTTGCCAAAGGTGCACAAATAAAACAGTGATTGTGTGAATGATGGTGAAAGTGTTCCCTCTTCGGGTCGCCTTGTCTCGATGAGACGGCCAGTATAAAAAAAAATTATAAATTTATTAGGAAAGGTTGGAGGGAGGGGGTAAAGGAGGTTTTGTGTGCGAGGGGCTTGGACTTCCAGCGGGCATGCGTGAGCGTGTTTGATAGAAGTGAATGGAGACAAATGGTTTTTAATACTTGACGTGCTGTTAGAAAGCGAGCAAAGTAACATTCATGAAGGGATTCAGGAAAACCGGCAGGCCGGACTTGAGTCCTGGAGATGGGAAGTACAGTGCCTGCACTCTGAAGGAGGGGTGTTAATGTTGCAGTTTAAAAACTGTAGTGTAAAGCACCCTTCTGGCAAGACAGTGATGGAGTGAATGATGGTGAAAGTTTTTCTTTTTCGGGCCACCCTGCCTTGGTGGAAATTGGCCAATGTGCTAATAAAATAAAAATATATTCTGAGAGATCTTTATACTGCAGTTATCAATGGAGTGTCCTTTACTGTCTCATTAACATACATGTTAGTTAAGTCATCCCCAAAAAAGAAGAGAATAATACTGGCTTTGTAAAAATGCTACTACAGCAGATCATCATTTATCTAGCAACCAGTTAATGGTCATCCAGCATTATTGGGACAAAATTAATTTATATGATTATTAGGCATTCTGAAAATCTAGGACTCCCTTCCCCTCAAAAGGCATTGAAACCCATCAAAGGTATATCTATGCAACTCATGAAACCATAATAACATGATTGTAAACAAAAATCAGAACAGGTGGGGTCTGAAATCATGGCAAGTCGTAAAACTCCAGGCCAGTGCATAAGCCACTGGGACAGCTGGTTACAATACTGTGCCCAGTTGGCCCAGTGGCTTGTACATCTATAGTACAACTAATTCAACTAAGTACCGCACCTATGAATTGGAATATCTCTTTTAATAAATCTCTGACTGTTGACAAATTTGGTTAAAAATTAAAAATTTTAAATTAACAGAGAATATTTAGAAATGAAAAAGAGAAAATGATCTTACCACTCAGAGCCCATATATTGAGAACATTTTCAAAAGTCGCTGCAACATATCGTTCCGAGGGAAGCGAAACCAAATGTTCCACAGCTGCAAGGTTTACATTGTAATTGCCTGCACTGTCACTCTGCTGGAACACCAATGTATGCTCCTGAGGTCCAATACTCCGCTGACCTACTTTCCATGTGCGCACAGAACTGTCATGCCCACTGTTAAAAAAATTCAGATTTGATAATGTGACAAGAGTGTAAGTATTGTTTTGTAAATTACATTTCTGTATGTTCAAACCTTTAAAATATTTTACCAGCCAAAACTATAAAGCTTACTTTGGAACAAATATACATTCTATGTAGAGGGTAACATTTATAAAGGGATTCGAGGAAACAGGTTAGCAAGACCTGAGTGCTGGAGGTGGGATGTAAAGTGCCTACACTTTGAAGGACGGGTGGGGATGTTGCACGTCACAGAGTTATCTGAATTGTGATATCAGCATACTTCCGGTAATGATTCAATGAATGATGGAGAAAATTTTCCTCTTTTTTTGGGGGGGCCACCCTGCCTCAGAAGAGTGCCAGTGTTAATAAAAAAAAAAGTATGCAATCCTACATAATGTGATTTTGGCTAAGCAGTACTGAAAAGCTTCAACCCTTTAAACTTTCTTAAAACGCACCAGCTGTATCCCACTGAGGTGGGGGGGCCCAAAAGGAAAAACAAAAATTTCTCCTTTTAAATTTAGTAATATATACAGGAGAAGGGGTTACTAGCCCCTTGCTCCCGGTATTTTAGTTGCCTCTTACAACACGCATGGCTTACGGAGGAAGAATTCTGTTCCACTTCCCCATGGAGATAAGAGGAAATAAACAAGAACAAGAACTAGAAAGAAAATAGAAGAAAACCCAGAGGGGTGTGTATATATATATATATGCTTGTACATGTTTGAGGAATTGTTAAATGTTGATGAAGATAGGGAAGCTGTGATTTCGTGTATAGGGCAAGGAGGAATAACATCTTGTAGGAGTGAGGAAGAGCCAGTTGTGAGTGTGGGGGAAGTTCGTGAGGCAGTAGGTAAAATGAAAGGGGGTAAGGCAGCTGGGATTGATGGGATAAAGATAGAAATGTTAAAAGCAGGTGGGGATATAGTTTTGGAGTGGTTGGTGCAATTATTTAATAAATGTATGGAAGAGGGTAAGGTACCTAGGGATTGGCAGAGAGCATGCATAGTTCCTTTGTATAAAGGCAAAGGGGATAAAAGAGAGTGCAAAAATTATAGGGGGATAAGTCTGTTGAGTGTACCTGGTAAAGTGTATGGTAGAGTTATAATTGAAAGAATTAAGAGTAAGACGGAGAATAGGATAGCAGATGAACAAGGAGGCTTTAGGAAAGGTAGGGGGTGTGTGGACCAGGTGTTTACAGTGAAACATATAAGTGAACAGTATTTAGATAAGGCTAAAGAGGTCTTTGTGGCATTTATGGATTTGGAAAAGGCGTATGACAGGGTGGATAGGGGGGCAATGTGGCAGATGTTGCAAGTGTATGGTGTAGGAGGTAGGTTACTGAAAGCAGTGAAGAGTTTTTACGAGGATAGTGAGGCCCAAGTTAGAGTATGTAGGAAAGAGGGAAATTTTTTCCCAGTAAAAGTAGGCCTTAGACAAGGATGTGTGATGTCACCGTGGTTGTTTAATATATTTATAGATGGGGTTGTAAGAGAAGTAAATGCGAGGGTCTTGGCAAGAGGCGTGGAGTTAAAAGATAAAGAATCACACACAAAGTGGGAGTTGTCACAGCTGCTCTTTGCTGATGACACTGTGCTCTTGGGAGATTCTGAAGAGAAGTTGCAGAGATTGGTGGATGAATTTGGTAGGGTGTGCAAAAGAAGAAAATTAAAGGTGAATACAGGAAAGAGTAAGGTTATGAGGATAACAAAAAGATTAGGTGATGAAAGATTGAATATCAGATTGGAGGGAGAGAGTATGGAGGAGGTGAACGTATTCAGATATTTGGGAGTGGACGTGTCAGCGGATGGGTCTATGAAAGATGAGGTGAATCATAGAATTGATGAGGGAAAAAGAGTGAGTGGTGCACTTAGGAGTCTGTGGAGACAAAGAACTTTGTCCTTGGAGGCAAAGAGGGAATGTATGAGAGTATAGTTTTACCAACGCTCTTATATGGGTGTGAAGCGTGGGTGATGAATGTTGCAGCGAGGAGAAGGCTGGAGGCAGTGGAGATGTCATGTCTGAGGGCAATGTGTGGTGTGAATATAATGCAGAGAATTCGTAGTTTGGAAGTTAGGAGGAGGTGCGGGATTACCAAAACTGTTGTCCAGAGGGCTGAGGAAGGGTTGTTGAGGTGGTTCGGACATGTAGAGAGAATGGAGCGAAACAGAATGACTTCAAGAGTGTATCAGTCTGTAGTGGAAGGAAGGCGGGGTAGGGGTCGGCCTAGGAAGGGTTGGAGGGAGGGGTAAAGGAGGTTTTGTGTGCGAGGGGCTTGGACTTCCAGCAGGCATGCGTGAGCGTGTTTGATAGGAGTGAATGGAGACAAATGGTTTTTAATACTTGACGTGCTGTTGGAGTGTGAGCAAAGTAACATTTATGAAGGGATTCAGGGAAACCGGCAGGCCGGACTTGAGTCCTGGAGATGGGAAGTACAGTGCCTGCACTCTGAAGGAGGGGTGTTAATGTTGCAGTTTAAAAACTGTAGTGTAAAGCACCCTTCTGGCAAGACAGTGATGGAGTGAATGATGGTGAAAGTTTTTCTTTTTCGGGCCACCCTGCCTTGGTGGGAATCGGCCGGTGTGATAATAAAAAAAAAAAAAAAAAAACATGTATGTGTAGTGTGACCTAAGTGTAAGTAGAAGTAGCAAGACGTACCTGAAATCTTGCATGTTTACGAGACAGAAAAAAGGACACCAGCAATCCTACCATCATGTAAAACAATTACAGGCTTTCGTTTTACACTCACTTGGCAGGACGGTAGTACCTCCCTGGGAGGGTGTTGTCTACCAACCTACTACCTAGAAACCCTTTAAACATCCCCAAAAATATAAAAAAAAAAAAATCATGTCATGTGCAATATTTGGATAGTAATCCCCGTATATTTTCACAATCTGCTCACCAGACACGAGTAGTATTCCCCTGCAGCCACAAGCCTTCTGCCATTTTTTCTAAGCTACATGAATTCATGTCCACTAAACAGCATTTATCTAACATTTTCCACAATTTATATGATTTATGAATGCTTAATTTACATGAAAAACATGTATGAAATATTTGAAGGGAATATTCAGTGCATTAATATTCAAGAATCTCTCAAGTTCAGTAGAAAACCATTTAGATAATTAACCCTGAAGGTTAGCACAGTAACCCAGTACAGTATATGATCATGATTATAAAGCAATCACACATTACCGTGCCTTTAACAGTCATGTACACCTACCATCCGACTTACGACCTGCTCGACTTATGACCAAACTTCTGGGAAATAAACAACTATTTGTGTTGTACACAGTGTTTATCCTAAACCTTACAGTATAAAATACAGTACTAACAGCATAAAAAGTAAAGTAAAACATGAAATACCAAAATAAAACAATAAAATAAAGTCATTACAAAAATGTTTTGTTGATATTCAGTAGTAAAGTTCGACTTACGACCATTTCGACTTACGACCGGTTTCTCGGAACCGAACTCGGTCGTAAGTCGGATGGTAGGTGTATATACCTACTCTAGCTGTATTTCAGCAACTGTTGAACATGCTGGTGATTGTAGATATTAATGCTGCTAAACTTAATACCGTATGACCACATCAACTTAGATTAACCAATTGATTAATCTTCACAGGAAAAACAGTGTGTATCTACAATATTCTTTAAATTTATGTTATTATAGTAATGCTCTCTTATAGAGCTCTTCTGTAGTGTGATTTTTGTATATGTGATTGAAAAAGTTCATCTGAATTTAAAAAACATGAACTATGAAGCATTTCCATGCTCTATTTTGGGATCTATATTTCAATCACATTCACAAAAACTTGAACTATATAGAGGAACTTTATAAGAGCTAAGAGCACTTATTATATACTTGCGCTCAACAGGATGAACAAAAAAATGATTCTACTTACCTTGAAACTAATAAATTTCTTGCCTGAAGCCAGAGAACATTGGAGGTGCGAGCAGTGTGGCCCTCTAGGAAAGTGGTCTGGACATGAGGCAGAGTTCCAGTGAAGTCTGCACCAGTGCCAGTCTCACCTCCAGGCAAGTCGCTGTCATTCTCAACTAGACGTGCACGACCACCAATACATTCAACCTAATTTTTGAAGTAAATGGATTAGAAAACTGGCAAGTTGAAAAATGAGACACTTGTGCAACTCTTAGGAATCATTTTTACAGAAAAGTTTTGCCAGCCAGTGGCTTCTTCAGTCCATTACAGAGAAGCACAATGGAAGATGAGGGAGTCACTGGCTGGCGAAATGTTTTTGCAATAAAGATTCCCAAATGTTGCACAAGTGTCTTGTTCTTCTCAAGAATGAAAACACTATCCAGTAACCATGAGCCTAAATACAATCCAAGGATTTTGCAATGGCATTTTATAAATGGAGTAATGGTTCCTAAAATGAACTCAGGAAAAGTAGGGTAAAGATGTTGAAATTTCTGACAAACATATCACAAAAAGTGGTAATAAACTTAAAGTCTAGTCCCAGCTAAATACATTTTAACGCTAACTTTTGCCTCGGCAAAAGTTAGCGTTAAAATGTATCGTTAGGCGAATTTAACGTTATGCGATGCGTTCGTTATGCGAGGGACTACAGTATTTTAAGACAAATATTTTATGTACAGTGTATTTATTTTACCTAGGGTAGTAGGTTGGTAGACAGCAACCACCCAGGGAGGAACTACCATCCTGCCAAGTGAGTGTAAAACGAAAGCCTGTAATTGTTTTACATGATGGTAGGATTGCTGGTGTCCTTTTTTGTGTCTCATAAACTTGCAAGATTTCAGGTACGTCTTGCTACTTCTACTTACACTTAGGTCACACTACCCATACATGTACAAGCATGTATATACACACACCCCTCTGGGTTTTGGGTTTTCTTCTATTTTCTTTCTAGTTCTTGTTTATTTCCTCTTACCTCCATGGGGAAGTGGAACAGAATTATTCCTCCCTAAGCCATGCGTGTTGTAAGAGGCGACTAAAATGCCGGGAGCAAGGGGCTAGTAACCCCTTCTCCTGCATATATTACTAAATGTAAAAGGAGAAACTTTCGTTTTTCCTTTTGGGCCACCCCGCCTCGGTGGGATACAGCCGGTGTGTTGAAAGAATAAAGTATTTATTTTACGTTTTTATACTTTCTTTTTTGCCTAGCTGTACTGAGCACTTAATATATGATAGTATAAACATGTCATGAAGCATTTTAGACACATTCAATAATGAAAAAGCTATTTTTCACCCATAGGCAATGTCTGCTCACCATACAGGGTCAGGAACTTAAGAGCCATATAAATGGGGCCCTCCTGTACTACAGGATATGGTTCTAGCACCATTACTATCACTCACCCTCATAGCAGACAGATATGAACACTAACCTTAGCTGGATGGTACCAAAATAACTAATTAAGTGGCAGAAAAACTAACAACAGTTATCAAGTAAGTCTTCCAATGAGCAAGTGGAAATAATATAGTGTCCAATGGTGACAGTTTTCAACCGTTAAGATGCAGGAAGAATTATTACCTCTCAAGGCAGGAGACAGCAGAGCTAGAAATTGTACATAGGATATTTACTACCTGCACAGAACTAATAAAACATCTAGACTATTGGAAATGCCTCAAAAGACATGGACTGTTCACTATGGAAAGGAGATGAGAGAAATACCTTATTCCCTGATTAGCAAGACTGTGGTGCATAATACCATGACCAGAACAATACACAAATAACCTGCACATAGGAGAAAAAAAATTATGACATTTTTGTCCAAGATGGACCAAAATGTCACCATAAAGTTTCTTTCTCCTACGTGCTGGTTATGTGTGTCTAAACAACCATGGCCCAAGACACTTTAATCTACTTCCAGCAAAGATCACAAATTATGCTAGAATGAAGACCAAAATTTTCAAGAAATTAGACAACCTCCTGCTACAACTGTTTAATAAGCCATGTTGTGATGGCTGTATGAGCCTGCTGAGCACTAGCACAGCCAGTCTAAATGACCAGACACTGACCTTTTCCCAACAAGGTAATTGATTCAACAAAAGAGCAGTGCTTTCACTGTGGTATGGCCGTTGACCTATCCAACAAAAGAAACATTTTAACTCACTCATTTAATAGCTTTCTTACCAGAAAAGTGACATCTGCACAACTTTTAATGCCATAAAATAAACACACACATTAATATAAGCCATACCATGGGCAGGATTGAAACGTACCAGTTGTGTGGCAGCCCACTGCCGGTGTGAATGTGGAAGATGTGTCGAGAGAATACACGCAGCAAGAGCATTGGCTAACTGTATGCCAGGGTCACCCTGCCCTCCGCCAGCAGCCAATGGTGACATTGTACCTTCACCTGGCAAAGTACAATGAATCACATAAGAATTGAATCAACACACATCCTTACTAATAGTTAATATTGTAATATTCACATAAAAATTAATAACCGAGAAAATTAGATAAATTAGATGGGTAAAGGAATTTAATGTAGTCGAGTACCATGTAATGAAAATGAAAGAGCAAAACCATCTCGCATGATGATTATGGCGAGGAAAAAATACAGTGGACCCCAGGTTAACGATATTTTTTCATTCCAGAAGTATGTTCAGGTGCCAGTACTGACCGAATTTGTTCCCATAAGGAATATTGTGAAGTAGATTAGTCCATTTCAGACCCCCAAACATACACGTACAAACGCACTTACATAAATACACTTACATAATTGGTCGCATTGGGAGGTGATCGTTAAGCGGGGGTCCACTGTATTGATATTCTCCAATAATAATAAAAAATCTTGAAGATATTTGACACCATAGAGCATCACCAGAAAATATACTGAAATTGAGAGAAACTTTATAATGACCGTCATATGAAGATCATGGATGGAAAATGATAGAGTGCTGACAATACATATGTGTTACACCAAATTTAAAATGATGTCCTAATGTAGTGACCAACCTAAAAAAAAAAAGTACAAAATGACAGTTAAAAAAAAAGCAGTGAAGAAATATACAAAATACTTGAAATGTCCTTAATGACTAAAAGAGAGAAAGGAGACAAGATAACCAAATAAAGGATCATAAAAGAATACAAAAACAAAGATCAGTATTTCTTAGTACCATCAAGACAGGCAAAATTGCAACTTGGAGAATAAACAGAGAACTTTCAAGGACTGGGTGGTAGGGGCAGTGACCCAAGAAACTTCCCTCCAGGTACTGTATACTTCAGGTATCAAAAGAGTAAAACAATTGAAAAATGAAACTAAAACAATGCCAAAAGGATACATGTACAGTACTACAAAAATTTTCCATAGAGTGGATGACATAGTGAAAAGGAACCCAAGAGGCAGTAGTAAGTGCTATAATCACTGGAAAATTTATAAAGAATTATTTATTTATTTTTTTTTTTTTCAACAAGTCGGCCGTCTCCCACCGAGGCAGGGTGACCCAAAAAAAAAGAAAGAAAATCCCCAAAAAGAAAATACTTTCATCATCATTCAACACTTTCACCACACTCGCACATTATCACTGTTTTTGCAGAGGTGCTCAGAATACAACAGTCTAGAAGCATACACATATAAAGATACACAACATATCCCTCCAAACTGCCAATATCCCAAACCCCTCCTTTAAAGTGCAGGCATTGTACTTCCCATTTCCAGGACTCAAGTCCGACTATATGAAAATAACCGGTTTCCCTGAATCCCTTCACTAAATATTACCCTGCTCACACTCCAACAGATCGTCAGGTCCCAAGTACCATTCGTCTCCATTCACTATCTAACACGCTCACGCACGCTTGCTGGAAGTCCAAGCCCCTTGCCCACAAAACCTCCTTATGTGAATTATGTGATGAACTAAAAAAAGAACACCCCGAAACTAACTGCTTCTGTATGACAAACAGCCAATCACAAGAGGATAATTATACCTAAAATTTACATAATAATAATCATTCATCTGACTAACATCCAATAAACCATTAACTGAGCGAATTTTCTAAAACCTTGCCAATGATAGTTAAGACAGAAGTGATAGTTTATGGCAAGTCACAGGGCCCAGAGAGTAGTAGCATCCCTGGCAACCAGGTACAGTCAGGCCTTCATATTCACAGGTCTTATGCTCAAGGAGAACCCACAATAACAGGAAAATCCTACACAGTAAAATTTTAACTTAACATGACCAGATTTAACACATTTCGGTAATATGGGCAAAATCTGCTGGGTCAACAGATTCAAAAACATATAAATATAGCTAGCTAAAGAAAATACATTTCTTGACAAGATTTATACAAAAAAAAAAAAAATAATGTTATCCATGAACAAAACAACATAAAAAAAAATGAAGGCATTTGATGAACATACAAAAAAGATTTTAAAAGACTGATCAGGTGAACCCAGCTCAGAAGAAAATGGCCATATTTAAGTACAGTGGAACCTCAAAAATCGAACTGCTCCCAACACGACCAATTATGTAAGTGTATTTTTGTAAGTGCTTTTATAAGTGTATTTTTGAGGGTCTGAAATGGACTAATCTAATTTACATTATTCCTGATGGGGATAAATTCATTCAGTAAAGGCACTCGAACAGCCTTCTGGACTGAAGAAAGTTTGATATTTGAGGTTCCACTGTATTACTCTAACTGCTTCAAATTAATACTATTAAAAAATAGTAAATTAGAGAAAATAGCTTCAGGTGAGCCAAACTGACCCAAATCACTTTCAGAACAATTCCAGTGCTGATTTTTACTTTTCAATTAATGTTTTGGCCATTTCTGAATATACACCAATCTTTCAGTAACCAAGTTTGCATTGAAACTGGTAAAAAAAAATTGAACTAGAGAAAACAGCTTTAAGCACAGAAAGTGAAATCATTTTTCATGAAAAGAATTGAATTTAAATATGATGTAAGAAGACTATTTAAACCCCATAGGGAGTAAATGCCATGATTCAAATTTCATGCTTTTTTTTTTTTTTTTACTACACATATGCTCAACCACAGTGCAATTGTTTCAAATCAAAATTACTGTTGTGTAAACGGTGGTGGTGGTGGTGATGTGCGAGTACAAGCAACAGCAACAGTTGCTGTGCTGGTAAGAAAAGTGAAAAACAGTGCAAAAACTCTCACCTTTGTAATTGAAAGAAATCTAACAAGACAGAGAACCATATTATATAATGTTACATGACCTATTCAACTGGAATTTCTGCAGAATAGGTCACCTGACCTAGCAATGATGCTAACAAAACATGGTATGGGTGATGTTAGAAATCGCGGCAAGTGAGTGGTAAAACTCCAGGCCAGTGCGTACGCCACTGGGCCAGCTGGCTACAATAACATTCATTCAACTACGTACTATATTTATGTGTACGAATGGTATATAATACCGACAAGATGAGAGTAAGACACATGTGCAACATCTGGGTATCTTTATTGTAGACGTTTCGCCATCCAGTGGCTTTATCAATACAAATTCTAGGACATAACTTGAAGACAGTAGAACTATGTACAGAAGATGAGGTAATCAGTCCCTCAACCTAGGAGTAGGTTTGAACAGCACCATAGTCGTGGAGATTCTGAAGCAGAAGAAAGAATCCTGGCGCTTCAGAATCTCCACGACTATGGTGCTGTTCGCACCTACTCCTAGGTTGAGGGACTGATTACCTCATCTTCTGTACATAGTTCTACTGTCTTCAAGTTATGTCCTAGAATTTGTATTGATAAAGCCACTGGATGGCGAAACGTCTACAATAAAGATACCCAGATGTTGCACATGTGTCTTACTCTCACTATATTTATACACCATAGGGATGAATTCTAGTTGGATGAATGTTATTGTAGCCAGCTGGCCCAGTGGATTACGCACTGGCCTGGAGTTTACCACTCACTTGCCACGAGTTCTAACCCCACCTTTACTGTGCTTTGTTTACAATCATGCTATTATGATTTCACGAGTCATAAGGCTGCTGTTTCACTGTCTTGTAAGCAGTTTTCAATTATTTTTACGTCACTGTGAAATTATCAAGACCATGCTTGATACATATGGTCATAAAAAAAGCAATAACACTGTATCACTTACAAGCAAAATTTATAAAAATTCAAATGCACAAACTCATGACAATGCACAATCCATTATGAAAAGGTTCCGAGCGATAAACGTGTAAAGAAGCCATGCAGAAAACATGGTGCTTAATTTGTTGACACTTCTTTGTCCATTTTCATTTTATTCCTCAAAACTATTCAAAGTTTTGTGAAGAAACCAATGTTTACAGCATTTTCTAGACCACTTACAACCTTGGAATTAAGGTTAACACATGAACAAGATCCACCAAGTATTCATCGTCTTAGTCTGTAGGTAACTTGTGTAATAAAGTTGGTAGAATTACCGACAATATGTGAAGTAAAAGGACACAAGTGCAACTAATGTGACATTTTATTGTGGCAACGTTTCGCTCTCCAGGAGCTTTATCAAGCCGTTACGAACAATACATGGACACAGAGGGTATATAAAGGCTCAGAGTGAGGTGCAATACTAGTGGTAGTTGTAGTAGTAGCAGTATTACTACTACCACTACAACTTTTGTCACTACTACTACTACTACCACTAGTATTGCACCTCACTCTGAGCCTATATATACCCTCTGTGTCCATGTATTGTTTGTAATGGCTTGATAAAGCTCCTGGAGAGCGAAACATTACCACAATAAAATGTCACATTAGTTGCACTTGTGTCCTAGGTAACTTGTGCATTACATTTTTATTTTTTTTATGACAAAATGAGAGGAAAAGAGTTTAACATAACTGTATAATGCCCTACATAACCAGTGGCTTCTCATGTGCAATATATAATGTCACCTATTTTGTGTACAAATGATGCATGTGGAAATAAAGAATTTCAGTTTGAAAATCCAATAACTTTTTATTTATTTATTTATTCTTATTATTATTGCATTCATGGAAAGCATTAATTCCATGTTTAATTGAATGATTATTATTAACCCTTCCAGGGTAGAGAGGCTCTCTCCTAAACTTGTTCTCAGGGCTGAAAATTTTTCGAAAAAGAAAAAAGAAAAAAAAAATTCTTATGAAATTATAGAGAATCTTTTCCCGATCATAATAACACCAAAAGTATGAAATTTGATGAAAAACTTACAGAATTATGCTCTCGCGAAGTTAGCAATCTCGACAATGTTTACGCATCGGTGATTTCACCCACTTTGATCCCAATTTTCAATCAATTCCAATGCACCAGTTGACAAAAATCATAGCTATTTCGTTAGAACTCCATTTGTTCTATTGAATGAGTACAAGAAACCAGCCAATTACCAATTTCAACTATCCAATAAAGTGGTCAGAAATTGGCAATTTTGCCAATTTCACAAAAACTTCAAAAGATGTCAATTTCCAAATAGGGTCCAGAATAAACAAGACAGACATTCCTGGCACTAAAATAACATTTCCTCTGTTCATTAGTTATGTCCCCAGGCTCCTCTTACATTTCTTTTGCTTTCCACTTTGAACTTTTATTCTTGCAAAAAATAGGTTTACTGTCATGCTGACTACTGCATTAGTGTAAAAATGGTATAAATAATATCAACACTTGTGAAAGAATATTAGACTCACCAGCTGACATGTATTGGATGCTTGGCACGATTTGTTTACTTTTGAACTTTGGCAAAAATCGAACATTTCTGTTACTTTGAGCTCAATTTCAAGGTACTTTTCATTGTGAAACCAATCAAAATCATCTCAATTTCTGTAATATGTCTTCCATTCTATAAAATGACACCAAGAAAACGAGAATACAACCATAAATATCATACGAAAATACACTGCAAAGTTGCTGTTTTAAACAAAACACACTCAGTTTTTTTTTTCTCATTATGCACTGCATGCTGCGGGATTTTTTTTATACTGTGCACACAGACCAAGCAGACCCATTCTTTCATATGTAGGCCTACCAGCTTTCTCTTGCTAGATTTAAAGGTGCTAGAATTTACACGTACTAGTACGGCACCAACCCTGATGTGCAAGCCATACTAGTGCGACACTGACCCTGAAAGGGTTAAATTCATGAAAAAAGTACAAACCAAAACCCTTAAGGATCATACAGCACCTGCAGTATGGAAGGGATAGGGTTATCAGCGTTGATTCAAGGAAAGTGAGGGGCAATTCAAATTCTCTGGATCAAGAACTTTCACCAGCATCAAGGCACCTCCCATCAACTGCCAATAAGTCAGAGAGGACTTACCGAGTCTTCTTGAATTAACATTATTTTTTTTTTTTGTAACACACTGGCCATCTCCCACTGAGGCAGGGTGACCCAAAAAAGAAGAAAAACTTTTACCATCATTCACTATCACTGTCTCACCAGATGGGTGCCAATACTACAGTTTAGATGCCCCACCGAACTGCAAATATGCTGTTAACCCCTCCTTCAGAGAGCAAGCACTATACTTCCCACTTACAGGACTCAAGTCTGGTTAACCAGTTTCCCTGAATCCCTTCACAAAATGTTACTTTGCTAGCATTCTAACAGCTCATGAAGTCCCAAAAACCATTTGCCTCCAATCACTTCTAACACACACACACCTGCTAGAAGTTCAAGCCCCTCTCACACAAAACTTCCTTTACCCCCCACCCTCCAACCTATCCAAGGACAACCTCTATCACTCCATCCATCAGTACAGATTCATACACCCTACACAATTCTATTTTGCTCTGTTCTCTCTAAATGACCAAACCACCTCAATGCCACCACCTCAGCCCTCTTTATAATACTTTTAGTAACCCTGCACTTCCTCCTAATTTCCAAACTATGAATTCAATGCATAATATTCATACCACACATTGCCTTCAGACACAACATCTCCACTGCCTCCACCTCCTCCCCCTCGTTGCAATAAACAAGCTTTTGTGTAATAAAATACTGTTCAGCACAAAAGAAAGCCACTAGCATGCAATACATTTCTGGCAGACATTCACAGCCCATGCTTCAAACCCATATAATTATGAGTGTTGGCACCACTATACTCTCATACATTCCCCTTTTCTCCCTCCAAAGCTATTGTTTTTTGTCTCTGCAAATGTCTCACTGCATCACCCACCTTCATCAGTTCCATGGTTTATCTTGTCTTTCACAGACCTATCTGCTGAAAAGTCTACTCCCAAATATCTGAACACATTCACTTCCTCCATATTCCTTCCCTCCAATCTGATATCCAGTCTTTTATTACCTAAAATGTTTGTTACCCTTATCATCTTTCTCTTTCTATGTCACTTTTAATTTCCACCCTTCCAAAGTCATCCACCAACTTCTGCAACTTCTCTTCAGAATTTCTCAATAGCAGTATCATTAGCAAAAAGCAATTGTGATAGCTCCCACTTTGTATTATTTCTGTATATTTTAATCCCATACCTCTTCCCAACATCCTACCATTCACTTCTTTTACAACCCTATCTGTAAATAAATTGAACAAACATGATGATATCACACATCCTTGACTAAGGCCTACTTTTACTGGAAAACAATCTCCCTCTCTCCTACATTACCTAACCTGAGCCTCACTAACCTCATAAAAATTCTTAACTGTTTTCAGTAACCTACTATCTATTCCATGCACTTGCAACATCTGCTACATTGCTCCCATATCCAACTATCTCTTCTTAAATCCATAAATGCAATGAAAACTTCCCTACCTTCAGCTAAATATTGCTTCAATGTAAACACTTTGTTTACACACCCCCTACCCTTCCTAAAACCTTGTTCTTCTATGATCCTGCTCTCAAGCTTACCTTTAATTCCTTCAATAGTAACTACCATACACTTTACCTGGTATAATCAACAGGCTTATTTCCCTAAATTTTTTTACTCTTTTGTCCCCTTTCCTATGCACAAAGGAACTATGCATGCTTTCTGCCAATCCCTAGGTACCTTTCCCTCTTTCATACATTTACTGAACATCCCCAAAAATGAAACATTCATTATCATTCATTAAATGTTGTCCTGTCAAATGTACACAGACATCACAATTCAAATGACTCTTAACTGTAACATCCTCACCCTTCTTCAGAGTGCAGGCACTGTGCTTCACACCTCCAGAACCCATATCTAGCTTCCCTGAATCCCTTCATGAACATCACATGTATGCATAGAATTTGAGAGAGCAATTTTTTTTAAATTGGCAGTGTGAAGGGCAGTGCCTGCACTGAAGGAGGGGGTGGGAATGTTGCAGTTGGAGGGTAATCTGAATGATGGTGAATTTGTTTTCTTTTTTTTTTTGGTCACCCAGCTTTGGCAGGACACAACCAATGAGGTAAAAAACAAAAACTGGCTACCATGGTTTTACAAAGTAATATCTCTTAAAAAATTACAACTTGCATCATTTCAACATTTTAGTTCTGCTGGTACACTCTGAGGAATTTGAAAATAAATTTCCACCCCTAGTTGCTAGGAAATGAAACATTTCAAGTGAATGTCAACCAACACAACCTGTCTAAATACACAAAATTTTATAAACTAGCCAAGCAATTCTCAGGCTAAAAATGTACCAAATGTCGACAGATGGATGAGAGGCGATGGATGATGGACGATGGAGGACAGATGCAAGTTCCTGGGGAATCCTGAAACACATTCATAGAAAAAACTATTCAAAATGGTTCTCTGGAAAATAGCACAATATAATACCAGTTTTTCCACTTCAAATCAACAAATGTATCTTCATCTCGTGTCTCAATTCCTAACAAGGTGGCAGACACAGACTCTCTAAATATTTGTATTCAACAAAAACCTACACTCCTCAATACTGAAAACTCTTTTGTACATACACACGCGCGCACACACACAAAAAAAAAAAACAAAAAAAAAAAAACAGGGAGGTACTACCATCCCGCTGAGTGTAAAATGGAAGCCTGTAATTGATTTACATGATGGTAGGATTGCTGGTATCTTTTTTCTGTCTCATAAACATGCAAGATTTCAGGTACGTCTTGCTACTTCTACTTACACTTAGGTCACACTACACATACATGTACAAACATATATATACACACCCTTCTGGGTTTTCTTCTACTTTCTTGCTAGTTCTTGTTCTTGTTTATTTCCTCTTATCTCCATGGGAAAGTGGAAAAGAATTCTTCCTCCGTAAGCCAAGTACAGTGGAACCTCGGTTTTTATCATTAATTCGTTCCAGAAAGTCTGACGAAAACCAAATTCGACGAAAACTAAAGCAATATTTCCCATAAGAAATAATGTAAATGTAATTAATCTGTTCCAGATACCCAAAAGTATTAACAAAAAATACATTTTATAGAGAATAGCTATAGTTTTACATACAGAAAACAATTAGAAGTAAATATAAAGGATTAATGAAATGGATAAATGAACATTTAATATCACTTTTATTGAATACTCTTGTTGGCGTATGGAAGATGCGAGGAGGGAAGAGGGAGGAGGACAAGTTATTGGTTGGAAGGGGAATCCCCCTCCATAAGGACTTCAGGTATCAGGTTCCTATCCTGGGTTACTTCCCTTCTTTGTTTTTTACTGGCATTTGACCCCTGTCGTACAAAAAAAACCTGTCCAAAGAGATCTGTTTCTGGCGTCTCTAAGATTTGCCTAAAATGCGACAAGGCATTGTCATTGAATGTGCTGCAGACACGGCTTGCAACAGCTTTGTTAGGATGATATTTCCCCACAAAACTTTGCAACTCACTCCACTTTGCACACATGTCCTTAATCAATGAAGAAGGCACTGATCGTTGACGAGGACTTCCCGTATACCCTGATGAGATCGATCACACATATGCCAATTTCATACTTTGCTACGAGTTCTTTCTTGAATTCTATCGTCTTTCTCACCTTTATCAAAGGCTGGCACTCGGAACTTTCTTTGGCCCCATGGTGGCTTATTTAGCAGTCACGCTCAATAAAAAAGCACAAAAAACAATGGATTATTACGAAATGTTTCAGATGATTGCTCAGGGTAATGCTCACTCAACGAGAAACAAAGCCAGACTGACTCAATGCATGGGATGCTTTGTGTGGGCGCTGGAAGGCAGACATGTTTGGTACAGTGGACCGACGAAAACCGAGGTGATAAACAAAAATTGGGACAAAATTTTGACAAAAAGTCATCAAAAAAACAAATTCAACGAAAACCAGGGCAAACGAAAACCGAGGTTCCACTGTATGTCATAAGAGGAGACTAAAGTGTCGGGAGCAAGAGAATAGTAATCTCTTCTCCTGTGTACATTACTAAATATAAAAAGAAAAACTTTTGTTTTTCTTTTTAGGTCACCCTGCCTCGGTGGGATATAGCTGGTTCATTAAAAAAAATGGATAAGTTAGCAACAATCCAAACAAACTTCAAAATGACTCCTAGTTAAAAAAATATTACGGTCAAGCCCCAATTCACATCGCTTCGCTTTACAGCATTTCACTAATGCAGGAGTTTTCAATTATACCTATTCTTCATTTATTCAGACTTTCTACAATATATTCACCACTCGCTATAAGCTAAGGACGAAAACATTTTAAGACAAGTAATGTGTGCTGTATTTTTTAGGCATATCCCTATTCTCACTTAACCCATAAACGGTCCAATTAGATCTACGTTCACATGTGTAGTGCTACACAAGCAGATCTACGTTTACATGTGTAGTGCTACACAAGCAGATCTACGTTCACATGTGTAGTGCTACAAAAGTAGATCTACGTTCACATGTGTAGTGCTACAAAAGTAGATCTACGTTCACATGTGTAGTGCTACACAAGGAGATCTACGTTCACATGTGTAGTGCTACACAAGCAGATCTACGTTCACATGTGTAGTGCTACACAAGCAGATCTACGTTCACATGTGTAGTGCTACACAAGCAGATCTACGTTCACATGTGTAGTGCTACACAAGCAGATCTACGTTCACATGTGTAGTGCTACACAAGTAGATCTACGTTCACATGTGTAGTGCTACACAAGTAGATCTACATTCACATGTGTAGTGCTACACAAGCAGATCTACGTTCACATGTGTAGTGCTACACAAGCAGATCTACGTTCACATGTGTAGTGCTACACAAGCAGATCTACGTTCACATGTGTAGTGCTACACAAGCAGATCTACGTTCACATGTGTAGTGCTATACAAGCAGATCTACGTTCACATGTGTAGTGCTACACAAGCAGATCTACGTTCACATGTGTAGTGCTACACAAGCAGATCTACGTTCACATGTGTAGTGCTACACAAGCAGATCTACGTTCACATGTGTAGTGCTACACAAGCAGATCTACGTTCACATGTGTAGTGCTACACAAGCAGATCTACGTTCACATGTGTAGTGCTACACAAGCAGATCTACGTTCACATGTGTAGTGCTACACAAGCAGATCTACGTTCACATGTGTAGTGCTACACAAGCAGATCTACGTTCACATGTGTAGTGCTACACAAGCAGATCTACGTTCACATGTGTAGTGCTACACAAGCAGATCTACGTTCACATGTGTAGTGCTACACAAGCAGATCTACGTTCACATGTGTAGTGCTACACAAGCAGATCTACGTTCACATGTGTAGTGCTACACAAGCAGATCTACGTTCACATGTGTAGTGCTACACAAGCAGATCTACGTTCACATGTGTAGTGCTACACAAGCAGATCTACGTTCACGTGTAGTGCTACACAAGCAGATCTACGTTCACACGTGTAGTGCTACACAAGCAGATCTACGTTCACATGTGTAGTGCTACACAAGTAGATCTACGTTTTTTTTACATATTTTCAAATGTAACAAAAAAAAAAGTAGATCAAAGTTTTTTTTACACATTTTCAAATGTAAAAAAACAAAAAGAAGATCTACTTTTTTTACATACTTTCAAATGTTGAAAAAACGTATATATACGTTTGGACCGTTTACGGGTTAATATAAGATTAGACTATACACGTTATCAGGATTTTATATGAATTTGAAAGTGAAAAAAGGCTAGGTTTCACTTTACAGCAGTAGCCCAGAACTTAACCTGCTGTATAAGTGGGGCCCTCCTATATTTATGAAGAAAGGTTAAAGGTGTTGGATATGTTATCTTTGACTGATAGGAGACATGATACCCACATTCAACATTACTAAAAAAAATATAAGATATAAGAAGATATAAGAAGCAAAATTCAAAAAGGACAGCAAAAAACCAAACTGCTAAATATTCTTAATTCGGACATATTACTAATGAATTTTGTATTTTCAAAAGTATTACTCAAATGTGGAATACATCACAATAAAATGTGTGACAGCAGATATGCAAAAATACCACACTGAAAATAGGAAATAAAACTTGAGTGCTTTCATGTGCTTACACACATCTTCAGAGGAAGATAGAGACAAATGCTATAAAATACCAACACAATGGAAAATTAGACAAATGCAGTATAAATTTTTTTTCAACAATACGGCCATATCCCGCCAAGGTAGGGTGACCTAAGAAGAAAAATAAGTTTTTCTAAATACAGTATAATGCGATCCTTTACTGACTATGTTTCACTCACAGTGGACTTGATAAAGCCCACTGTGTGGGCAAAACAGTCAATAAAAGATCACATTTTACTGTGATGGATATGTGAGGAAGCAGACCTCCAGCAGCAACAGCCTGGTTGACCAGGCAAACACCACACAAGCCTGGCCCATGGTTGGGCTCCGAAAGTAGTGAAACTCTGGCAACTCTTCAAAGGTACAAAAGGAAGATACGTGTGTAAGCACATGAAAGCGCTCGGGTTTTATTTCCCACTTTGACTGTGGTATTTTTACATTACTCAAATGTAATATAAAATTCAGAAGCATCAGTTAAAAGACTTCACTCTGGTGTAATACCTTTACCAGCCAAGTGGATGAGAGAAGAGTTTGCAGCAAGTAGAGAAACAAGAGCCTGGGTGACAGGAAAGCTGGTCTGATGCGTACTGGAGCTGGTCTGTGAATCCCGACGTTCTCCGCCAATGCTCATGTCTACCACTTCTTCCTCCACCGACCCTCCAACAATGTCACCACTGGACATTCCCATAGCTGCCACCATTAGATGCTGCAAATAAATATTATATGTTGAATAACTAAAAAAGAAAGTGCAAAGTATAAAACCACAAACTGTTATTGCCTTATTAATCTTAAGTTAGTATTAAGTTTGCCTAAAATGATCTGCATATTAAGGGGCTTTCTGCATGCACACCTAAATGTCATTCATCTTTGTACAAACATTGTATCATGCTGAAATAAAGTACCTTATATTATGCTCAATAATAATTCCCACAAGACAAATTAATTTATCTGTATATCTCAACTCTCTGCTAGGGTCATCTTCATCAGATGGGGGATCAAAATATACAGATCAATTCATCTTCTGAGTTTCTGTCTCCATGTTGGTTATTATTGAGCATTATATCTAATATATCCATTACTGATTCCAGAGATCAGCAACCCTCTGACCCATTCCTGGACCAGTCCTCCTAAATTAAAGAAATAATACAGGAATAAGGTGCTAGTAATCCCTTCAGCTGTATAAGTTACTAAATGTTAAAAGAAAATTTTTTTCTTCTTTTATGGGTCACCATGCCTTGGTGGTAGACAGCCAGTGTGTTTAAAAAATAAAGGAATAACTATTTAACACAAAAAACACGAGTGCATACTAAATGTAAGAAAGAAAAGACCAGCAGTCTGGCCAGAATGAAAAATCTTTAAGAGGACTCTGTTTGCTACTTGCATAACAAGAGGGCAGTACCTCCCTGGATGGCTGCTCTCTACCCACCTACTATGAAGGTACAATTTAAATCACTTTACTGAGTATTGTATACAGCAGGGCCCCGCTTTACGGCGTTTCGCTTTACGGCGTTCCGCTAATACGGACATTTCAAATTATGACCAAAACTCGCTATATGGCTCCCCCACCTGTCTTTCTAATACGGTCACAGCGGCCCACCGAGTTTGTTTACATTCTCCCTGAGCACATCTCCTTATTTTGTCTGGAAACTTTCCAAAATTTCAAGTGTTTTAAAGTTATTGTATATTTTATATGTATTGTACTTGATAATTAAACTTATGTACACCTGTACCTAAATAAACTTACACACTGTGCTGGCATGTAGGTACACATTAAAATCACTAAGAGTCTCTCTACTCTTGATGCAATAATAATAATAATAATAATAATAATAATAATAATAATAATAATAATAATAATAATAATAATCTCTTGGGCGCATTAATGTTGCATATTACGTTAATATAGACATTTCCCTTAATCTATCTATGATATTTTTTTCAAAATTATATAAGAAACACATTATGTAACACACAAACATGATACATGCACCCACAGTATAAAAATTTATACAAATATATATGAGATGTTTACCAAACGGTTTGTAGAAGTGTCGGAAGAATTACGTTTTCTCTAGCCCGTCACCTGTTACTAGGGATAACTGTAGAAAAATATTCCTTTCGTATGCCTTCACTTTATAGCTATAATTCTGTACTAACTTGTACACAGTGTAAGAGTATTTGTTTCGTGATATAATTACTATAATAATAATAAAAATATTATAAGGTAAAAGTTTCACAAACTCTTACAAATGTACATGAATGAACTAAAACTGGACACGTATTAATACCATCTATTTCGCCTGACCGAGTGATCGTCCACAACCTGTTCAGTTTGTTTGTTTACGCTGTCTGAGCTCGGTGTATCATTAAATGTTGTATATTACGTTAATATACACATTTTCATTAATCCATCCGTGATATTTTTTTCAAAATTATATAATAAACACGATACATAACAAATACATAACATATGTGTAGAGAACCTAGGATAACCCAAAAAAGTCAGAGTGACTTACTTCCATTGCCTTCACTCAGAGCATCATTTCTTCTCAAAATGATGTTACATGAGAATGGGAGTGTTCTTCTTTATTTATTCTACCGTATCAATGCAGACAACCTGTACACAATGTAACTTGTACACAAACCAGACGTGTACACTGTTTACAAAACTTACCTTCGCCTGGTTTGTTTACATAACTCTGCGCCTGTCCTCTCTCATGCACTCATTCTTTCTCTCTGGTATGGTAGCCTGGCTGACTACCATACATACCACACTTGATTTTTTACAATAAATACTACTCGTCTCACCCTATATTTTAAGGTAAGTAATGAGTGAACTGTATATACATTTTATCGCTCTGGGATGCTTAAATATCATAGAATAGTATGTGTGGGTGGGTTGGCCTGGTATGGTAGCCTGGCTGACTACCATACATACCACACTTGATATTTTACAATAAATACTACTCATTTCACCCTAGATTAAGACTATAAATATTTTAAGGTAAGTAATGAGTGCACTATGTGTGTATTGTACTTTTTTATTGTTTTTTGATGCCTGGTTCTATTGCTAACATAATATATGTTAGTGTAAACTTGTTATCTAGTGTTTGTATGCATTTGTAAGTGGAAAAAAAGGGTGTTCCACTTTACGGCGTTTCCGCTTTACGGCGGTAGCCTGGAACCTAACCCGCCGTAAAAGTGGGGCCCTCCTGTACTTATTTTTATATTTGGCTCCACTGATCTGACAATTATTTAACACACTGGGTATAAAACTTAGTTGACTAGCTTATGTTTCAGTAGAAATGGGGAATGGAAAAGATTCAAGTTCAATCCAAGAAAAGCAAGAATAAGTCCATTTCCAGGGATCAAGAGACCTTCACCAGAATCAAAGCACCTCCCTTGAGGGGATGCTGATCAATAGGAGGATGCAGCCCTTCTTGATCTAATAAACAAGACTATAAAAAAGCTGGCAGAATTATTGGAACTAGCTTAGAGACTTTCAAATCTGTCATGGACACTTGACCCTACCCTAGAGAGGAGCCTTAAGTTCAAATGTCTTATAAAGAATGGCCTTAGTACCTACAGGGAGGTGTACAATCAGAAGTGATTCCTGGCTTAGTAGTACACCATGTGGCTCTTCATGAAGTCTCATTCGTCCATCCCCAGCCTCACTCCAGATGGCTCTTCCACCTCTACACCCTCTCTACTGGTGTTGTTTAATGACAACATATCCTTGGCTCTACTTTCTTCTCAAGATGTCACCCAGCCAAGTGATGTGTAGTATGATTTTAACAACTCTGCACCATCCTCTACACACAATTACTAAACACTCATCACTGGCCTCCACCTTCACTTGTGCTTGTGTCATCTGTTACTAGCAAATACTAATCAATATATTACATTATGGTTAGCTGGACTTAAGTCCTGGAAGTGGGAAGGACAGTGCCTGCACTTTAGAGTAGTATGGGATATCTATGGTTTAGAGTGGTATCCACACACCTCTGGCAAGACAATGATAGTGTGAATGATGGTAAAAGTGTTTCTTTTTTGGATCACCCTGCCTTGGTGGGAGATGGCCAATGTTAAAAAAAAAAAAAAAAAAAAAAAAAAAAAAAAAAAAAAAAAAAAAAAAAAAAAAAAAAAAAAAAAAAAAAAGTCGACTCCACGAGGAAGTGGGTTAGAATCCTTCCTCCGTAAGGTATGCAAGTTGTAAGAGATGACTGAAGTTTTGAGAGCAAGGGGCTTGTAATCCTTTCACCTATATAAATTACCTATAAAAATTACTTTCATTTTTCGGATCACCCTGACTCAGTAGGAGACAGCCAATGTATAAAAAAAAAAAAAAAAAAAAAAAAAAAAAAAAAAAAAGGAGGTCTCATAAAGCATCCCTATATTCTACATAATAATCAGCAGTTGCTTTACTGGATTTTGTCTTATACGCCACAGGCCAGAACACATTTGTCACAAAGCAAAAAATACCAATAATTAAATGATGTTTAACCCTTTCAGGGTCCGTCCCGTAGATCTACGGCTCTATGTTCAGTGTCCAAACCGTAGATCTACGTCATGAGCTCACTCTGATAAACTGAGAGTGGTAAATTTGGGCCTAGATATGAGAGAATACATCTATGTGGTATGTGTGCACCACATAAAACAAATCCTGCAGCACACTGTGTATAATGAGAGGAAAAAAACAGACCGTGATTTTCGATTAAAACAGCGACTTTGCAGTGTTTTTTCCTATGTTTTTTATAGTTGTATTTGTGATTTCTTGGTCTCATTTGATAGAATGGAAGACATATTACAGAAATAGAGATAATTTTGATTGGTTTTAGCATTGGAAATGGCTTGAAACTGAGCTCAAAGTGGCGGAAATGCTAAATTTTTGCCGATGTTCAAGAGTAAACAAACGACCTCACACGTCTAATACACGCCAGCTGGTGGGTCTAATATACATTCATAAATGTGGTGATGATATTTATACAATTATTACAATATTGCATAACAGTAAATCTTCTATTTTTTGGTGTGAATAAAAATTCATTATGTGAATAAAAAATCAAAATGGAATTTATTTGTAAAGCCTCAAAATGTAACTAATGAACAGAGGAAATGTTAGTTTAGTGCCAGGAATACCTACATTGTTTATTCTGGATCCTATTTTGAAATTGGAATATTTTGAACTTTGTTAAATTGGCCAAATTACCAATTTCCGGTCACTTTAATTTGTAGTTGAAACAGTTGACTTGGCGATTTCTTGTGCTCAATCGATAGAATAGAAGTAATCCTAGTGAAATAGCTAAGAATTTGGTCGACTGGAATAATGTAATTGGCCTAAAATGGGAGTCAAAGTTGGCAAAATCGCCGATTCGTAAATATCGCTGACGCATCAAAATTCACGAGAGCATAATTTTGTCAATTTCCCATCAAATTTCGTACTTTTTGTTTTATTACATACACAAAAAGATTCTCTACCATTTCATAAGAAAAAAATAACAATTTTTTTTTGAAAATTCTTGGACACTGGGGCACCACTTCAGATTTTGGCCTTGGACCCTGAAAGGGTTAAGGAAGAAAACTGCATAACACTGTATTAGAAAAAATTTTAACAGGCATTTCATTTAACCTGGTCAATATACCTGAGTACACAGTTGCAGCAATAATTTAGCAGCACCAGTATCATTTTGAGCTAGTGCCCCAATAGCATCACTGAGGTGCGCTAGACTTGTGCTAACATCTGTTGCTTGCACCACTGCACCACACGTCCTTGCACAACCATCTAGTGGAACACGCCCTGCCATTAGAAATTAACGTGTGAATACAATTAAATTCCATAATATGCAGTAATCTATCACTTCATGCTGAGTCGCTGAAGGCCAATGTGATGAACCGTGACTACCAGCAATGCCTTGCGCATGATAAAAATTTGTTCTAATGCGATCAATGGGGTTTGCAAAACATAATGACGATTCTTATAATGAAATATTAAATATTGATGAATTGACTGAGATTACAGCTGTCATGGGCTTAAAATAAATTTACTACAAGGTGAGGGGTAACTATTTTATTTTATACAATAACAATAGTTGGTTAATATTATATCAATTTACAAAAATTTAATTAACCATTATTGAAATTTTTGGGAAGGTGTTGAAAAGAGCATACCTTGAGCAACCAGCCACATTAAACGAACTAAGAGACGAACATCACACAGCCCCAGAGCTTCTAGCCCAGCCCACAAGTCGCATGACCCTCCACTTAAAGCAAGCAGGGAGAGAGCTCTCATCACAACTGCTCGTGCCATAGTGACTCGGAGTGCATGAGTGGTGCGGCGCAAGGCTGAGATTCGAGCAATGGGGGAAGTTAATGAAGCAGCTTGTTCGCCGAGACTGCGTTCTTGGGCACTGCTCACGCTGCTGTCTCGTGGTCGGGCTCCAGCACCTGTGGCTGCAGCAGTTAACAGGATGTTAAGATGGTGTTTCAACAGAACAAAATTCTTGTTAAAAAATAGTCAAAATACCATAGATGGAACAATTTAACCAATAATTTGGGGATGAAAATATAAGCCATGTTATGGTCTGGACAGTCTTAGACTTTGTCAATGTGTGACTTTGTCAATGGTCCAAGTCGGACCGAAACGTCGCCGTAAGCTCTCTTTTATGTGTGGGTTATTTGTGTATTAGACAATTATTAATTCAACAGTTGATAATAGTATTTTTTTAATGTGAGGGAGTGTAAAACCTATTGGGATTACAAGGCTTTGGGAAAGGGAAGTAATCAGATTCAATGAAGGGTAAGGTAATCAAGTCCATTTACTTGAATCAAAACACCTCCCTTAAGGGGTAACAATGGTAGAGAATGGATCAAAATGTCATCTGAAAACTCCTTCCCAAAATTTGTTAGCTGTGCAAATTCTCAAGTGTATCACTGATGATATATACCAAATATTAGTGTTTTGAAAAATACATACAGATAGGCCTCTCACAACACGGATTTAGGTAGAGCATTATTATTACATCGCTAATCATATTTATATCCAAAAATTATTACAACATGGCTCCAGCCTGTTTAACATGGTTAAAGTTGGGAAAAGTTAATTCTGGGTTGGTTTCCACTCAAAAAATTCCCCTCTGCACTGTGAAGTTGGGACAAATTTGAAATTGGGACTGGATCCCATAAGGAAAATTCTCCTCTGCACCATAGTCATCTCCTGGTTGATGGTTGAAGGTGGTGATAGGTTCTGATAGTGTTGGTAGGTGATTATGAAATTGTATACAATACTAATAAGCAGATGACTAAGATGTATGCAACAGCTGGGTATCTTTATTGTTGAAACAGTTTGCCTACACAGAAGGCTCCTTTAGTCAAATACAAAGAATAAATAGGGAGAGAGTAGTAGTGGTGAGAAAGATGATTATCTGTCCCTTAGCTGAACTCTCCTCCAGGCTGAGGGACTGACCATCTCATACTCTATTACTTCAAGGTTGATGGACTGACTGCATTATCTTTACCTCGCTGCCACTCCTGTTGTCTCCATATTTTTTACTCTATTTCACTGAAGCCAACTTCACAGGCAAAATATTTCGACAATAAAGATACCCAACTGTTGCATGTGTATCTTACTCATATGGTAGGTGATCATATGTGATGGGGTCGGTATGTTGTGGTGAAGATAGCAGCGACAATATAAAATATTACTGACCCTAAGTGATGATGAAAGATGGTGACAGAATGACAGTGGTGTTAGATGGTGACAGTGTTGTGAAGTGTTCACAGGTGATACGGCTGGTAGGTTGAGGTAGTGGTAGCAGTTACAATATGAAATATTACTGGCTGTAATTGATGGTGCAGGGTGGTGTTAGGTGATGGGCAGTGATGGGTGGTGCTAGGTGATGAGTGGTATTGGGTGGTGTTAGATAGTGAATGGTGGTGCTAGGAACATAACTGCTGCACTATGCGAGGTCTTGCAATATTTTTATAACATTTTAAAGATACTGTATGGTACTACAACCACTAAACTTGTTTGCTTACAAAAATAATTATCAAACCTACCACTTGACTCTGCTGCATCACATATGTTGGACCCCAACGTAGTAGCACCCAGTGGATCGGCACTTGGGAATGGCATAGGATCAGGTATGGGCTGTCTTTCAGTTAGGCCTAACCGAGAAGCTATTACATTATAGTTCGTCAGTTTCAAGTCAATTTCATTCATGCTTAGACCATCATCTGGAATTATAAATGAATAGTGAGAAACGAGACAAAGTGGGAGAAAACTAAGTCGGGTGACAATTTTAAGTGTTAATGACACGCAACTGTAATACAAAAAGTCCTCGACTTACAAATACTTTGAGAATATTCTGTATTGTGTATAATATTAATGACTATTGTGTCATTATTACACACAATTCAGAAGGTCCCCAATGTGTTTGTAAGTTGAAGACTTCCTGTAACAGGATTGCAAACAAACAACGTAGTAGGATGAATGTTATTGTAGCCAGCTGGCCCAGTGGTTAACACACCGGCTTGGAGTTTTATGACTCACCATGGATTCAAATCCCACCTGCTCCATGTTTTTTTTTTTTTCAGTGTTAATTATCATAAAGATATGAATACAGGTCAGCTTATATTAAATCCTAACTTGCTTTTCCCTTTCAAAAAAAAAAAAACAAAGTACAATTCATTTTGCACTGAGAATCATACAACACAAGTGACAAACTACGTATGTGCAGAGAACCAGGACTGAACCAGTGATCTTGTAAATGTAAATTCATTATTTTACTACATTCCTCTAACTCCCTAGAAATCCATTAATTACTTACGAACATATATGTAAAATGTACTTTTTATATATAATTTTATATAAATAAAAAATACTTTTTTTTATAATTAGTTATTGAAAATTTAATGAACTGCATAACAGGGGGCTTTCACAAGTACAACAGAAAAATGTGCAACGTAAAAAAATCATGCAGTTCCACAGAAATAAATGTTGCTTCACTGCAACACTTGGCCCAAAAATTCATAGGGGGTGATGTTCCTAGAAGTAATGAAAATCTAAAATCTGCAAATAACACAAATTACATCCACAAAGTATTTTTCGGAATTGGGCTTTTTATGTTTCAGATACCATCCCCCATCCCCCTTTCTTTAACTCTCACTACAATCAGGTTCATACTTTTTTCAACACACTGGCCATCTCCCACCAAGGCAGGGTGACACAAAAAAAAAAAATTTTTACCATCATTCAAACTGTCTTTGCAGAGGCACACAGATATGACAGTTCAGATGTCACTAAACAGCAAATATCCCAAACCCCTTCTGTAGAGTGCAGCCATTGTACTTCCCAACCCCAGGACTCAAATCCAGCTAACCGGTTTTCCCAAATCCCTTCACAAAATACCACCCTGCTCACACTCCAACAGCTCATCAATTCCCAAAACCATTCGTCTCCACTCGCTCCTATCTAACATGTTCATACATTTTTTTTTTTCCAACAAGTGGGCCGTCTCCCACCAAGGAAGGGTGACCCAAAGAGAAAGAAGATCCCCAAAAAGAAAAAAACTTTCATCATCATTCAACACTTTGACCTCACTGACACATAATCACTGTTTTTGCAGAGGTGCCCAGAATACAACAGTTTAGAAGTATTTTTTTTTTATTATTATCACACTGGCCGATTCCCACCAAGGCAGGGTGGCCCGAAAAAGAAAAACTTTCACCTTCATTCACTCCATCACTGTCTTGCCAGAAGGGTGCTTTACACTACAGTTTTTAAACTGCAACATTAACACCTGTATAAAAACACACAACATATCTCTCCAAACTGCCAATATCCCAAACCCCTCCTTTACAGTGCAGGCATTGTACTACTTCCCATTTCCAGGACTCAAGTCCGGTTATATAAAATAACCGGTTTCCCTGAATCCCTTCACTAAATATTACCCTGCTCACACTCCAACAGATCGTCAGGTCCCAAATACCATTTGTCTCCATTCACTCCTATCTAACACGCTCACGCACGCTTGTTGGAAGTCCAAACCCCTCGCCCACAACACCTCCTTTACCCCCTCCCTCCAACCTTTTCGAGGACGACCCCTACCCCGCCTACCTTCCCCTACAGATTTATACGCTCTCCATGTCATTCTACTTTGATCCAGTCTCTGTAAATGACCAAACCACCTCAACAACCCCTCTTCAGCCCTCTGACTAATGCTTTTATTAACTCCACACTTTCTCCTAATTTCCACACTCCGAATTTTCTGCATAATATTTACACCACACATTGCCCTTAAACAGGACATCTCCACTGCCTCCAACCGCCTCCTCGCTCCATGCCTGCTGTATATCAGAACTGTTATTCAATAAAAAAAGAATGACCAGAAATCAAAGAAATCTGTGTAGAAAATCTAACATCTACACATTTTTTGAATGAAATTCTATGGCACTAAGAAAAAAACAACAATCAAATTTATCCACAAACTGCCCATCATCAAAAAATGTGTTGGACAATCAAATTTTTCTAATAGAAGAGAGAAATGTACACAGGTATGCACACAGCTCAGCTTGCAATGGCAACGAGGCTAATTCAATCTGCAGGACTCCTTATTTATTTTATTTTTATTAACACATCAGCCGTTTCCCGCCAAGGTAGGGTGACCCAAAAAAGAAGAAACACTTTCATCATCATTCACTATATCACTGTCTTGGCAGAGGTACACCAACACTAGTTAAAAAAACTGCAACTCCTTATGCAATTTGTAGTTCATTTTGTTTACTCGAGGGGTGATGAGGTACATACCTTCCATAGTGGCAAGGGGAGCTGGTGCCAAATCTGGCGCTAATACCGTGGATAAGTCCCGCAGGCACTCCTGGCCGTCGACTGACTCTCCCTGAGGTAGCCCAAGCCCACCATTGCCTCCCACATGCTGCTCTTGACATACCTCACATAAGATGTAAGTTCCCCCTGTGAATTCAAGTACAAGATGGAATGAAGAAAATGTATGGAATGAGAGAAGTGAGTGAGTGTGTGTGTGTGTGTGTGTGTGTGTGTGTGTGTGTGTGTGTGAGTGTGTGTGAGTGTGTGTGTGTGAGTGTGTGTGTGTGTGAGTGTGTGTGTGTGTGAGTGTGTGTGTGTGTGAGTGTGTGTGTGTGTGAGTGTGTGTGAGTGTGTGAGTGTGTGAGTGTGTGTGTGTGTGTGTGTGTGTGTGTGTGTGTGTGTGTGTGTGTGTGTGTGTGTAGTGTGTGAGTGTGTGTGTGTGTGTGTGTGTGTGTGTGTGTGTGTGTGTGTGTGTGTGTGTGTGTGTGTGTGTGTGTGAGAGTGTGTGTGTGAGAGTGTGTGTGTGTGTGTGTGTGTGTGTGTGTGTGTGTGTGTGTGTGTGTGTGTGTGTGTGTGTGTGTGTGTGTGTGTGTGTGTGTGTGTGTGTATGTGTGTGTGTGTGTGAAACAGAGGAAGGTAGAGAGGGATGGGACAGGGAAGGGTGATGGAAGGAAGAGAGGAAATAAGAATAAAAAAATGACAAATGAGGGAGAGAGAGAAGACGGAGAGAGGTGGAGGTGTGTTTACTTAGTGAGTCGTGTCTGCTGGTGTTCTCGTTAATCAAACACAAGAATTGTAGTAGTAGTTTCAATTAAATTAAAAGTGTGATAATTAATGTATTTTAGCTAAAAAAAAAAAAGTATGTAAGAAAATTGCTTCAAAGCACTCTGAATCATAGAAATATGCAATAAAAACTCTCAGTTTAACAAAGTTCAGAAATACAGGACAGAACCTGTGTAAACTGATTTGGAAACAATGAACGAACTTCATGGTTCCAAAACTGTCAATTATTGTTACAATCACAGCAAAATCTCATCTCTATCCATCATAATTGCCCTCACGGGCCAACTGTGGCATGCTATGAGTATGTTACATTTTATTCGGTGTATGTCACACACCCATATCGGCATGCCTCCCAACCAGCTGCTAAGAGTATAATGAGCAAGGGCCCCATTGTTATGCTAGTACCTTGGTTCAACTAGCTAATAGCAAGGAAGCCCACCGAGGTTGTAAAGCGATGTGGTACACTCGTGAATCATCCTTGGCAAACTTACCTTCAAATCTGGTCACTACGGTTCTCACCATGTCTCTTGCTTGCATTTGCCTTATTGTATAAGAATATAAGAAAGAAGGAACACTGCAACAGGTCTACTGACCCATGCGGAGCAGGTCCATGTCCCCCCCCCCCTCCCCCGGATTAGACCAATGACCCACACCCCAGATTATCCCAATGACCCACCCAGCCTGGTCATCTCCACTCAAGGATGGAGCACTGCACCAGACCCAGCAGCACAAGCTAGTCAGGTCCAACTCGCATCCATCCACACCCACTCATGTATTTATCTAACCTATTTTTAAAACGACACAACGTTTTAGCCTCAGTAACTGTACTCGGGAGTTTGTTCCACTCATCCACAACTCTATTACCAAACCAGTGCTTTCCTATATCATTCCTGAATCTGAATTTTTCCAACTTGAAACCATTGCTGCGAGTCCTGTCTTGGCTGGAAATTTTCAGCATGCTATTTACATCCCCTTTATTTATTCCTGTTTTCCATTTATACACCTCGATCATATCCCCTCTAATTCTACGCCTTTTGAGAGAGTGCAGATTCAGGGCCCTCAGTCTATCCTCATAGGGAAGATTTCTGATACATGGGATCATCTTTGTCATCCTCTTTTGTACGTTTTCCATAGCATTTATATCCATTCTGTAATACGATGACCAGAACTGAGCAGCATAGTCTAAATGAGGCCTAACCAAGGATATATAGAGTTGAAGAACAACCTGAGGACTTCTATTATTTATACTTCTAGATATGAAGCCAACAATTCTGTTAGCTTTATTGCGAACACTAATGCACTGTTGTCTTGGTTTTAGGTTACTGCTAACCAGAACTCCTAAATCCTTTTCGCAATCAGTAGTATTAAGATCTACATCATTTAGTTTATATGTGGCATGGTTATTTAACTGTCCAACATTTAGAACTTTGCATTTGTCAATATTAAACTGCATCTGCCACTTCTCCGACCATTGCGTCAGTCTATTAAAATCATCATACAGCTGTATGTATTGTACCTAACTGATTACTATTTGGCGAAGGAAATACAAATATTTAATCTTTCTCTGCTGCCTTTTTGCTCATTCCTATGTGGTTATTGTGCTACAGCAAGGCATGCAGGCCAGTGGACCATCTGTGTTCCTAATACCACTCTCTGTCCTCTATTAGTCCATTTAAGGGTTTTTCTGTAACAGGGCCAGGGCTGATTGGAAGGCAAAATGTCAATACTTATGGTAGATCGAACACACAGCAGAGCAAATATTTATTAGTCAACAGCTCCCTCAGAGGTGAGCGTGAGTAGTGCATCTAGCAATTAACAGATGGAGGATAGTGCTTCCACTACTTCCTGGATGATCCACACGAGTTTAGTGCTTCACATAAATGTAAGAATAATTTATTAAAGGACTGTTCTGCTGTGTCTTGTATCACAAGTCTGCATAACATTTCAAAGGTATCTTGGCCTTGGTGTACTGACGAATATGTACTTGCTTATATGTGGTCGAAGTGGTCAAGTCCCGGCCCTGCCCATCAACTTGCTGCTTGCCAAATTCACTCCTTTGTAGCCTCATGGGCCCTACTGTACCTGTTCTTAAAACTATACATGGAACCTGCCTCTACCAGCTCTTCATCAAGATCATTCCACTTCCCGACCACTCATACTGAAGAAATACTTCCTGTCTTCTTGTGGTTCACCTGTGCTCACTACACTGTGCACTCAGCACTTCTCAATCATTCTTCCCTCCTCATTCCTTTCAGAGAGATGCATTCCTCACACCATAAAAGTTAACTTTCTCAGTAATGGCAGTAGCATCCTCAGTGCTGGTGGTGTCAAAGGCAGACATGATGCCAGTGGTGATGGAGATACATCATGACAATTATGATGATGATCATGACAACGATGATGAAAACTCAGGAATCACACAAGACTGCTAACCAATCTTTGTTTGTCGCTAATCCTAGCAAGAAGTAGATGGAGAGACTGAAGCAGGTAGAGAACATTTCCTTACCTTGTGAGACAACAAACAACCATGGCAACTCACTCAGGACACCAAAGTCTCAAACAACCAGAGAGAAAATAATCTAGTCTAACATGGTTAATACTGCACAAAACATTTAAGTCTGCACTTCTTGTTAGAAATAAGTTAACTCTTCTGTTATTTAAAACAGGCAGGCCCTGCTTCACGGCATTTCACTTGGCAGTGTTTCAATAACGCAGTGGTTTTCAATTATACTCGTTCTTCATTTATTCAGACTTCCTACAATAAATATATTCACCACTCACTATAAACCAAGGATGAAAATATTTTGAGGTAAGTAATGTGTGTAATGTATATGCATTTTTTAGGCCTAGCTCTATTGCTTTACAGCAGTAGCCCAGATCCTAACCTGCTATATAAGTGAAGCCCTCCTGTAATAACTTAGGGAATCATCATCCCTGCAGCCCTGTCTTGGAATTGGCCTAAATTGGAACAAAATATTACAGGAAGAAGAAATATTAATAAATGCATAATATTATGTGCCTGCCAAATGTAAGTAGAAGTATGTGAAGGAAAGATTACAGCTATGAAGCTCAAGTTACCATACTTTGTTATGGGACTCTTGAGCCTAACTTACAGATGCGTAAGTCAATATCTATAATTTTCCACAAACAAAACAATTACAAATCTATTCATTTACTAGCCCACATTCTGGCCATGGTGGTGTTTATTCTTTCCTGCCATGCAATGCTTCACATATACTGTGTGTGGTAAGTCTACTACTGAATCAAGCTACATTATACAAGTATTAAATTTTAGCTTAAGTCTACCTGAAATGCCTTTTTTCAATGAATTGGCCATGTTTCACTGAGGCAGGTGACCTAAAAAGAAATATGAAAGTTTTTCTTTTTACATTTAGTAATTTATGTAAGGGAAGGGATTACTAGCCCTTTGCTCCCGGTATTTTAGTCACCTTTTACAACACGCATGACTTAGGGGGAAGAAGAATTCTAACCCACTTCCCCATGGAGAAATTATTATTAATTATTATTATTTATTCAAAATACTATAAGAGCAGCAACATCTCCTTTATTCCCAATTTAACGGCCCTACTGAAAAATGACAGACATTGAAAAACCCCTTATACATGATGCAAGACATTTAATCAAGTTGCTTGCAACTATAGCATGCGAGATGAAAATTGTGATATCCATGAAGAAGCATTAACCCCTTTACTCTCAGAAACCCTGAAAATAAAAGTGCTGACAATGATGGGAGTTGAAAAATCTTCTGAAATGGTAGAGAATCTATTTCTGAAGGTAATAATACCAAAAATGCAAAATCTGATGGAAAATTCATTATACTACATAGGCACAAAGTTGGCAGTCTGGGTGCAATTTGTGCATCAGCAATTTTGACCACTTTGGGTTCTACTTTAAGCAAATTCCATTACTCAATTTCATAAAATTCTTAGCTATCTCATTAGAATGCCTCCCACTCCATGACCTGAGCACAAGAAACAGCACAGTCACCTATCAGAACTACCTTATAAATTGCAGGGAATTTGGTAAAGGCCAATTTCACACAAATTTAAAAATATTCCGATTTAAAAACCAGTCTAAAATAAGCACTTATAGGCATTCCAGCCACTACAGCAACATTTCCTCTGTTCATTAATCACATCCCCAGGTCTTCTATGTTACAAATGCCCTTCCTTTTGAATGCATTATCAGACAAAAAAAGAAGTTTTACCCTATTTCCCAGATAATATAATATAACCAAGAATGATTAGTCGTGGTTCATGGTGTTCCAATAATTAAAGCGGATCTAGTAAAACTTAATAAAACAGAATAAGGGGTGAGACAGGAAAATCTCCAATCCATACCCTTTATCAGGAATATCACCAAAAAAACTGAACATTTCTACCACCTTGAGGCTTATTTCAAGCCACATCAAGTCTGAAACTAACCAAAATCTCTTGGTATCAATTGATACTAGGAAACAGCCAATGAAACCATAAAAACCACCCTCAAAACCAGCACTGTCACTTTTTAAAACCAAACACAAGGTCAGAAGTTTGCTTTTCTCATAAAGAGCTGCACGAGTTAGGATTTTTTTCATACTGTGCATACCCACTACAAAGACCCATTCTCTCTAAGTCTAGGCCAAAATATACCACTCACAGAATACTTGAAGGCACTGTGCTTAAAACATAGACCTGAGTGACACTTTCATAAATGACATACATTGCATGAGAGACAGTGCAAGGGTTAACTAATGCCCCAAAAATACAGCTTATGCATTGAATACATCAATTATTAGTTTCTGACAATCAAATGACCAACAATAAGCACAAATAACAATAAAAAATCTATTATGCAAATATTCACAATAATATTGCCAAATTTTACTAAGACAAACATGTAAGCAGTTATAATACAAAATTCAACTCCACATCTAGAAGCAACTTCAATTTCCAATAGATGTTGATTCCTGTGTATGATATTCCAATAACAGGTACAGTATAACTAACCTATAAGAGTGCCACAAACACCAGCCATCCAGGGTCGAGCACAGCCTGGGTGAGCTACACGCATGTGTTGCCGTAGATTACTGGTCGGGTGGTGGCACACCTCGCACACACTCATGGCTCTCTCACCCTCATTATTCGTGGCTGCCTGTAAAAAGATTATCTGCATTATGTTTCTACTATAAAATATTGCAATCTGACAAGTACCATGGGGAAAGTCACAGCACTGTAATGTGACTGCAACGATTCACAATTAATCCACTTTACAGACAATTTACAACCCACAATACCATTACTGTAACAACTCGCAACTAACCCACAAGTTAGAGATAACTATTCCAGACAATATTTCAGTTCATCCAGGACCATTATCAAGTACTGTACATAGTCATCAGTGGCTCCACAAGTTTTATATAGGAATAGCTTAAGGAGATATGCTTTGGAGCGAAAGGACTGACGGCACTTTCGGTCTTCAGCCCTGATTGTACAGCTTTTCCAAATGCTCAATAAATATTCTGACCAGTAGTTTTAAGTGCATTAAATATTCAGTACCTAACGAGTGACTTTTCCCTTTCTATTTTAAGTCATTTTCTGAACTCTCATAAGAGATTAAAACTATCTTTGATTCATGAAGAAGGAAAAGATTTTCTTCAGCATAATCTAACATTCTGGTGCATATTTTAGTCATGAACAAGATTAATTAAAAAGCTTTATTGAACCTATACACAGCTGATTTAAAACCTTTTATGAACCTCTGGGGGTCATGTAGCACCTGAGGAATGGGAAGTAATCAGGTCTGATTTAAGGAAGTGACTGAAAAAGCCTGATACACAAGCAAAATATCGTATCAAAGTTGAAGATTTAGACACATGTGCAACTTCTGGGTATCTTTATTGCAGACGTTATGCCATCCTATGACTTTATCAATACAGATTCTAGGATCTGTATTGATAAAGCGACTGGATGGTGAAATGTCTACACAAAGATACCCAGATGTTGTACGTGTCTAAATCTTCATCTTGTCGGAATTGTATACCATTCTTGTACAACTCATCCGAGTTGCTTGAAACTGATAATTTACGATTTTTTGGATTTTTTCCTGCTTTCCACTGAAATTAAAATCTTTTTACTAAAAATTCATTATTTTACGTTCAGAATACCAAATCTCTTAGATTTTGTTGTACACTTCATTTGATTTTTTAAAAATTCAGCGATCAGCACTTGCCTCTATCACAGCCCTCCACTCTTGGTCACGGGAAGCACTGAATGAATTCCTATTTATCACATCTAATCCCAGTGAGCTACACAACCAGTGGTCCAAATCACTCGGCAGGGTTCCTATGGCATCATCGGAGCTCCGGTGACGGTCTTCAAAAACTGCACGACTGTATCTGAAACGGCTCTCACTACGGCCATGTTGATGCTGCCTGGAGCTCTCCGTGTCTCTGCTGTCCACTCCTCTTCCTAGGATGCAAAGCATAATTAAATTATCACCATGGCAAATTCATGAACTTTTATCAACAACCATAACACATTACTATTAAATACAATTTACAGCTACTAATTAAGAGATAGTTAATGTGTTTCCTTCTTTGTGTCACCCTACATTTGTGGAAAACAACCAATATGGTAAAAAAATAATTTTAGGCAGCACAGCAACATGTCTGCCTTGCATTTAGCAGATGGATAACTGACCTTGAACTAACTGCACTGAATTACCAACACAGATTTACCACATCACATAGAAAAGCATGTGTACAGCAAATAAAAATAAACCACACTCTTATAACTGTGTGGAGTTAAAGGAGTAGAGCCATACCTTTATGACCATCATGTATTTAACCCTTTGACCGTTTTCAATGTATAAATACGTCTTACGAGCCAATGTTTCTGACATATATATACTCAATTCTAGCGGCTTCAAATCAAGCGGGAGAAAGCTGGTAGGCCCACATGTGAGAGAATGGGTCTGTGTGGTCAGTGTGCACCACATAAAAAAAATCCTGCAGCACACATTGTGTAATGAGGTGTATTTTCGTATAGTATTTATCGTTGTATTCGCGTTTTCATGGTCTTAGGTGATAAAATGGAAAACATATTACAGAAATAGAGATGATTTTCATTACTTTGACGATGAAAACGACCTTGAAACTGAGCTCAAATTAGCGGAAATGTTCGATTTTTACAAATGTTCAGGAGTAAACAAATCACACCACACGTCCAATACACGTCAACTGGGGAGTCTAATATTCTTTCACTAGTGCACTGATATTATTTATACCATTTTTACAATAATGCATTAGTCTGCATAACAGTAAATTTTGTATTTTTTTGTATGAATAAAAAATCAAAATAGAAAGCAATAATAATATAAGAGGGGCCTAGAGATGTGACTAATGAACAGAGGATATGCTATTTTAGTGCCAAGAATGTCTACCTTGTTTATTCTGGACCCTATTTTGAAATTGGCATCTTTTTTAATTTGCATGAAATTGGCCAAATTGCCAATTTCTGACCACTATATTGGGTAGTTCAAATTGGTAAATGGGCAGTTTCTTGTACTCAGCTGATAGATAAAATGGAGTTCTAAAGAAACAGCTATGAGTTTGGTCAACTGGAACAACGAAATTGGCTGAAAACAGGGCTCAAAGTCGTCGAAATCGCCGATACACATATGTCGCCGATTCCGCTAACTTAGCGGGAGCGTAATTCCGTGAGTTTTCGACCAAATTTCGAACTTTTGGTGTCATTACCATCGGGAAAAGATTCTCTGTCATTTCATAAGAAAAAATCATTTTTTTTTCGAATATTTGGCAACATAAAATGAGTTTCAGAAAGGGGCCTGAAACAGTCAAAGGGTTAAAACACATTAAGTGCCATTAACAACCACTAATGCTCTTGGTGTCCCGTCTTCAGTGTTAAATTTGCTATAAAAAATTTTATAAGTTAACAGCGGTTGTAGTGTTTGTGTGTGTGTATGTACTGCATATACATATATAGATATACGTATGTATATTAGTAGTAGTAGGTTGGTAGACAGCAACCACCCAGGGAGGTACTACCATCCTGCCAAGTGAGTGTAAAACGAAACCGTGTAATTGTTTTACACGATGGTAGGATTGCTGGTGTCTCTTGTCAGTCTCATAAATATGCAAGATTACAGGTATGCCTTGCTACTTCTACTTACACTTAGGTCACACTACACATACATGTACATGTTTATTTATACACACTCATCTGAGTTTTCTTTGATTTTATCTTAGTTCTTGCTCTAATTACTTTTCCTTTTACATCCATGGGGAAGTGGAATAAGAATCTTTCCTCCGTAAGCCATGCGTGTTGTAAAAGTCAACTAAAATGCCGGGAACAATGGGCTAATAATCCCTTTTCCTGTAAAAATTACTAAAAAGAAAAAGAAGAAAATTGTCAAAGTGGGAAGTCTGAATGTGCGTGGATGTTGTGTGAATGATAAGAAAGAGATGATTGTGGATGTTATGAATGAGAAGAAGCTGGATATCCTGGCTTTAAGTGAAACATGGCTGAAGGGGGTGGGCGAGTTTCAATGGAGAGGAATAAATGGGATTAGGTCAGGGGTTTCAAATAGAGTTAGAGCTAAAGAAGGAGTAGCAATAATGTTGAAGGATAAGCTATGGCAGGAAAAGAGGGACTATAAATGTATAAAGTCAAGGATTATGTGGAGTAAAATAAAGGTGGGATGGGAGAAGTGGGTTACAGAAAGCGTTTATGCACCTGGGAAAGAGAGAAGTATAGAGGAGAGAGAGAGATTTTGGGAAATGTTCAGTAATTGCATGGAGAGTTTTGAGCCAATTGTGAGAGTACTTGTGGTTGGGGATTTTAATGCTAAAGTGGGAAAAAATGTTGTGGAGGGTGAAATAGGTAAATTTGGGGTGCCAGGGGTAAATGTAAATGGGGAGCCTTTAATTGAGCTATGTGTAGAAAGAGATTTGGTAATAAGTAATACATATTTTATGAAAAAGAGGACAAATAAATATACAAGGTATGATGTAGCACGTAATGAAAGTAGTTTGTTAGATTATGTATTGGTGGATAAAAGGTTAATGGGTAGGCTCCAGGATGTACACGTTTATAGAGGGGCAACTGATATATCGGATCATTATCTAGTTGTAGCTACAGTTAGAGTAAGAGGTAGATGGATTAAGAGGAAAATGGCAACAACAAGTAAGAGGGAGGTGAAAGTGTATAAACTAAGGGAGGAGGAAGTTTGGGTGAAATATAAGCAACTATTGGCAGAAAGGTGGGCTAGTGCAAAGATGAGTAGTGGGGGGGGGGGGGGTCGAAGAGGGTTGGACGAGTTTTAAAAATGCAGTATTAGAATGAGGGGCAGAAGTTTGTGGTTATAGGAGGGTGGGGGCAGGAGGAAACAGGAGTGATTGGTGGAATGATGAAGAAAAGGGTGTGATAAAAGAGAAAAAGATAGTTTATGAGAGGTTTTTACAAAGCAGAAGTGTGATAAGAAGAGCAGAGTATATGGAGAATAAAAGAAAGGTGAAGAGAGTGGTGAGAGAGTGCAAAAGGAGAGCAGATGATAGAGTGGGAGAGGCACTGTCAAGAAATTTTAATGAAAATAAGAAAAAATTTTGGAGAGAGTTCTAGCAGCCAGGTTGTGGCATCAACATTTGAAATACTTTTTTTAAATTGAGAGTTTCAGTGGAGAGGAAAAAATGGGATTAGGTCAGGGGTTTCAAAGAGAGTTAGAGCTAAAGAAGGAGTAGCAATAATGTTGAAGGATAAGATATGGCACGAAAAGAGGGACTATAAATGTATTAATTAAAGGATTATGTGGAGTAAAATAAAGGTTGGATGTGAAAAGTGGGTTATAGTAAGCATATATGCACCTGGAGAAAAGAGAAGTGTAGAGGAGAGAGAGAGATTTTGGGAAATGTTGAGTGAATGCTTGGGGAGTTTTGAACCAAGTGTGAGTAATGGTGGTTGGGGATTTCAATGTTAAAGTGGGTAAAAATGCTGTGGAGGGAGTAGTAGGTAAATTTGGTGTGCCAGGGGTAAATGTAAATGGGGAGCCTTTAATTGAGCTATGTGTGGAAAGAGATTTGGTAATAAGTAATGAACGTAGTTTGTTAGATTATGTATTGGTGGATAAAAGGTTAATGGGTAGGCTCCAGGATGTACATGTTTATAGAGTGGCAACTGATACAGATCATTATTTAGTTGTAGCTACAGTTAGAGTAAGAGGTAGATGGGACAAGAGGAAGGTGGCAACAACAAGTAGGAGGGAAATGAAAGTGTATAAACTAAGGGAGGAGGAAGTTAGGGCGAGATATAAGCGACTATTGGCAGAAAGGTGGGCTAGTGCAAAGATGAGTAGGGGGGGGGGGGGGGTTGAAGAGGGTTGGATGAGTTTTAAAAATGCAGTATTAAAATGTGGGGCAGAAGTTTGTGGTTATAGGAGGGTGGGGGCAGGAGGAAGAGGAGTGATTGGTGGAATGAAGTAAAGGGTGTGATAGGGTGGGGGCAGGAGGAAAGAGGAGTGATTGGGGGAATGAAGTAAAGGGTGTGATAAAAGAGAAAAAGATAGCTTATGAGAGGTTTTTACAAAGCAGAAGTGTGATAAGAAGAGCAGAGTATATGGAGAATAAAAGAAAGGTGAAGAGAGTGGTGAGAGAGTGCAAAAGGAGAGCAGATGATAGAGTGGGAGAGGCACTGTCAAGAAATTTTAATGAAAATAAGAAAAAATTTTGGAGCGAGTTAAACAAGTTAAGAAAGCCTAGGGAACATACGGATTTGTCAGTTAAAAACAGAGTAGGGGAGTTAGTAGATAGGGAGAGGGAGGTATTAGGTAGATGGCGAGAATATTTTGAGGAACTTTTAAATGTTGAGGAAGAAAGGGAGATGGTAATTTCATGCACTGGCCAGGGAGGTATACCATCTTTTAGGAGTGAAGAAGAGCAGAATGTAAGTGTGGGGGAGGTACGTGAGGCATTATGTAGAATGAAAGGGGGTAAAGCAGCTGGAACTGATGGGATCATGACAGAAATGTTAAAAGCAGGGGAGGATATAGTGTTGGAGTGGTTGGTACTTTTGTTTAATAAATGTATGAAAGAAGGGAAAGTACCTAGGGACTGGCAGAGAGCATGTATAGTCCCTTTATACAAAGGGAAGGGGACAAAAGAGATTGCAAAAATTATAGAGGAATAAGTTCATCGAGTATACTAGGAAAAGTGTACGGTAAGGTTATTATTGAAAGAATTAGAGGCAAGACAGAATGTAGGATTGCGGATGAGCAAGGAGGTTTCAGAGTGGGTAGGGGATGTGTAGATCAAGTGTTTACATTGAAGCATTTACGTGAACAGTATTTAGATAAAGGTAGGGAAGTTTTTATTGCATTTATGGATTTAGAAAAGGCATATGATAGAGTGGATAGAGGAGCAATGTGGCAGATGTTTCAAGTATATGGAATAGGTGGAAAGTTACTAAATGCTGTAAAGAGATTTTTATGAGGATAGTGAGGCTCAGGTTAGGGTGTGTAGAAGAGAGGGAGATGTGGGATAGGAATGTGCAATGTCACCATGGTTGTTTAATATATTTATAGATGGGGTTGTAAAACAAGTAAATGCTAGGGTATTTGGGAGAGGGGTGGGATTAAATTATGGGGAATCAAATGCAAAATGGGAATTGACACAGTTACTTTTTGCTGATGATACTGTGCTTATGGGAGATTCTAAAGAAAAATTGCAAAGGTTAGTGGATGAGTTTGAGAATGTGTGTAAAGGTAGAAAGTTGAAAGTGAACATAGAAAAGAGTAAGGTGATGAGGGTATCAAATGATTTAGATAAAGAAAAATTGGATATCAAATTGGGAAGGAGTAGTATGGAAGAAGTGAATGTTTTCAGATACTTGGGAGTTGACGTGACGGCGGATGGATTTTTGAAGGATGAGGTTAATCATAGAATTGATGAAGGAAAAAGGTAAGTGGTGCATTGAGGTATATGTGGAGTCAAAAAACGTTATCTATGGAGGCAAAGAAGGGAATTTATGAAAGTAAAGTAGTGCCAACACTCTTACATGGGTGTGAAGCTTGGGTTGTGAATGCAGCAGCGAGGAGGCGGTTGGAGGCAGTGGAGATGTCCTGTCTAAGGGCAATGTGTGTAAATATTATGCAGAAAATTCGGAGTGTGGAAATTAGGGGAAGGTGTGGAGTTAATAAAAGTATTAGTCAAGAGGGGTTGTTGAGGTGGTTTGGTCATTTAGAGAGAATGGATCAAAGTAGAATGACATGGAAAGCATATAAATTTATAGGGGAAGGAAGGCGGGGTAGGGGTCGTCCTCGAAAGGGTTGAAGAGAGGGGGTAAAGGAGGTTTTTTGGGCGAGGGGCTTGGACTTCCAGCAAGCGTGCGTGAGCGTGTTAGATAGGAGTGAATGGAGAAGAATGGTACTTGGGACCTGACGATCTGTTGGGGTGTGAGCAGGGTAATATTTAGTGAAGGGATTCAGGGAAACCGGTTATTTTCTTATAGTCGGACTTGATTCCTGGAAATGGGAAGTGCAATACCTGCACTTTAAAGGAGGGGTTTGGGATATTAGCAGTTTGGAGGGATATGTTGTGTATCTTTATATGTATATGCTTCTAAACTGTTGTATTCTGAGCACCTCTGCAAAAACAGTGATAATGTGTGAGTGTGGTGAAAGTGTTGAATGATGAAAGTATTTTCTTTTTGGGGATTTTCTTTCTTTTTTGGGTCACCCTGCCTCGGTGGGAGACGGCCGACTTGTTAAAAAAAAGAAAAAATATGAGAGAGTGGATAGGGGAACAGTGTGGCAGATGTTGCAAGTATATGGAATAGGTGGTAAGTTACTAAATGCTGTAAAGAGATTTTTATGAGGATAGTGAGGCTCAGGTTAGGGTGTGTAGAAGAGAGGGAGAATACTTCCCGGTAAAAGTAGGTCTTAGACAGGGATGTGTAATGTCACCATGGTTGCTTAATATATTTATAGATGGGGTTGTAAGAGAAGTAAATGCTAGGGTGTTCAGAAGAGGGGTGGGATTAACCCTCTGACTGTTTTGATCATATATACAGTGGACCCCCGGTTAACGATATTTTTTCATTCCAGAAGTATGTTCAGGTGCCAGTACTGACTGAATTTGTTCCCATAAGGAATATTGTGAAGTAGATTAGTCCATTTCAGACCCCCAAACATACACGTACAAACGCACTTACATAAATACACTTACATAATTGGTCGCATTGGGAGGTGATCGTTATGCGGGGGTCCACTGTATATATATGTCTTACAAGCCAGTGTTTTGGACATATATATACTCAATAATTCTAGCGGCTTCAAATCAAGCAGTAGAAAGCTGGTAGGCCCACATGTGAGAGAATGGGTCTGTGTGGTCAGTGTGAACCATATAAAAAAATCCTGCAGCACGCAGTGCATAATTGAAAAAAAAAAACTGACCGTTTTTTTGTAATAAAACCCCGACTTTGAGGCGTATTTTGGTATAGTATTTATCTTTGTATTCTCGTTTTCATGGTCTCGTGTGATAAAATGGAAAACATATTACAGAAATAGAGATGATTTTGATTAGTTTCACAATGAAAACGACCTTGAAATTCAGCTCAAATTAGTGGAAATGTTCGATTTTTACCAACGTTCAAGAGCAAGCAAATCACACCACCCGTCCAATACACGTCAACTAGGGAGTCTAATATTCTTTCACTAGTGCACCGATATTATTTATACCATTTTTACAATAATGCAGTAGTCTGCATAACAGTAAATCTTCTATTTTTTGTATGAATAAAAAATCAAAATAGAAAGCAATAGCAATATAAGAGGGGCCTAGAGATGTGACTAATAAACAGAAGGTATGTTATTTTAGTGCCAAGAATGTCTACACTGTTTATTCTGAACCCTATTTTGAAATTGGCATCTTATTTAATTTGCATGAAATTGGCCAAATTGCCAATTTCTGACCACTTTATTGGGTAGTTCAAATTGGTAAAAGGGCAGTTTCTTGTACTCAAGTGATAGAAAAAGTAGTTCTAAAGAAATGGCTATGAGTTTGGACAACTGGAACAAAGGAATTGGCCAAAAATATGGCTCAAAGTCGGCGAAATCGTCGATGCATATATGTCGCCAAGACCACTAACTTCGCGGGACTGTAATTCCGTGAGTTCTCGACCAAATTTCGTACTATTGGTGTCATTACCATCGGGAAAAGATTCTCTATCATTTCATAAGAAAAAATAATTTTTTTCCCAAAATTTTTCGACAGAGAATGACAGTTTCAGAAAGGGGCTTGCGACAGTCAAAGGGTTAAATTATGGTTAGTTAAATACAAAATGGGAATTGATTCAGTTACTTTTTGCTGATGATATTGTGCTATGGAAGATTCTAAAGAAAAATTGCAAAGGTTAGTGGACGAGTTTGGGAGTGTGTGTGAAGGTAGAAAGTTGAAAGTGAACATAGAAAAGAGTAAGGTGATGAGGTTATCGAATGATTTAGATAAAGAAAAATTGGATATTAAACTGGAGAGGAGCAATATGGAAGAAGTGAATGTTTTCAGATATCTGGGAGTTGACATGTCAGTAGATGGATTTATGAAGGATGAGGTTTATCACAGAATTGATGAAGGAAAAAAGATAAGTGGTGTGTTGAGGTATATGTTTACCTGGAGTTTACCTGGAGAGAGTTCCGGGGGTCAACGCCCCCGCGGCCCGGTCTGTGACCAGGCCTCCTTAGGTCAGTGTCCCAGGATGCGACCCACACCAGTCGACTAACACCCAGGTACCCATTTTACTGATGGGGAACATAGACAACAGGTGGAAAGAAACACGTCCAATGTTTCTACTCTGGCTGGGAATCGAACCCAGGCCCTCACCGTGTGAAGCGAGAGCGTTAACCACCAGGCCACCAGACAAAAAACATTATCTATGAAGGCAAAGAAGGGAATGTATGAAAGTATGGTAGTACCAACACTCTTATATGGGTGTGAAGCTTGGGTGGTAAATGCTGCAGTGAGGAGACGGGTTGGAGGCAGAGGAGATATCCTGTCTAAGGGCAATGTGTGGTGTAAATATTATGCAGAAAATTCAGTGTGGAAATTAGGAGGTGTAGAGTTAATAAAAGTATTAGTCAGAGGGCTGAAGAGGGGTTGTTAAAGTGGTTTGATCAATTAGAGAATGGATCAAAGTAGAACAACATGGAGAGCGTGTAAATCTGTAGGGGAAGGAAGGCGGGGTAGGGGTCGTCCTTGAAAAGGTTGGAGGGAGGGGGTAAAGGAGGTGTTGTGGGTGAGGGGCTTGGGCTTCCAGCGTGCGTGAGCGTATTAGATAGGAGTGAATGGAGACAAATGGTATTTGGGACCTGATGAGCTGTTGGAGTGTGAGCAGGGTAATGTTTAGTGAAGAGATTCAGGGAAACCGGTTATTTTTATATAGCTGGACTTGAGTCCTGGAAATGGGAAGTACAATGCCTGCACTTTAAAGGAGGGGTTTGGGATATTGGCAGTTTGGACGGATATGTTGTGTATCTTTACACATATGTGCTTCTAAACTGTTGTAGTCTGAGCACCTCTGCAAAAACAGTAATTATGTGTGAGTGAGGTGAAAGTGTTGAATGATGATGAAGTATTTTCTTTTTGGGAATTTTCTGTCTTTTAGGGTCACCCTGCCTTGGTGGGAGATGGAAGACTTGAGAAAAAAAAAATGTATATATATACTCGCCTACATGTGGTTGCAGGGGTTAAGTCAACTCCTGGCCTTGTCTTTTTGCTGGCAAGTACATATACTAACACATACGTACAATAAGTACATATGTACTTACCAGCAAAGTGGCGAAGAATCCTTCCTCTGTAAGCCACGCATGTCATGAGAGGCAACTGACATGCTGGTAGCAAAGGGCTAGTAACCCCTTCTCTTGTATGAACGTAAAAAGAAAAACTTGATGAAAGCGTTTCTCCATTTTCGGGTCACCCTGCCTCAGTGATTTTCTTTTTGGGAATTTTCTGTCTTTTAGGGTCACCCTGCCTTGGTGGGAGATGGAAGACTTGAGAAAAAAAAAAATGTATATATATACTCGCCTACATGTGGTTGCAGGGGTTAAGTCAACTCCTGGCCTTGTCTTTTTGCTGGCAAGTACATATACTAGCACATACGTACAATAAGTACATATGTACTTACCAGCAAAGTGGCGAAGAATCCTTCCTCTGTAAGCCACGCATGTCATGAGAGGCAACTGACATGCTGGTAGCAAAGGGCTAGTAACCCCTTCTCTTGTATGAACGTAAAAAGAAAAACTTGATGAAAGCGTTTCTCCATTTTCGGGTCACCCTGCCTCAGTGATTTGCAAATGTCAGCTACACCTTACCTGTAGGTCTGGTAGGCACCATGAAAGATCTAATATCTATGCAGCCTCCTCGACGAAGAATTCCTGTGTTGGTTCGCCTTCCACTTAGGTCCTGAATATCAGTTCTGTCTATTAACTGTAAGAAAAACCAAATTTCAATTATATCTATTCTTCATTTATTCAGACTTCCTACAATAAATATATTCACCACTCACTATAAGCTAAGGCTGAAAATATTTTAAGGTAAGTAATGTGTTTAATGTATATGCAATTTTAGGCCTAGTTCTACTGCTTGCTCACTTAATATATGATAGTGTAAACATGTTATCAGGCTTTTATATGAATTTGAAAGTAAGAAGGCTGTTTCACTTTACAGCAATTTTCACTTTACAGCAGTAGCCTGAAACCTTTGATATACCTTTGATGAGTTTCAAGACTTACTACTGTAATAATGTTGGTAGAATTACCGACAATATGTAAAGTAAAAGGACACAAGTGCAACTAATGTGACATTTTATTGTGGCAACGTTTCGCTCTCCAGGAGCTTTATCAAGCCGTTACAAACAGTATATGGACACAGAGGGTACATATAAAGGCTCAGAGTGAGGTGCAATACTAGAGGTAGTAGTAGTGACACAAGTTGTAGTAGTAGTAGTAGTAATATAATATGGTAGAGCAATTAACTCGTACATGAGTAAAAGGATATAAAAGCTATTACTTGGGTGACATAAAAATAGGTTAGACAAATATAGACTGGATAGAGAAGGCCTGTTTCAGTGTTCACTCTCTGTAATGTGCTTTGTGTAGTATTAACAGGAGAGACTATGTGATGGCAGGGTTTACTGTTTTCAGGAGGATTCTTGCTAAGACTTCAGAGATGGTGAAGCTGCCTTTGTTTTGTTTAATTGTATTCGAAACAGTGATTAGTGCTGACTCGAGGCACTTGCGTCTGTGGAAATTAGTTTCTTTGATCACTAATTGGGCGTCCCTGAATTTCATGAGATGATTGGTGGAATTTTGGTGTTGTACACAGGCGTTGTTCAAGTTATCATTCCTACATGCGTAAATGTGTTCATTGAGGCGGGTGTTGAGGTTTCTTGCTGTTACACCTAACATAAATCTTGTCACAGCCTCCGCAGGGTATAGTGTAAACCCCTGCATTGACTGGTTCGTGGTGCTTTGATTTTGTCCTGGTCAGATCCTTTACTGAAGTGCTGGAAGCGATGGCGACTCTGGTGTTAGCTTGTGAAAGTACTTTAGAAACATTCAGTGCAACCTGGCTGTTGGGAAGAATAATAACTTTGTTAGGAGTGGTGTTGGTGCGTGGAGAATTAATGATCTGAAGAGCTCTTTTCTTGCAGTCTTTGATGAAAAAGGAAGGAAAATGTAACTCAGTGAAGGTTCGGTGAATGTATGTACATTCCTCGTCAAGAAACTCAGGACTACAAATTCGGGACGCTCTTAGGAAAAACTTGATGATGATGCCTCTTTTGGTCTTAGTATCTTGACTGGAATAGAAGTGTGTGAGATCATTTTTATTGGTTGGTTTCCTATAAGCTTGAAATCTTAGGGTGTTGTCTACTTTGTGAATGAGGACGTCGAGGAAAGGTAGCTTGTCACTGGATTCTTCTTCTAGTGTAAACTGGATCATCGATTCAACTGCGTTGAGTCTTGCCTGAAGATTCCGTACATCAAAACATTTGGGAGTTATTATGAGGACGTCGTCCACGTAACATAACCAAGTGATGCTTAAAGGGATGATGTTGGTGAAGTGTTCGGACCCTAGGTGTTCCATGTATAAGTTGGCTAGGACGGCACTGATGGGGGGCCCCATTCCCATGCCGTAGGTTTGTTTGTAGAGCCTGTTATTGAAATAAAAACAGTTGAAATTAACAGAGTTCAATCAAGTCAACAAAATCTCCAGGAGGTAGAGGAAGATTAAGGTCCTGATTGACTTTGCGTCGTAACGGCTTGACAAAGCTCCTGGAGAGCAAAATGTTGCCACAATAAAATGTCACATTAGTTGCACTTGTGTCCTTTTACTTTACAAGCCTTACTACACTTGGAGCCCGGCCATGTGCCATGTGCCTCCCCACTCTTTAAGGTTAGGTTTTAAGGTTTAACCTTTAGCTCTCATGGTTTGTTTGTTGTGTACTTTAGGCACAAATAATGCATCATTAGGTTATCTGAGAGACATTCAAGTTACCCACTAGTTTGTAGTATTTGACCATTCCCCAGGATGCGACCCACAACATTAGACTAGCTCCCAGGTATCTTTTTACTGAAGGTTAACAGGGGCAGCGAGTGTAAGGAGACTTGCCCATATGTCTCGGCTTGCTGTATAACCGGGGCCCTCCTATACAGGGGTTGGACGTGAACAGCTGCTGAGTGAAGTGTCAAACTGTCGAATGACAATAATTAATTTAAATGCATTACATGTCCCTTTTTGTGCTATCTTCCAAGACAATAATGCACCAATTCACACCATTAGAGTTGTTTAAGATGGGCATGAAGAACATGAAGTGAAGTCAAACATTTGGATTGGTCCCCAAAGTTGCTGAATTCAAATACTATAGAGCATCTGTGGGGTCAGTTGGAACAGCAAGTCAGGTACCGATTTCCTCCACCATCATTTTTGGAAGAGTTAGAGCAAGTTTTTTGAGGAATGACTCAAAATTCCCTGGATACTGTTTAAATGTTATATGAATCAACCTCTCAATGAACTGGTGCTGTTTCAGCTGCAAATGGAGGATCAACTCCATATTGAAAATAGTAAATGTTATAGAACAAGGTGTTCACAGTATTTTGTCCAACCCTTGTATCTGTCAACTTAATTTCCTTTCATGCAAACACCCCTGCCACAATTATGTAAACAACCCTGCCCCAATTAATTCAATTACTACATAAGGTCAACTACCTCACACTGCTTATAACACTGTACATTAATTAACAAAAGAACTGAAAATCAGTAAGGGTTTAATGTATAAGCATAAACAAATGGAAATTTTTCTTGCATAAACATTGCCTGATTTGTAATACCTGTGCAGCAACAGCTGCAGCTCCTGAAGCAGCTGCAGAGGAAGAGGTGTCCTCGTGAGAGCGTCTCCTCTCGCTGGTCTCACTAGCATCAATACAAGGATGCTCTAACATCCATGTAACCAACTGGTTGATCTGTGTTGCTGAAGGTTCACCTTTATGACCTGTTGGTAGAAAGTTCAATAAATGAGACCCCCCCCACAGTGCATTTTTTTCCACCACAGTCATTTCCCACCAAGGAAGGGCAGCCAACGTTGGTGGGAATGACCGATGTAGCACATAAAAATATACAATGCACACAAAGAATGTAAAGGAGGACACTGTTCATACACCTCTAAAGATGGTGCCAGTTATCCTTCCCTAATACAATGTGAGGTACAAGCACCGAACATAATGAACAATGGCTCAAATGAAAGCCAACAAAAACATGGAACACCGAAAAAGAGGTGCTGCTGCATACACAGGGCCCTCCTGTACATGAAGATTGCTAGAATTTTTTTTTTTCAACGTACTGGTCCTCTCCCACCAAGGCAGAGTGACTCAAAAAGATCACCTTATAAAGCTTCTCTTTTTCTTTTACAATTAGTAATAAATTTTTTTTAAGACTCCTGAGGCTGGACCCAACAATTCCAGCAAGAGAGATGCAAGTGTATTAACCTAGCTACATTTAAGTTCAAATATTAAAATTAATTCTAGAGAATCAATCTTAGGCAAGCAATGTTGTTATAGGTATTATCATACTGTTATTTTACAAAACATGCCAAATTATTAAGTATCAGCTAAGTACATAAAGCATAAAAATTACCTTGAGCAGAAATAGCCTTCTGGATATGTTTGAGGGTAAATCCCATTTCCAATAAAGGAGTGGCAACTGGTGGTGGTAGAGGTGGCAGAGGAGTTAGCGGAGGGGAGGGTGAATGACTCCTGGCCATGGGAGGAAGAGGAGCACTTTGTGGAGTCAACGGCCCAACTGAGCGCCCTCTTGGCGGATTCTGACTCGAGCGCGATGACTGAGATGTGTGGGAATAATGGGATGAACGCATCTCCCCTACTGGGTAAGTAGCAGGAGCACAAGGCACAGTGATGGGAAGGCCGAGGGATGGAATGGGACGCTTTGGGACTCGAACATCTGCACCAGCAGATTGTATGTCTGATGTGTTTTGTTGTCGATCTGTTGCTTCAGCAATCTGAGAAGTAATAATAATAGAGAAAAAAAAAATACAGAAATCAGAAAAACAATAGTTTTTCATTAAAACATATGAACAAGAAAATATTCAGAACATTTTTCTCATAAGATTTTAGCAGTCCTTGTTTCAACAGAACTCACATTAAGGCTGAAAGTTTACCAATGGATGGATAGGGGACACAAAGGTTGATAAAAAAAACAGTAGTAATCTTTGGGAACTGCATATATAAACTTATTTTTTTTTTTTTTTAAAAAATGCATCAAAAATTTAATAGCAAGTATCATAGAATGAGGACCTTTACACATGGTACTCATTTTTGGATAAACTTTTACAATCACAAAAAATATCACTACAATTAGAGGCTTTATAAGAGCTGACTGTATATAATACATGCATCAACAAAGGGGTAAGAAAGTACTAACCTGCTCAGAAATGTTCTCCTCACTGGCCGTGAGGGCCATGATGCGAGACTGAGTGTCGGCCACACTCAGGCTGTCTTCAGCCCAGGCTCTCATACACATGTTGTGAAGCACAAGGTGTGACCGCTCCACCTCTGCTACACTCACTTGTCTGAAAAGCACCTCAGATTTAAACTTTTAAGATATTAGGTAGTTTGTAAAGGCTATAATTTAAATCAGAAGCAAGGGGCTAGTAACCCCTCTTTCCTGTATAAATTACTAAATGTAAAAAGAAAAAATTATGAAAGCGTTTCTTCTTTTTTGGGTTGCTATGCGTTGGTGGGAGACGTATAGTGTTGAAAAAAATTAAATCTTCCTTGCCTATTTATTATTTTATGAGGCCTGGTTACAGACCGGGCAGCGGGGGCACTGACCCCCAAAACCCCCTCCAAGTATACTCCTCCAGGAATATTTATGTGGAAGTGCTAGATCCACAAGTGTCAACAGCACCTGAGGAATGAGAAGTAATTAGGTTTAATCCAAGGAAGGTGCAAATAGTGCCAATTCCTTGGATTAAGAGCTCTTTGCCAGCATCAAGACAATCCTCCACTGAAAGGTTTCAACCCATTACAGTAATCTTATGTCCTCAATGTGTTTCTACTTTGACTTTCTACTTACACAGTATTTAAAGGAATTGATGTTCAATTCAGACAATCAAATTTGATGTTATTATTAATCTTTTCTATAGAGAAATACAAAAGGAATATAATTATTAATACAAAATGCTTAATTATTTCTTACCACAAAGGTCATCTCCCACCAAGGTAGGGGGATCTAAAGAAGGTAACACATTCACCATCATTCATTCAATAGCAGGAAAAACATTCACCATCATTCATTCAATAGCAGGAAAAACATTCACCATCATTCATTTAATAGCAGGAAAGACATTCACCATCATTCATTCAATAGCAGGAAAGACATTCACCATCATTCATTCAATAGCAGGAAAGACATTCACCATCATTCATTCAATAGCAGGAAAGACATTCACCATCATTCATTTAATAGCAGGAAAGACACTCACCATCATTCATTCAATAGCAGGAAAGACATTCACCATCATTCATTTAATAGCAGGAAAGACACTCACCATCATTCATTCAATAGCAGGAAAGACATTCACCATCATTCATTTAATAGCAGGAAAGACATTCACCATCATTCATTCAATAGCAGGAAAGACATTCACCATCATTCATTTAATAGCAGGAAAGACACTCACCATCATTCATTCAATAGCAGGAAAGACATTCACCATCATTCATTCAATAGCAGGGAAGACATTCACCATTATTCATTCAATAGCAGGAAAGACATTCACCATCATTCATTCAATAGCAGGAAAGACATTCACCATCATTCATTCAATAGCAGGAAAGACATTCACCATTATTCATTTAATAGCAGGAAAGACATTCACCATCATTCATTCAATAGCAGGAAAGACATTCACCATCATTCATTCAATAGCAGGAAAGACATTCACCATCATTCATTCAATAGCAGGAAAGACATTCACCATTATTCATTTAATAGCAGGGAAGACATTCACCATTATTCATTCAATAGCAGGAAAGACATTCACCATCATTCATTCAATAGCAGGAAAGACACTCGCCATCATTCAATATCACGAAACATGTTCATCATTCATTCGATAGTTTTCCTGGTAGAAGTGTGCAGGCACAACAATTTCCCTCCAAACTGCAACATCCCCAACCATCCTTCCAAGTTGTGTATCATCTACAAGCACACACGGTGCTCACCTCTTCAAAGGTTGAGGCTGCGTACAGGCCGACACCATACATCTCACCAGCACTCTTATAGCTGAGCGTATCTCATCTTCTTCATGCAGCAGGGACACTGAGCTCCCCTTCTCACCTCCATCCTGAAAAATTGATTAACTGCGTACACACAAAACCAACTCCATGGGGAAGCGGCAAAGAATCCTTCCATCGCAAGCCAAGGTGAAAAAGTGTAATAAAATAATTAAGAAATTCTTTATTATTTTTATATTCATGAAGAAGTGCTAAACCCATTAAGGTCACTTATGTTGGAATTTTTGGCCCCGAGTAGAACCTAGTACTGCTTACTGCAATGCTTCTGTATTCTTATGCACTTGTGCCTGAAATTCCTTGCATAAACATGGGCTTTTTCCATGAGAGAAATCCATGCAACAAACATATCTTAGAAAATAATTTATAATTATTAAAATTATTATTACTGAACTGCCACTTCATATGTCCTTGTAGCCAGTGTGATGTGTTACCCATTTACCCTGCAACTGGTTTTACAGGCTCTTCTACCCTTACTGTCGTGTGGGGGTTCGGTAAGGAGATAAGAGGGTTGAAGGTAGACACACTTGTTGGATGGTAACACTATGTATTGTCAGACTGTGATGAGAGGTGGGAGCCCAGGCCTGCCGTGTTCTTGCCTGTTCGTAGGTGGTTCATCGAGTGAGAAAGAGGCAGCTCGTCACACTGACTCATGCTGTATCCCGTGAAGTCATACAGTCACTCGGCCTAATAGGGATCTTCCATATAAAGCACATGGATGGTACTATAATATGCTATACAACACATATAAGGGGATCAGCAACTATGCTGACATTACAGCCCAGCCCAGCCTAGGTCACGTTTCCCTTCTGACCAGGCTGTTTCCGCCAGCCACTCGCAGGCCCACATAGCCATCACAACCCAGCTGATCCAACACTCGTAGAACGAAGTTTTCCAGCTTCTTAATCCAGTATAACTGCACATACTACCACTATCAACTTTCTCACATTCCTGGGATTAAGTTTGTGACTGCTGCACAATTTCCCACATTACCAGCTAGATCTCTTTCAGTTCTCAATAGCAGATTTACCAACTGTCAGAGTAAGCAAACTCTTAAAGCCCTGATTACTATGCCACCAAATTGTTAGGGCCCTGATTACTATGCCACCAAATTGTTAGGGCTCTGACTACTAAGCCACCGAACTGTTAGGGCCCTGACTAAACCAAAATTGTTAGGGCCTTGACTATTGTGCCACCAAACTGTTAGGGCCCTGCCCTGACTACACCAAAATTGTTAGGGCCCTGGCTACTGTGCTACCAAATTGTTAGGACCCTGAATACTAAGCTCCAAAATTGTTAGGGCCCTGACTACCATACCGTGAGTCACACTCCTATCTATAATGGCTGAGAGAGTTAGAGCAAAGGAAGGGGTAGCAGTAAATGTTAAATGATCAGTTATGGAAGGAGAAAAGAGAATATGAATGTGTAAATTCAAGAATTATGTGGATTAAAGTAAAGGTTGGATGCGAGAAGTGGGTCATAATAAGCGTGTATGCACCTGGAGAAGAGAGGAATGCAGAGGAGAGAGAGAGATTTTGGGAGATGTTAAGTGAATGTATAGGAGCCTTTGAACCAAGTGAGAGAGTAATTGTGGTAGGGGACTTGAATGCTAAAGTAGGAGAAACTTTTAGAGAGGGTGTGGTAGGTAAGTTTGGGGTGCCAGGTGTAAAATGATAATGGGAGCCCTTTGATTGAACTTTGTATAGAAAGGGGTTTAGTTATAGGTAATACATATTTTAAGAAAAAGAGGATAAAATAAGTATACACGATATGATGTAGGGCGAAATGACAGTAGTTTGTTGGATTATGTATTGGTAGATAAAAGACTGTTGAGTAGACTTCAGGATGTACATGTTTTATAGAGGGGCCACAGATATATCAGATCACTTTCTAGTTGTAGCTACACTGAGAGTAAAAGGTAGATGGGATACAAGGAGAATAGAAGCATCAGGGAAGAGAGAGGTTGAAGGTTTATAAACTAAAAGAGGAGGCAGTTAGGGTAAGATATAAACAGCTATTGGAGGATAGATGGGCTAATGAGAGCATAGGCAATGGGGTCGAAGAGGTATGGGGTAGGTTTAAAAATGTAGTGTTAGAGTGTTCAGCAGAAGTTTGTGGTTACAGGAAAGTGGGTGCAGGAGGGAAGAGGAGCGATTGGTGGAATGATGATGTAAAGAGAGTAGTAAGGGAGAAAAAGTTAGCATATGAGAAGTTTTTACAAAGTAGAAGTGATGCAAGGAGGGAAGAGTATATGGAGAAAAAGAGAGAAGTTAAGAGAGTGGTGAAGCAATGTAAAAAGAGAGCAAATGAGAGAGTGGGTGAGATGTTATCAACAAATTTTGTTGAAAATAAGAAAAAGTTTTGGAGTGAGATTAACAAGTTAAGAAAGCCTAGAGAACAAATGGATTTGTCAGTTAAAAATAGGAGAGGAGAGTTATTAAATGGAGAGTTAGAGGTATTGGGAAGATGGAAGGAATATTTTGAGGAATTGTTAAATGTTGATGAAGATAGGGAAGCTGTGATTTCGTGTATAGGGCAAGGAGGAATAACATCTTGTAGGAGTGAGGAAGAGCCAGTTGTGAGTGTGGGGGAAGTTCGTGAGGCAGTAGGTAAAATGAAAGGGGGTAAGGCAGCCGGGATTGATGGGATAAAGATAGAAATGTTAAAAGCAGGTGGGGATATAGTTTTGGAGTGGTTGGTGCAATTATTTAATAAATGTATGGAAGAAGGTAAGGTACCTAGGGATTGGCAGAGAGCATGCATAGTTCCTTTGTATAAAGGCAAAGGGGATAAAAGAGAGTGCAAAAATTATAGGGGGATAAGTCTGTTGAGTGTACCTGGTAAAGTGTATGGTAGAGTTATAATTGAAAGAATTAAGAGTAAGACGGAGAATAGGATAGCAGATGAACAAGGAGGCTTTAGAAAAGGTAGGGGGTGTGTGGACCAGGTGTTTACAGTGAAACATATAAGTGAACAGTATTTAGATAAGGCTAAAGAGGTCTTTGTGGCATTTATGGATTTGGAAAAGGCGTATGACAGGGTGGATAGGGGGGCAATGTGGCAGATGTTGCAAGTGTATGGTGTAGGAGGTAGGTTACTGAAAGCAGTGAAGAGTTTTTACGAGGATAGTGAGGCTCAAGTTAGAGTATGTAGGAAAGAGGGAAATTTTTTCCCAGTAAAAGTAGGCCTTAGACAAGGATGTGTGATGTCACCGTGGTTGTTTAATATATTTATAGATGGGGTTGTAAGAGAAGTAAATGCGAGGGTCTTGGCAAGAGGCGTGGAGTTAAAAGATAAAGAATCACACACAAAGTGGGAGTTGTCACAGCTGCTCTTTGCTGATGACACTGTGCTCTTGGGAGATTCTGAAGAGAAGTTGCAGAGATTGTGGATGAATTTGGTAGGGTGTGCAAAAGAAGAAAATTAAAGGTGAATACAGGAAAGAGTAAGGTTATGAGGATAACAAAAAGATTAGGTGATGAAAGATTGAATATCAGATTGGAGGGAGAGAGTATGGAGGAGGTGAACGTATTCAGATATTTGGGAGTGGACGTGTCAGCAGATGGGTCTATGAAAGATGAGGTGAATCATAGAATTGATGAGGGAAAAAGAGTGAGTGGTGCACTTAGGAGTCTGTGGAGACAAAGAACTTTGTCCTTGGAGGCAAAGAGGGGAATGTATGAGAGTATTAGTTTTACCAACGCTCTTATATGGGTGTGAAGCGTGGGTGATGAATGTTGCAGCGAGGAGAAGGCTGGAGGCAGTGGAGATGTCATGTCTGAGGGCAATGTGTGGTGTGAATATAATGCAGAGAATTCGTAGTTTGGAAGTTAGGAGGAGGTGCGGGATTACCAAAACTGTTGTCCAGAGGGCTGAGGAAGGGTTGTTGAGGTGGTTCGGACATGTAGAGAGAATGGAGCGAAACAGAATGACTTCAAGAGTGTATCAGTCTGTAGTGGAAGGAAGGCGGGGTAGGGGTCGGCCTAGGAAGGGTTGGAGGGAGGGGTAAAGGAGGTTTTGTGTGCGAGGGGCTTGGACTTCCAGCAGGCATGCGTGAGCGTGTTTGATAGGAGTGAATGGAGACAAATGGTTTTTAATACTTGACGTGCTGTTGGAGTGTGAGCAAAGTAACATTTATGAAGGGATTCAGGGAAACCGGCAGGCCGGACTTGAGTCCTGGAGATGGGAAGTACAGTGCCTGCACTCTGAAGGAGGGGTGTTAATGTTGCAGTTTAAAAACTGTAGTGTAAAGCACCCTTCTGGCAAGACAGTGATGGAGTGAATGATGGTGAAAGTTTTTCTTTTTCGGGCCACCCTGCCTTGGTGGGAATCGGCCGGTGTGATAATAAAAAATAAAATAGTTTGTGGTTATGCATATTTATTTGCAATTATACAAACTATTTCAGTTCTGAAATCAAAATGACTCGCAAAATCGTTATGACACAATTGCAAACAAACCATACCACGGGCGGGATTGAACCCGCGGGTTCAATCCCGCCCGTGGTATGGTCTGAAATCAAAATGCTGTTCTCATATTTTGCCTAATCAATTTGCATGGCAACACTGTAGCAGTGGGCCAGCAGCAGTCATACAATCAATAATAAACCCAGCTTCCATGGCATCATTGTAGCAGTGGGCCAGCAGCAGTCATACAATCAATAATACACCCAGCTTCCATGGTATCATTGTAGCAGTGAGCCAGCAGCAGCCAAACAATAATACACCCAGCTTGCATGGCATCAATGTAGCAGTGGGCCAGCAGTAGTCATACAATCAATAATACACCCAGCTTGCATGGCATCATTGTAGCAGTGGGCCAGCAGCAGTCATACAATCAATAATACACCCAGCTTGCATGGCATCATGTAGCAGTGGGCCAGCAGCAGTCATACAATCAATAATACACCCAGCTTGCATGGCATCATTGTAGCAGTAGGCCAACAGTAGTCATACAATCAATAATACACCCAGCTTGCATGGCATCATTGTAGCAGTGGGCCAGCAGCAGTCATACAATCAATAATACACCCAGCTTGCATGGCATCATTGTAGCAGTAGGCCAGCAGCAGTCATACAATCAATAATACACCCAGCTTGCATGGCATCATTGTAGCAGTGGGCCAGCAGCAGTCATACAATCAATAATATACCCAGCTTGCATGGCATCATTGTAGCAGTAGGCCAGCAGCAGTCATACAATCAATAATACACCCAGCTTGCATGGCATCATTGTAACAGTGGGCCAGCAGTAGTCATACAATCAATAATACACCCAGTTTGCATGGCATCATTGTAGCAGTGGGCCAGTAGTAGTCATACAATCAATAATACACCCAGTTTGCATGGCATCATTGTAGCAGTGGGCCAGCAGTAGTCATACAATCAATAATACACCCAGCTTGCATGGCAATATGGTAGCAGTGGGCCAGTAGCAGTCATACAATCAATAATACACCTAGCTTGCATGGCATCATTGTAGCAGTGGGCCAGCAGCAGTCATACAATCAATAATACACCTAGCTTGCATGGCAACATGGTAGCAGTGGGCCAGCAGCAGTCATACAATCAATAATACACCTAGACTGCAATCATATAATCAATTACACATTGTGATCTAATGATAAAATTTACTTTCATCTAGTGCAACAGCTGGCAATAACAAGGGCACCTAAATGCTGTTTTGAAGAATCCCATTCCATAAGTGCTGTATGATCCTTAAATGTTTGGTGCTCACTAAACCTCATCATTAGCTCCTTTCTCATAAGTGCAGGTTATTTGTGCATTGTTCATCACGGTATCATGTCAAACGTGTATAAATTTGTAATGGAGGGAAGGCGGGGTAGGGGTAGGCTTAGAAAAGGTTAGAGGGAGGGGGTAAAGTAGGTTTTGTGTGCGAGGGGCTTGGACTTCCAGCAGGCATGCATGAGCGTGCTAGATAGAAGCAGATGGAGACAAATGGTTTTTAGGACTTGACGTGCTGTTAGGAGTTTTTTTTTTTTTTTTTTTTTTTAATTCAGGGAAACCGGCAGGCCGGACCTGAGTCCTGGAGATGGGAAGTACAGTGTCTGCACTCTGAAGGAGGGGTGTTAATGCTGCAGTTTTATAACTGTAGTGTAAGTGCACCTCTGGCAAAACAGTGATGGAGTGAATGATGGTGAAAGTTTTTCTTTTCAGGCCACCTTACCTTTGTGGGAAATGGCTGATTTTTTTTTTTTTTTTTTTTCAACAAGTCGGCCGTCTCCCACCGAGGCAGGGTGACCCAAAAAAAGAAAAAATCCCCAAAAAGAAAATACTTTCATCATCATTCAACACCTTCACCACACTCGCACATTATCACTGTTTTTGCAGAGGTGCTCAGAATACAACAGCTTAGAAGCATACACATATAAAGATACACAACATATCCCTCCAAACTGCCAATATCCCAAACCCCTCCTTTAAAGTGCAGGCATTGTACTTCCCATTTCCAGGACTCAAGTAATCTTCAAAGTAAAGGTAACTGAACTATCTTGGGAAACTTTTACCCAAGTTTACTTCCTTGATGATCAAACAGAAATATACTAGAATAACCTATGAATGTAGGAATAAAAATCAATTAATAGTGAGAATTGTTGTGACACCTGAGAAAGAGGACACTTGTGTACAGTTCAGGACATTTTATTAAAAGAAATATTTCACCATTAATGACTTCAGACGTTTAATGAAAAATGTTTCACCATGAATGGTTCATCAGTGCTAATAATAAATGAAACATTTCCCTTAATAAATGTCTTGAATTGTACACAAGTGTCCTCTTCAACATTTTGCTAGTATCTCAATACCATTTACAACAATGTTGTAAATGGTATGGAGATTCCTTGCACCTGGAGCCCTTTCATCAGCATCAAGGCCCTTGAAGGGCCCTCAAAGTTAAACACACAACAAGGAGCCAAAGAATGTAAGGAGAAAGATTACAAGACAACATGCATTGTTGTGTGGCGTCCAATGTTTGATTCCCATACGCACCTTTTCCTGCACTGCCTTCGGTACCAGCAGCATCTCGGCATAACACGGACAATTCATGATGGCACATATGGCTCGCAGACTGGCACTCTGCAAAAAAGCCAGCCGCAAAGCCATGCCTTCTTCTTGGCTTAAATCTCCAGTCTGCAATAAAATAAAATCTCAAATTACACATCTACAGCAAAATCCTGAAAATATTTATAATTAAGGACCAGTAAGTTGCCAGATTTATTCTTTTCCTTTCATCAGAAAACTGAGGCAATTTACTGATTTAATACAAATAAAAACTTATTTAGTTGTAGCTATAGTTAGAGTAAGAGGTAGATGGGAAAAGAGGAAGGTGGCAACAACAAGTAGGAGGGAGGTGAAAGTGTATAAACTAAGGGAGGAGGAAGTTCGGGTGAGATATAAGCAACTATTGGCAGAAAGGTGGGCTAGTGCAAAGATGAGTAGTGGGGGGGTTGAAGAGGGTTGGAATAGTTTTAAAAATGCAGTATTAGAATGTGGGGCAGAAGTTTGTGGTTATGGGAGGGTGGGGGCAGGAGGAAAGAGGAGTGATTGGTGGAATGATGAAGTAAAGGGTGTGATAAAAGAGAAAAAGGTAGCTTATGAGAGGTTTTTTACAAAGCAGAAGTGTTATAAGAAGAGCAGAGTATATGGAGAGTAAAAGAAAGGTAAAGAGAGTGGTGAGAGAGTGCAAAAGGAGAGCAGATGATAGAGTGGGAGAGGCACTGTCAAGAAATTTTAATGAAAATAAGAAAAAATTTTGGAGTGAGTTAAACAAGTTAAGAAAGCCTAGGGAAAATATGGATTTGTCAGTTAAAAACAGAGTAGGGGAGTTAGTAGATGGGGAGTGGGAGGTATTAGGTAGATGGCGAGAATATTTTGAGGAACTTTTAAATGTTAAGGAAGAAAGGGAGGCGGTAATTTCATGCACTGGCCAGGGAGGTATACCATCTTTTAGGAGTGAAGAAGAGCAGAATGTAAGTGTGGTGGAGGTACGTGAGGCATTACGTAGAATGAAAGGGGGTTAAAGCAGCTGGAACTGATGGGATCATGACAGAAATGTTAAAAGCAGGGGGGGATATAGTGTTGGAGTGGTTGGTACTTTTGTTTAATAAATGTATGAAAGAGGGGAAGGTACCTAGGGATTGGGCGAGAGCATGTATAGTCCCTTTATATAAAGGGAAAGGGGACAAAAGAGATTGTAAAAATTATAGAGGAATAAGTTTACTGAGTATACCAGGAAAAGTATACGGTAGGGTTATAATTGAAAGAATTAGAGGTAAGACAGAATGTAGAATTGCGGACGAGCAAGGAGGCTTCAGAGTGGGTAGGGGATGTGTAGATCAAGTATTTACATTGAAGCATATATGTGAACAGTATTTAGATAAAGGTAGGGAAGTTTTTATTGCATTTATGGATTTAGAAAAGGCATATGATAGAGTGGATAGAGGAGCAATGTGGCAGATGTTGCAAGTATATGGAGTAGGTGGTAAGTTACTAAATGCTGTAAAGAGCTTTTATGAGGATAGTGAGGCTCAGGTTAGGGTGTGTAGAAGAGAGGGAGAATACTTCCCGGTAAAAGTAGGTCTTAGACAGGGATGTGTAATGTCACCATGGTTGTTTAATATATTTATAGATGGGGTTGTAAAAGAAGTAAATGCTAGGGTGTTCGGGAGAGGGGTGGGATTAAATTATGGGGAATCAAATTCAAAATGGGAATTGACACAGTTACTTTTTGCTGATGATATTGTGCTTATGGGAGATTCTAAAGAAAAATTGCAAAGGTTAGTGGATGAGTTTGAGAATGTGTGTAAAGGTAGAAAGTTGAAAGTGAACATAGAAAAGAGTAAGGTGATGAGGGTATCAAATGATTTAGATAAAGAAAAATTGGATATCAAATTGGGGAGGAGGAGTATGGAAGAAGTGAATGTTTTCAGATACTTGGGAGTTGACGTGTCGGCGGATGGATTTATGAAGGTTGAGGTTAATCATAGAATTGATGAGGGAAAAAAGGAGTGGTGCGTTGAGGTATATGTGGAGTCAAAAAACGTTATCTATGGAGACAAAGAAGGGAATGTATGTAAGTATAGTAGTACCAACACTCTTATATGGATGTGAAGCTTGGGTGGTAAATGCAGCAGCGAGGAGACGGTTGGAGGCAGTGGAGATGTCCTGTCTAAGGGCAATGTGTGGTGTAAATATTATGCAGAAAATTCGGAGTGTGGAAATTAGGAGAAGGTGTGGAGTTAATAAAAGCATTAGTCAGAGGGCAGAAGAGGGGTTGTTGAGGTGGTTTGGTCATTTAGAGAGAATGGATCAAAGTAGAATGACATGGAAAGCATATAAATCTATAGGGGAAGGAAAGAGGGGTAGGGGTCGTCCTCGAAAGGGTTGGAAAGAGGGGGTAAAGGAGGTTTTGTGGGCGAGGGGCTTGGACTTCCAGCAAGCGTGCATGAGCGTGTTAGATAGGAGTGAATGGAGACGAATGATACTTGGGACCTGACGAGCTGTTGGAGTGTGAGCAGGGTAACATTTATTGAAGGGGTTCAGGGAAACCAGTTATTTTCGTATAGTCGGACTTGAGTCCTGGAAATGGGAAGTACAATGCCTGCACTTTAAAGGAGGGGTTTGGGATATTGGCAGTTTGGAGGGATATGTTGTGTATCTTTATATGTGTATGCTTCTAAGCTGTTGTATTCTGAGCACCTCTGCAAAAACAGTGATAATGTGTGAGTGTAGTGAAAGTGTTGAATGATGATGAAAGTATTTTCTTTTTGGGGATTTTCTTTCTTTTTTGGGTCACCCTGCCTTGGTGGGAGACGGCCGACTTGTTGGGGGAAAAAAAAAAAGTCCAGCTGCTGCCCTCCTCTATACATCTGCACTGTACTATATCCCATATAGTATTGTTTTGTAGTTCTGTTCTATTTAATTAACTTTTTTTTCCCAAGATGCTGGCTGTCTCCCACTGAGGCAATGTCCTGAAAAAGAAACCCTTTCACCATCATTCACACTATCACTGTCTTGCCAGATGTGCTAGATATGACAGCAAAATGTCACTAAAACAACAAATATCCCAAACTACTCCTTCAGAGTGCAGGCACTGTACAGACAGATCCCACTCATACAGTATGTTAGGTTTCGGCTATTGCTGTAAAATTAAAATCGCTGTAAAGTGAAACAGTCTTTTTTTCATTTTCAAATGCATATAAAAAGTCTGATAACATGTTTACATTATCATATTAAATGTGCAATAGAGATAGGCCTAAAAAAAATGCATATACTTAAGCTTTTAGCGAGTTGTGATTATATTTATTGCAGGAAGTCTTAATAAATGAATAATGGGTATAATTGAAAACCACTGCATTAGCAAAGCGCTATAAAGCGAAGCACTGTAGAGTGGGGCCCTCCTGTACTTCCCACTTCCAGAACTTAAGCCCTGCTAACCGGTTTGCTTGAATTCCTTCACAAAATATTACCCTACTCACATTCCAACAGTTCATTAAGTCCCATAAACCATTTGTATCCCTTCACTCCTATCTAACATGCTCATACATTTTTATTGAAACATTTTTAACCCTTTCACTGTCCAAATCTCTAAAATAAATATGGTTCTCAATGTCCACATTTAAAAAATGAGAACAGATAAGGAATATTATGGCTTGGGAATGCATCCAATTTTAATACAGTAGGGTCCCACTTACACGGCAGGTTAGGTTCCAGGCTACCGCCACAAAGCAGACATCGCCGGAAAGCAGAACACCATTTTTTTCCACTTATAAATGTATATAGATGCCAGATAACAGTTTACACTAACATACATTAAGTTAGCAATACAACTAGGCATTAAAAAACAATAAAAAGTAAAATACACATACAGTACATTCATTATTTACCTCAAAATATTTGTAGTCATAATGTAGGGCAAAAGGCGAGTAGTATTTATTGTAAGAAGTCAGGTGTTTTAGGCAGGTTAGCCCTCCTGGCCACCCCACCCACACAATATACGACGACGTTTAAAGTGCCCTAGAGTGATAAAATGCATAAACAGTACACTCATTACTTACCTTAAAATATTTGTAGTCTTAATGGTCTTAATGTAGGGTGAGAGGTGAAAAGTATTTATATGTAGAAAGTCAGGTGCAGGAGGTAGGACAGTCTGTCTGGCCACCCCACCTACTAGGACATTTAAAGCGCCCTAGAGCGATAAAATGCATATACAGTACACTCATTACTTACCTTAAAATATTTGCAGTCTTAATGTAGGGCGAGAGGTAAGTGAGATAAAAACAAATAAACGAGAGAGAGAACGAGTAAGATGACAGAGCCGCAGAGTACTTATGTAAACAAACACGTCTGGTTATGGTTCATACACGTACATACAAGCACCTTACATTGTGTACAAGTTGTCTCTACAGTGGTACAGTAAAATAAATAAAGACCAAAGCTTCCATTCTCACGTAACATCATTTTTGAAAGGAATGATGCTCTGACAAGTTAGTACAGAAGAATAAATAAACAGCAACACACTCATAAGAAAAAAGAAGCACTAAACCCACAAGGATCTTGAATAGCTATAGAGTGAAGGCATACAAAAGGAATATTTTTCTACAGTTAAGTAACTGGTGCATGACTAGAGAAAACCTAATTCTTCCGACACTCCAACAAACCGTTTAGTAAACATATCTCGTATTTATGTCAATTTTTATACTGTTGGTGTATGTATCATGTTTGCGTGTTATGTTGCGCGTTTATTATATAATTTTGAAAAAAATATCATAGATGAATTAATGGAAATGTCTATATATTGGCAGTTTGGAGGGATATGTTGTGTATCTTTATACGTATATGCTTCTAAACTGTTGTATTCTGAGCACCTCTGCAAAAGCAGTGATAATGTGTGAGTGTGGTGAAAGTGTTGAATGATGATGAAAGTATTTTCTTTTTGGGGATTTTTTCTATTTTTTGGGTCACCCTGCCTCGGTGGGAGACGACCGACTTGTTGAAGAAAAAAAAAAAAAAAAAAAAAAAAAAAAAGTCTATATATTAACATAATATACGAAATTTAAGGTGCCCAAGATATTATTATGTGATGCCAAGAGTAAAGACTCTTAGTGATTTTAATGTGTACCTGCATGCCAGCACAGTGTGCAAGTATATTTAGGTACAGGTACACAAGTAAAATTATCAGAGTACATATAAAATAATGTATGCAATAACCTTAAAACACTTGAAATTCTGGAAAATTTCCAGACATAATAGAGATGTGCTCACAGAGAATGTAAACAAACCGGGTGGGGCGTGCCATATTAGAAAAACTGGAAGCCGTATAGCAAGTTTTGGTCATAATTTGAAATCAACATATCGGCGGAATGCCGTAAGGCGAAACGCTGTAAAGCGGGGCCCTACTGTATGGGTGTCTATGGGAAAACAGAATGAAAGTTTCAAACATTAAACTTACAATTTTCAGGAACACTAATTTTTTTTATTTTTTTTTTTTATTATCACACTGGTCGACTCCCACCAAGGCAGGGTGGCCCGAAAAAGAAAAACTTTCACCATCATTCACTCCATCACTGTCTTGCCAGAAGGGTGCTTTACACTACAGTTTTTAAACTGCAACATTAACACCCTTCCTTCAGAGTGCAGGCACTGTACTTCCCATCTCCAGGACTCAAGTCCGGCCTGCCGGTTTCCCTGAACCCCTTCATAAATGTTACTTTGCTCACACTCCAACAGCACGTCAAGTATTAAAAACCATTTGTCTCCATTCACTCCTATCAAACACGCTCACGCATGCTTGCTGGAAGTCCAAGCCCCTCGCACACAAAACCTCCTTTACCCCCTCCCTCCAACCCTTCCTAGGCCGACCCCTACCCCGCCTTCCTTCCACTACAGACTGATACACTCTTGAAGTTATTCTGTTTCGCTCCATTCTCTCTACATGTCCGAACCACCTCAACAACCCTTCCTCAGCCCTCTGGACAACATATTAATGTCATATGTTGGGGACCTAACTACTAGATAAATATTTGCTGTAACTCTTACCTGAACTGAATTTGCTAGACTTTAAAAAACAGGCACAAACTATAAACTATAAAAACTAACCAAGCCAACTTGTACTAAGTGCTCTACTTTCCCAATATATCTCTACAGTCCTACATGTCAGTAACCAATTTAAATTACATTAATTCCCTACACAAATAACATGCACATAGGAGAAAGAATGGTGACTAGTTAATGGTCCAAGTTGGACCGAAACTTCTTAAGTTTCTTTCTAGTATGTGCGAGATATGTGTATTGTTCCTGTCACAGTATTGTGCCTTTTTACTCTATTATTTCTCTCTTGGCTGCAGTTAGTGGTATGTTAGGAATTCAAATTAATATAAATGAGGATGTTGAAATGTCTTGGACCCTTTACACTTAGTGCATTATCTCTGTACTTTTTGCATCCATTCTTTCCCATTTACTCCCATTTATTTTTACAAATAGTTACCAACAACTGTGTTTTAATAATTAACAGAAGACTCAGGCCTTCAAACTTTTATATTCTTTCCTTTCGCAGGCAATCATATTAAACAAGTGAAGTAACTAACCAAGGAGGAGCCACGGTGTGTTGGTTGTGGCGGCTCGTGGCGATCACAGGCATCAAACGAACGTCCAGTAACTTCATCCATGATGTTTGTAACTAACTGATCAGTGAGCAACTCCATTGTCAGGCCATCAGAGCCCACTCTGTAATAAATAAGGTCTAACTCGGTTAAGTGAGTAAATTATATAGCACAACTACCAGAAACAAATGTCGAGAAAAGGAAGAACTATAATACGTAAATAACCCACATGTGGGGGAAGTTCGTGAGGCAGTAGGTAAAATGAAAGGGGGTAAGGCAGCCGGGATTGATGGGATAAAGATAGAAATATTAAAAGCAGGTGGGGATATAGTTTTGGAGTGGTTGGTGCAATTATTTAATAAATGTATGGAAGAGGGTAAGGTACCTAGGGATTGGCAGAGAGCATGCATAGTTCCTTTGTATAAAGGCAAAGGGGACAAAAGAGAGTGCAAAAATTATAGGGGGATAAGTCTGTTGAGTATACCTGGTAAAGTGTATGGTAGAGTTATTATTGAAAGAATTAAAAGTAAGACTGAGAATAGGATAGCAGATGAACAAGGAGGCTTTAGGAAAGGTAGGGGGTGTGTGGACCAGGTGTTTACAGTGAAACATATAAGTGAACAGTATTTAGATAAGGCTAAAGAGGTCTTTGTGGCATTTATGGATTTGGAAAAGGCTTATGACAGGGTGGATAGGGGGGCAATGTGGCAAATGTTGCAGGTGTATGGTGCAGGAGGTAGGTTACTGAAAGCAGTGAAGAGTTTTTACGAGGATAGTGAGGCTCAAGTTAGAGTACACAGGAAAGAGGGAAATTATTTCCCAGTAAAAGTAGGCCTTAGACAAGGATGTGTGATGTCACCGTGGTTGTTTAATAAATTTATAGATGGGGTTGTAAGAGAAGTAAATGCGAGGGTCTTGACAAGAGGCGTGGAGTTAAAAGATAAAGAATCACACAAAGTGGGAGTTGTCAAAGTTGCTCTTTGTTGATGACACTGTGCTCTTGGGAGATTCTGAAGAGAAGTTGCAGAGATTGGTGGATGAATTTGGTAGGGTGTGCAAAAGAAGAAAATTAAAAGTGAATACAGGAAAGAGTAAGGTTATGAGGATAACAAAAATATTAGGTGATGAAAGATTGGATATCAGATTGGAGGGAGAGAGTATGGAGGAGGTGAATGTATTCAGATATTTGGGAGTGGACGTGTCAGCGGATGGGTCTATGAAGGATGAGGTGAATCATAGAATTGATGAGGGGAAAAGGGTGAGTGGTGCACTTAGGAGTCTGTGGAGACAAAGAACTTTGTCCTTGGAAGCAAAGAGGGGAATGTATGAGAGTATAGTTTTACCAACACTCTTGATAAATTAGACACATGTGCAACTCTTGGGTATCTTTATTGAGGAAACGTTTTGCCACACACTGGCTTCATCAGTCCATACAAAGGAGAATCTTGAAGAACAGGAGGAGAATGAGGTAATCAGTCCCTCAACCTTGAGTCGATGTGGTCAGTCCATCAATCTTGAATAGATTGATGGACTGACCACATCGACTCAAGGTTGAGGGACTGATTACCTCATTCTCCTCCTGTTCTTCAAGATTCTCCTTTGTATGGACTGATGAAGCCAGTGTGTGGCAAAACGTTTCCTCAATAAAGATACCCAAGAGTTGCACATGTGTCTAATTTATCAACATGTCGGTTCTCTGAACCATTCATCTACAAACCAACACTCTTATATGGGTGTGAAGCATGGGTGATGAATGTTGCAGCGAGGAGAAGGCTGGAGGCAGTGGAGATGTCATGTCTGAGGGCAATGTGTGGTGTGAATATAATGCAGAGAATTCGTAGTTTGGAAGTTAGGAGGAGGTGCGGGATTACCAAAACTGTTGTCCAGAGGGCTGAGGAAGGGTTGTTGAGGTGGTTCGGACATGTAGAGAGAATGGAGCGAAACAGAATGACTTCAAGAGTGTATCAGTCTGTAGTGGAAGGAAGGCGGGGTAGGGGTCGGCCTACGAAAGGTTGGAGGGAGGGGGTAAAGGAGGTTTTGTGTGCGAGGGGCTTGGACTTCCAGCAGGCGTGCATGAGCGTGTTTGATAGGAGTGAATGGAGACGAATGGTTTTTAATACTTGACGTGCTGTTGGAGTGTGAGCAAAGTAACATTTATGAAGGGGTTCAGGGAAACCGGCAGGCCGGACTTGAGTCCTGGAGATGGGAAGTACAGTGCCTGCACTCTGAAGGAGGGGTGTTAATGTTGCAGTTTAAAAACTGTAGTGTAAAGCACCCTTCTGGCAAGACAGTGATGGAGTGAATGATGGTGAAAGTTTTTCTTTTTCGGGCCACCCTGCCTTGGTGGGAATCGGCCAGTGTGATAATAATAATAAAAATATAGAAGCTTATGACGAGGTTTCAGTCTGACTTGGACCAACTACAAAGTCTCACAGTGTGACCTTTGAATAACATAAAAAAAAATAACTTCCAATCTACCTTAACTCCTTGCGTGGACTGGAGGTGTGTGAGGGCCCATGAGAATTGGCTGCAGTGGTGGGCAACGACTCCAGGTGAGTCTGTGGAACCTGAGGCGACACAAGGCTGCCCGTAGACGAGGTCTGCAACTCGTCAGTCTCATGGTTGTACGTCAGTTTAGGAAATTCAATCTGAAAATCATTAATATTATATAATTTTAAAATTCCAGCACCACTCACTAAAATGTAAAATTTTAGCAGCCACTTCAAATTTATAGTAACTCCTCCTCCTGTATTTTTTTTTTTTTTTTTCAACAAGTCGGCCGTCTCCCACCGAGGCAGGGTGACCCAAAAAAGAAAGAAAATCCCCAAAAAGAAAATACTTTCATCATCATTCAACACTTTCACCACACTCGCACATTATCACTGTTTTTGCAGAGGTGCTCAGAATACAACAGTCTAGAAGCATACACATATAAAGATACACAACATATCCCTCCAAACTGCCAATATCCCAAACCCCTCCTTTAAAGTGCAGGCATTGTACTTCCCATTTCCAGGACTCAAGTCCGACTATATGAAAATAACCGGTTTCCCTGAATCCCTTCACTAAATATTACCCTGCTCACACTCCAACAGATCGTCAGGTCCCAAGTACCATTCGTCTCCATTCACTCCTATCTAACACGCTCACGCACGCTTGCTGGAAGTCCAAGCCCCTCCTGTATACATTACTAAATTTAAAAAGAGAGACCTTAGTTTTCTTTTTAGGTCACCCTGCCTGGGTGGGATACTGCCGGGTCGTTGAAAAAAAAAAAAGTATAAAAAGAATGATAATGACACAGGGGATGAAATATGCACATCTGAAAATCTCTAAAATTCTCAATATAAACTTGGTGAGCTAACTGACTTTTAAAGACTTCAGTACATTAGCTGTAACACATCAGCTATGGAATAATTAAATGATATTTTTAAAATAATTAAATAAAACATTAGTTATGATTGTTATAGTATACAGTGGACCCCCGGTTTACGATATTATTTCATTCCAGAAGTACGTTCAGGTGCCAGTACTGACCAAATTTGTTCCCATAAGGAATATTGTGAATTAGATTAGTCCATTTCAGACCCCCAAACACACACATACAAACGCACTTACATAAATAAACTTACATAATTGGTCGCATTGGGAGCCAATCGTAAACTGGGGGTCCACTGTATATTCATTGGACAGTAATTACATACTTTTTTCTACGTCAACAGCCAAATCAAGGTGACCCAAAAAATAAACATTCACCATCATTCATTCATCTGCTGCTTTTCCAGAAGGATGCTACCATCACAGTGCTGATGACCCTCCAACCACATCACTACCCTTCCTTTCGTTTTCATTTTAAACACAATGGTCATTTCCCACAAACAGGATGACCCAAAAAAAAAAAAAAACATTTTCACCATCATTCACACTATCATTGTCCTGCCAGAGGTGCACAGATACAACAGTTTAGATGTCCCTCCAAACAAATATTCCAAACCTTTGCTTTAGAGTGCAGATACTGTACCTCTCACCTCCAGGACTCAAGTCCAGCTAACTGGTTTCCCTGAATCCCTTCACAAAATATTACCTTTATCACCTTCCCATATGAATACACACAGTGAAAATTTCAGTCCTCCTTGATGGAGAATAGTATCAGATTTTGAACCTAAAATGTGGGTCACTAGCACAAACAGCTTGGTTGACCAGATGGTCAATAAGCAAGTCTGGCCTCTCATATTATGATGCAGAGGTAGAAAAGCCCTTAACAAAAAGTCACAGGTATACTGCAGTGAGCTAAATTCTCCTACTTTACCTACAAATACTGAAGATGGGACAACATGAACTAAATTCTACTACTGTAGCTACAAATAGGTTATTACACAAGGATAGTCACCCAAAGTAGGGCAAGGAAAGTTCAGTACACGTAATTTGCATAAAAAATAATAATAACGTCATGTTTACTGCAGAATTTTTATTACCGACCTCTTGAGTGAGTCCTCCCAACCTCATTATTTGAGTGATGACTTGGGCAGTTATTCCAGACATCTTGGAAACATCAAACGGAGGCGGCTCCACAGGCTCTAACATAGACACGGGGACATCACTGATACTTGTATCCCAGTCACACCATTGTACCTGAAAGCACACACAGTTACAGAAATAAGCAATGCTCTACTAGCCATACAATATTTACAAGACAACTAAGAACACAAAATTCATGTTAATATACACAAGACTAAAAAAAAAAAAAAAAAAAAAAAAAAATGTAAGGTGGTATATACAGTGAGGTGTATATCTCTCGCTGTATGTACACTGGAGACGAAGAGTGCAAAACTGACAAATGACGAAAAAGACAACTGCAGAGACGAATGTTTTACCCATATCCAAGCTTCTACAGCCATCAAAGACTGAAGAAACCCATCCACAGATGAACTGTCTCAAATAAAGCTTCACTACTGTCAATACAGTTAGGTCTGTCACAGTATACAATAGTACCCCCTGTATCTGCAGATTCATATTTTGTGGTTTCAGTTATCCATGGTTTACCGTGGCTCAAAATAACTTAATTTTGCTTAATAACATCCCCAAAGTGCAAAAGCAGTGATGCTGGCAATTCTTCAAAGACTAAAAGAAGCTGTGAAGTGCTTCCCATCAGGGAAAAACTAATCATTCTTGACTTGTCGTGCATAATATATCAAACTTTATCGTAGGTATGTACGTAAACGAAAAATGACTTGCACGTATACACAGTTTGCTACTATCCATGGTAGGTCTTAAATGTATCCCCCACAGATATAGGGGGACTATTGTATAGTATACTATACCATATTTACATTGGAAAGCTTTTATATCTAATCTATCATAAAATTTTGAAGAGCACTGAAAATGGGACAAGATGAGTTCACCTCACCATCCATAACTAAAATAGGCAATTACACACATGCAAACAAAGAGAAATGGAGATATAAACACACCTTAACAGCTGGATGTCCTTGGCGTAAAGCTCCTAAGACCATTGCTCTCCTTCCAGTGCCCTTCTGGATACACTGACTTCCTACCCTTAGTCCACTATCAACTCCACCAATCATGGCAAGAGCAGGATAAACTTCCTTACACAGCTGTTCTAAGTTCATCTCATAAACAAGATTCTGTTTACATGGTTTTCCTTTAGCAATGCCTGTCCTTCCATCTAAATGCTCATCAGCATTTTCTAAATTTAAATCTGTTCTTTGACTGCTTCTATCGTCATCATTTAAACGCAGTCCAAATTTTTTCTTTGTTCTTTCTTCTCGTTCAAGTCTTTCATCCAGTGTCAAGACATGACCTTCAATGGCATCATCTGTGATAGGTTCATACTCAGATACAAGTTCCTCATTTTCCGATTCACTTTTAGAAGCCGTTTCAACACTTTCATGGAGATCCTTCGGCTGCGGGATAAGTTCCTTTGTCTGATTAAGGCGTTCAATTATACAATCATTAACCTGCTGTGTCCAAGCTGAGGCTTCATGCAGCTGCCGAAGAAGAGCAATGTGAGCTTCTGACAAGACTGCAGCTTGAGGGGCACACAACGGATCACCTGGATCAAGATCTCGAGGGGAACCTCTCACTTGCATGTCCACCATCTTTACCTTCTCCCCAGGATTTGTGCTATAAAACATAACACATGGATATAGTTCAGGAGCATCAATATTTTCAAATGCAAGTCGAGGTTCTTCTCCATTCTTGCCAAAGCTTAGTGTCCTAGCCTCCATATCAAGCACCACAGTGATGTAATCTCCCTGAGTAAAACCAGGTAAGGAAACACTCAGTTCCCCATTGTGGTACAAATTTCCTGAGTAAGCTCTATATAGCCACATGTCTGATGAAGTCCTATGGCTGTAGTCACGGACAGGATATTTTGAGACGCCAACACAGGTTCCTTCATTACCACGGTTCTCTTTCACAATGAGAAACTTCCACTGATAACAGCCAGAGGTAATTGGAGTAGAGCCTAGACCATAGCCACGACCCCCTGGACCATGAACAAGTGTGTGTCCTCCTTCAACTGAACAACACACAGACTTGTCAGGGTCAAAACCTACTTCCTGGACTGGTAAACTATCATCAGGGGAATCAGGCCTTGACTGTTCATCTAGCAAATCAGGACTTGACAGTCTCACAAGATGTTTTTGAAGTTCTGTCAACAACTGACTTGCCTTAAGATGAGCCTGAGCAGAGGGTATCACCCACATATTTGCTGCCAGCTGCATGAAGAGCTGTCTTACAACTTGTTCCCGAGCCTCCAAGTCAAAATCCGAATATGGCAGAGTAGCGCCCAACAGTGTCAGTGCCAAAACTCTTGTTCTTACACTGATGACTTGAGGAAGGTGAGTTTCAGCCTGCTCACCAGTGACCAGAAGCAGAAGACGTACCCACGGCTGACGACCAACAAGAACTCTCACCCGCTGGTTAACACACAGCCGCCTCACAAACACTAGGAGGTTTCCTAAGGTTACCTCTAAATGTCGTCGTTTCCTGGCATCTGCAGCATTGTTGTTCTGGCCGCCATCAAGACCTGTGAGGCGTAGTTCTAATTTTCTCTGGCCTATCTTTCTTTCTTTTTTACCAACATCCTTTACATCTATACCATCTCTCTCTCTTTCTTCAACTTCTGCTTCTTTTAGGTCAGGTTTAGCTATATCAACATTCTTTTCAAGTGGAATAATAGATTCATGTTGCATGTAAGTTTTCCATGTGATTTCATTAGCTTTAATGATATGATTAACAAGGTCTTCAACTTGCAGATGCAAGAGATTCATAACTTGTGAGAGAACACATTTACTGATGTCTTCTGCATAATACCTGCAAAAACAATCATAATATTATTGGTCTTTGTTTATTATATATCGATATATGTGACTATTATTATACTCAGTACTATTCTAGATGCCATCCAACACCAGGTCAATACTACACATCAAGACTATGCTACGTTAATCTTCACAAACTTTTACAATTTACTGATAATTCATTCTTCACAAGCTAATGCAATTTACAAAATGAAAATACATTCATCTTGACAAGCTAATATAATTCACTGGCAATAATACATTAATTTTGTCAAGATAATTCAGTTTATTGACAATAATGCATTCAATTATCATGCTAACACTGACAATATTATACAGAGAATTCAGAGTGCAGAAGTTACAAGGTAGCATTCAGAGGGTTGAGGAGGGGGTTTTAAGGTGGCTTGGACATTTAGAGAGGATGAGGCAGGAGAGGATTACCAAAGGGGGTGTATAAATCTGAGCAGCAAGGAGTAGTAGTCATCATTCCAGGAAGGGATGGGGGGAGGAGATACAGCAGGCCTTCAATACTGGGGACCTGAGCATCCAGCAGGCTTGTGAGCCATGTTAGATCAGAGTGGAGGCAAGTAGCTCTTGTGACTTCTCGTGCTGTTGGAGTGTGAGCAGGGTAACATTTATTAAAGAGATTCAAGGAAACCAGCGAGTCCTTGAAGTGGGAAGCAAAATGCCTGCATCCTAAAGGAGGGGCGGGGATGATGATCAGAATAATATCTGAACTGCAACATCCATACACTTCTGGCAAGGCAGCCATTGAATGAATGATGACTGTCCTTTTTCGGGGGGTTACCCTACATTGGTGGAAGATGGACTATGAAGTTTAAAAATGTGTTTTGTAATAAAAGCTTATGAACGAGGTTACTTATTAACTGGTAATGTTACAGCAATAAAATTAATTTAAAACTTATTTTACTGAAATCTTATTTAGGCTTCCAATTCCTTTAAGTATACTTACCCAGTTAAAATAGTAAGAATTTGGAAGAGTGTATGTGCTGCATGAGGCAAAAGATCTGTCGGGGATGGATGAGGGGTATGACGCAGAGTTGGAGGATCGTATGGACAGCACATTCGCACTAAGGCATCAAGCAGACCACTTGATACAGCTAAGCTCAGATCAGGTGCTTCATAGCGGACACTAAGAGCAAATATAGTCAGCAGACAGAGGCGCTCCCGAAGACCTGTTGCAAGAATTTAACATCACTTAATCCATTCACAATATCAATAGACAAGAAAAAATGATTTGGTGCAAACTATTTTTTATCAAGGCTTTTAGAATGCCACACATTACACTAAATTTACTTAATATACTCAAAGATATCTTTAGCAGTAATGTATATTTGCACATAAGTGCTATGAAATATAATAAGTTTATTTAGGTTACACGTAAGTACGATTATCATACATGGTGTAAATTACCCGGGCTAATTCAAAATAGTCAACACACTGGGCAGCACAGTATCTATGAATTGTGCGTTTCAAGAGTTTACATAAATACTGAAAAATAAAAGTCACAGTGCCGAGGCTGGAACAATTCATATCTAACCCACAATTTGGAGACGAAACCTTAGACTGACCAAAGCTTCAACTAAATTTTCCTTTTCAAATTGTGAGTTAGATGTGAATTTATACTATGATTTTAGTTATTAGTATGAGACAGGTGCCCCACGTTTAATAATCCGGACCAAGATTCCGTGTGTGTTACACTGTTGTTAATAACTCATGAAACTGTAATAACACTACTGCAAACAAACTCGCTCACCATGGGTTCAAACCCCACCCCATTCCATGGCCTGTTTTTAATAATAGTAGCTGTGATATTTTCAGAGCGCTCTGACTGTGTGGGGTCTCACTGCCCTTGTAGCAATAATATACAATACCCACAATACAAACAAAGTTTTTTTTTTTTAACACGTCGGCCGTTTCCCACCAAGGCAGGGTGACCCAAAAGAAAGAACCCAAAAAGAAAAACTTTTCATAATCATTCAACACTTTTACCTCACTCATACATAATCCCAGTCTTTGCAGAGGCGCCCAGATACGACAGTTTAGACAGTCATTCCAAACTGCCAATATCCCAAACTCCTCCTTTAAAGTGCAGGCATTGTACTTCCCATTTCCAGGACTCAAGTCTGGCTAACCAGTTTCCCTAAATCACTTCACTGCTCACACTCCAACAGCTCATCAGGTCCCAAAAACCATTCGTTTCCATTCACTCCTATCAAACATGCTCACACACGCTTGCTGGAAGTCCAAGCCCCTCCCTCCAACCTTTTCAAGGACGACCCCTACCCCACCTTCCTTCCTCTACAGATTTATACATTCTCCAAGTCATTCTACTTAGTTCCATTCTGTCTAAATGACCAAACCACCTCTACAACCCCTCTTCAGCAGTCTGACTAATACTTTTAGTAACTCCACACCTCCTCCTAATCTCTACACTATGAATTTTCTGCATAATATTTACACCACATATTGCGCTTAGACTGGACATCTCCACTGCCTCCAGGCACCTCCTCACTGCAGCATTTACAACCCAAGCTACACACCTATATAAGTGTTTGTACCACTATACTTTCGTACAGTCCCTTCTTTGCCTCCATGGATAACATTTTTTTGTCTCCACATATACCTCAACGCACCACTCGCCTTTCTACCTTCATCAATTCTATGGTTAACCTCATCCTTCATAAACCCATCCACTGGCAAATAAACTCCAAAATATCCGAAAATATTCACTTCTTCCATACTCCAATGTGATATCCAATTTTTCTTTATCTAAATCATTTGATACCCTCATCACCTTACTCTTATCTATGTTCACTTTCAACTTTCTACCTTTACACACCCTCCCAAACTTGCCCACTAACTTTTGTAATTTTTCTTTAGAATCTCCCATAAGCACAGTATCATCAGCAATAAGTAACTGTGTCAACTCCCATTTTGTATTTGATTCCCCATAATTTAATTCCACCCCTCTCCCCATCACCCTAACATTTACTTCTTTTACAACCCCATCTACAAATATATTAACCCTTAAACTGTCCAAGCAGATCTATGTTCACATGCGTAGTGCTCCAAAAGTACATTACGCTTTTTTTAAATATTTTCAAATATAACGAAAAAAAAAAAACGTAGATCGAAGTTTTCTTTACACGTTTTCAAATGTAAAAAATAAAAAGAAGCTCTACGTTTTTTTTTTTACATACTTTCAAATGTTGAAAAAACATAGATCTACGTTTGGACAATTTAAGGGTTAAACAACCATGGCGACATTACACATCCCTGTCTAAGACCTACTTTACTGGGAAATAATCTCCCTCTCTTGTACACACCCTAACCTGAGCCTCACTATCCTCATAAAAACTCTCTACAGCAGTTAGTAACTTACTACCTATTCCATACACTTGCAACATCTGCCACATATTCCTAAATCTATAAATGCAATGAAAACTTCCCTATCTTTATCTAAATAATGCTCACATATATGCTTCACTCCATGGGGAAGCGGAACAGAATTCTTCCTCCATAAGCCAGGTGTGTCGTAAGAGGTGACTAAAATGCCGGGAGCAAGGGGCTAGTAACCCCTTTTCCTGTATATATTACTAAATATAAAATGAGAAACTTTCATTTTTTTCCTTTTGGGCCACCCCGCCTCGCTGGGATACAGCCGGTGTGTTGAAAGAAAGATATATGCTTCAATGTAAACATTTAATCTACACATCACCTACAGACTCTAAAGTCTCCTTGCTCATCTGCAATTCTGCTCCCTGTCTTACCTCTAATTCTGTGAATAATAACCCTACCATACACTACCTGGTATACTCAGTAAACTTATTTCCCTATAATTTTTACAATCTCTTTTGTCCCCCTTACCTTTATATAAAGGAACTATACATGCTCTCTGCCACTCCCTAGGTACCTTCCCTTCTTTCATACATTTATTAAACAAAAATACCAACCGCTCCAACACCATATCCCCTCCCCCTGTTTTTAACATTTCTGTCATGATCCCATCAGTTCCAGCTGCTTTACCCCCTTTCATTCTATGTAATGTCTCACGCACCTCCCCACACTTGCATCCTGCTCTTCTTCACTCCTAAAGGATGTGATACCTCCCTGGCCAGTGCATGAAATTATTGCCTCCCTTTCTTCATCGACATTTAAAAGTTCTTCAAAATATTCCTGCCATCTACCCAATACCTCCAGCTTCCCATCTACTAACTCCCCTACTCTGCTTTTCACTGACTAATGCATTCATTCCTTGGGCTTTCTTAACTTGTTTATCTAACTCCAAAATTTTTTCTTATTCTCCACAAAATTTCTTAACAGTGCCTCTCCCACTATCATTTGCTCTCCTTTTGTATTCTCTCATCACTCTCTTCTCCTTTCTTTTACTCTCCATATACTCTGCCCTCCTTATATCACTTCTGCTTTGTAAAAACCCTCTAAGCTATTTTTTTTCTCTTATCACACCCTTTACTTCATCATTCCACCAATCACTCCTCTTTCCTCCTGCACCCACCCTCCTATAGCCACAAATTTCTGCCCCACATACTAATACTGCATTTTTAAAACTATTCCAACCCTCTTCAACCCCCCCCCCCTACTACCCATACATGCACTAGCCTACCTTTCTGCCAATAGTTTTTTGTATCTCACCCTAACTTCCTCCTCCCTTAGTTTATAAACTTTTACCTCTTACTTTCTGTTGCCCTTTTCCTTTTGTCCCATCTACATACAATAAAACATACAATACATACAATAAAAGCTATGAACATAGAAATTTCTACACAAATAAATACTATCATGCCAAGTTAAAATAAGCAGCATCAATTAAAAACCCTATTTATGATTTTTAACACACTGGTCACCTACTGAGGCAGGGTGACCTGAAAAAGAAACTTTCGCCATCATTCACCTATTGCTGTCTGAATGATTATGAAACCATTTCTTTTTTGGGTCAAAAGACTCCACTAAAAGCTTTGAAGAGTAGAAGACTTAGTGCATCAATAGACTGATTCAAAATATAGCCAGTCTCAGTAAGTACAACCTAGCAGCATATCTGTCTCACCACGGGCAGAGGAAGGTTTGAGCCTTCAGTGCTCCTTGCTCTGAATGATCCACATGGATTTTTATTAAAAAGATATATAAAATGAATTCTAGGTAGTAGGCTGGTAGACAGCAACCACCCAGGGAGGTACTACTGTTCTGCCAAGCGAGTGTAAAACAAAAGCCTGTAATTGTTTTACATGATGGTAGGATTGCTGGTGTCCATTTTTCTGTCTCATGAACATGCAAGGTTTCAGGTACGTCTTGCTACTTCTACTTACACTTAGGTCACACTACACATACATTCCCCCCCCCCTCCCCAACAAGTCGGCCGTCTCCCACCAAGGCAGGGTGACCCAAAAAAGAAAGAAAATCCCCAAAATGAAAATACTTTCATCATCATTCAACACTTTCACCACACTCACACATTATCACTGTTTTTGCAGAGGTGCTCAGAATACAACAGTTTAGAAGCATATACGTATAAAGATACACAACACATCCCTCCAAACTGCCAATATCCCAAACCTCTCCTTTAAAGTGCAGGCATTGTACATCCCATTTCCAAGACTCAAGTCCGACTACATGAAAATAACCAGTTTCCCTGAATCCCTTCACTAAATATTACCCTGCTCACACTCCAACAGATCGTCAGGTCCCAAGTATCATTCGTCTCCATTCACTCCTATCTAACACGCTCATGCACGCTTGCTGGAAGTCCAAGCCCCTCGCCCACAAAACCTCCTTTACCCCCTCTCTCCAACCCTTTCGAGGACGACCCCTACCCCTCCTTCCTTCCCCTATAGATTTATATGCTTTCCATGTCATTCTACTTTGATCCATTCTCTCTAAATGACCAAACCACCTCAACAACCCCTCTTCTGCCCTCTGACTAATGCTTTTATTAACTCCACACCTTCTCCTAATTTCCACACTCCAAATTTTCTGCATAATATTTACGCCACACATTGCCCTTAGACAGGACATTTCCACTGCCTCCAACCGTCTCCTCGCTGCTGCATTTACCACCCAAGCTTCACATCCATATAAGAGTGTTGGTACTACTATACTTTCATACATTCCCTTCTTTGCCTCCATAGATAATGTTTTTTGACTCCACATATACCTCAACGCACCACTCACCTTTTTTCCCTCATCAATTCTATGATTAACCTCATCCTTCATAAATCCATCCACCGACATGTCAACTCCCAAGTATCTGAAAACATTCACTTCTTCCATACTACTCCTCCCCAATTTGATATCCAATTTTTCTTTATCTAAATCATTTGATACCCTCATCACCTTACTCTTTTCTATGTTCACTTTCAACTTTCTACCTTTACACACATTCCCAAACTCATCCACTAACCTTTGCAATTTTTCTTTAGAATCTCCCATAAGCACAGTATCATCAGCAAAAAGTAACTGTCAATTCCCATTTTGAATTTGATTCCCCATAATTTAATCCCACCCCGAACACCCTAGCATTTACTTCTTTTACAACCCCATCTATAAATATATTAAACAACCATGGTGACATTACACATCCCTGTCTAAGACCTACTTTTACCGGGAAGTATTCTCCCTCTCTTCTACACACCCTAACCTGAGCCTCGCTATCCTCATAAAAGCTCTTTACAGCATTTATTAACTTACCACCTATTCCATATACTTGCAACATCTGCCACATTGCTCCTCTATCCACTATCATATGCCTTTTCTAAATCCATAAATGCAATAAAAACTTCCCTACCTTTATCTAAATACTGTTCACATATATGCTTCAATGTAAACACTTGATCTACACATCCCCTACCCACTCTGAAACCTCCTTGCTCATCCGCAATCCTACATTCTGTCTTACCTCTAATTCTTTCAATTATAACCCTACTGTATACTTTTCCTGGTATACTTAGTAAACTTATTTCTCTACAATTTTTACAATCTCTTTTGTCCCCTTTCCCTTTATATAAAGGGACTATACATGCTCTCTGCCAATCCCTAGGTACCTTCCCCTCTTTCATACATTTATTATACAGAAGTACCAACCACTCCAACACTATATACCCCCCTGCTTTTAACATTTCTGTCATGATCCCATCAGTTCCAGCTGCTTTACCCCCTTTCATTTTACGTAATGCCTCACGTACCTCCACCACACTTGCATTCTGCTCTTCTTCACTCCTAAAAGATGGTATACCTCCCTGGCCAGTGCATGAAATTACCGCCTCCCTTTCTTCCTCAACATTTAAAAGTTCCTCAAAATATTCTCGCCATCTACCTAATACCTCCCTCTCCCCATCGACTAACTCCCCTACTCTGTTTTTAACTGACAAATCCATACTTTCCCTAGGCTTTCTTAACTTGTTTAACTCACTCCAAAATTTTTTCTTATTTTCATTAAAATTTCTTGACAGTGCCTCTCCCACTCTATCATCTGCTCTCCTTTTGCACTCTCTCACCACTCTCTTCACCTTTCTTTTACTCTCCATATACTCTGCTCTTCTTATAACACTTCTGTTTTGTAAAAACCTCTCATAAGCTACCTTTTTCTCTTTTATCACACCCTTTACTTCATCATTCCACCAATCACTCCTCTTTCCTCCTGCCCCCACCCTCCTATAACCACAAACTTCTGCCTCACATTCTAATACTGCATTTTTAAAACTATTCCAACCCTCTTCAACCCCCCCACTACTCATCTTTGCACTAGCCCACCTTTCTGCCAATAGTCGCTTATATCTCGCCCGAACATACATACATGTACATACATGTACAAGCATATATATACATACATACTCCTCTGGGTTTTCTTCTATTTTCTTTCTAGTTCTTGTTCTTGTTTATTTCCTCTTATCTCCATGGGGAAGTGGAACAGAATTCTTCCTCCATAAGCCATGCGTGTCGTAAGAGGCGACTAAAATGCCGGGAGCAAGGGGCTAGTAACCCCTTCTCCTGTATATATTACTAAATGTAAAAGGAGACACTTCGTTTTTCCTTTTGGGCCACCCCGCCTTGGTGGGATACAGCCGGTGTGTTGAAAGAAAAAATATAAAATGAATCTCCATGAGGAAGTAGAGAAGAATCCTTCCTCTGTAAACCATACATGTTGTGAGAGCCAACTAAAATACCAGGAGCAAGGGGCTAGTAACCCCTTCTCCTGTATATATACTAAATGTAAAGAGAAAAGCTTTAATTATTTTCTTTTGGGTCACCCCTGCCTTTTATATAAAATGAAGACTGCTTTAAAATCTCCATCCAATCATTAAAAGAACCTTTGTCTGGCTGTTCATGTTGAAGTAGAGATGAGACTAGATGACGGTAGATAATGTGAACAGTCGTAGCAATCTTCTTCTGCGTGGGCATGCTCGCTGCTCGGATACCATCGAGGTAGTGTGTGGCTTCCAGTGATCGCACTAACGAGTAACTACTACTGCTCCAAAGACTTTCCAAACCAAAGCATCCAGTCATCACCTCATGATACACCTGAAGTAAATTTTTAAAATTTAAAATCTAAGATTCACCTGGTAATTTTTAACTGAAAGAGCTCTATATTACTAGACAACAGCACTAGATTTTTTAAATTCTTTACAATATAGTTATAATTTGATTACCTGGTCAGAAAACAGCATCTTACTCACAGAAGGAAGGAGAGATCCACATGCTCTTTCTAAAGCAAAATGCTCCTTAGTGTCCTCCTCTGTTTTGTCTCCATCATTCACAGGAGTCAACAGCGTCAGCATCAGCTCCAGTGCATCTAGTCGAGACTGTCAAACACATTAAAATCAATTAAGCAAACACTACAAATAATAAAATTTATACAAATTACTGGAATAAAAGACACACACGAGCAAAGATTTTAATGCATATTTAATACTGAACTACTGTTCACTTAGCTACCTCACTTTTGTACATTTAAAAAACTGCTATTCGACAACCTATGTCTAGTTTTCAAGTAGTCTGTAAGCATTAAGATTCATCTGCCTGAAATGCACTGCATTTTATTGGCTTTCTTTTCTGCTAAACAATATTTTTATTACATGTAACTTACATTGTGTATACTGCAGAAAGAAATAAAGTTGTTTGCTCATTTTGTTTAGAAAATGTTTGTCTTGGGACCACCAGGAAACTAGTGGAACCTCGGTACTCGTACAGCTCCCTACTCGAATAATTCAGTATTTGAACACTTTGTTCGGTAAAAAAATTGCCCGGTACGTCGACTATTTGCTCGGCACTCAACCAAACAAACACGACCTGCCAGAACTTTGCTGTACACTATTTCGTGTTTCTTCACATTTTTTGACTTTTTTTTTATACAAGTAAGTCACCATGGTGCCTAAGAAGATTAGTGATAACAGCCAACCAAAAAGAAAATTGGTTGGGAAAATTTCATTCGGTACTCAAACAGATCAACACTCGAACAGCCTTCTGGAACGAATTAAGTTCGAGTACCAAGGTTCCACTGTAGTAAGGTGTAATCTAGCAGACTATCTCACCTCTGCTCTAGCTTGTTGGGTTGTCATTGAGGTGAGAATAACATCAGGTCCAGGTGGGAGATTAGCTACAGTCTTAAGAGATGACAGCTGGTGGTCTTCTGCACCAGCAAACCTCAGCACTTCTATACAGCGACCCATCACTAGACTCAATACCTCCTGATATGTCCTGACCACATAATATAACATTAAACAACGGTATTAAATTTGTGGCCATTTATTTAAGGACTGGTTACAGTCTTTACAAGAAATTACATATATTTAATCAAGATCCAGGTCTCAATTAGTGAGAGTTTGAATAGTAGGAATTTCAATTTAGTACAAAATTAATTAATGATAGTTTTCCCAAACTTTTCAAATTGTACACAAAAATTACATCTAATTCAACTAGTGCAAATTCAACTAATGCAACTGCTCCACAGAATGAATTATTCCCACTAATCGAGCCCTAGCTGTACATGGAGGGTGGCATATTTTTTTTTTAAATGACTACTTATACAATTACCTATTGGGTTCAGCAATGAGGTACAATTTAATCATGAGAAGGGATTACATTTTTTTTTCATATTTTTGCACATATTTTTGTGGCAAGAGATTTCAAGTCTTAGTTTCCACTGTCAATTTCATTTTTCTTATTGGCTTTATAGTATCTAATACTAGTTACTGCTTGACCTATTTGTATAAACCATTCTGGAGTGCAGTGATGCTTATTTCCCAAGGTAACAAGCTGTCAGAGTACATATAAACAAACAGGAAACGGTGCAAAACAAATGCCAAATATTTCAATCCCTACATTGGGATCAGAACACACAGGTAAATAAAAAAAAAAGACTCTGTCTAGCAGTCTCAGCAGATAGAGGATCAAGACTTGACCACATCTTGCACTGAATGACCCACATGGGTTTGGTGTTTAACATGAATTAATTAGACTGGGATTGTCTTCTATGCATTTTCTGTACTAAGAAAGCACTTCAAGGAAGGTGCCTTGATGCCAGTGAAGGGCTCCTGATCCAAAGAACTGGAACTGCCCTATCTTTCCTTAGACTAAACCTGACTGCCTCCCATTTCACCAAGTGCTGAATGACCCCTATGAGTTCAGTGAACATTTCCTGAATAATACTGATAATACCATAACATGATGAAGAGGATAACAGTAAGGGACCAAAATGTTCCATCAATGGGTTTCCTGAGATAATGAGATACTGAATAATTATGAAATCTGTAAGCCTAATGAGCAACAAGAGTATTTCATCTCAAAATTATGCATTTTTTTTTTTTTAGCACATTGGCTGTTTACCACCAAGGGAGAGTGATCTAAAAAAAAAAAAAAAAAAAGAAACACTTTCATCACCACTCACTCCATCACTGTCTTGCCAGAGGTGTGCCAACACTACAATTCAAAAACTGCAACATATCCCCACCCCACCTTCAGAGTGTAGGCACTGTACTTCCCACCTGCAGGACTCAACTCCAGCTAACCAGATTCCCTAAATCCCTTCATAAATATTACTTTGATCACACTCCAACAGCACTTCAAGTCATAAAAACCACTTGTTTCCACTCACTCCTAACTAACATGTTCGTGCACGTTTGCTGGAGGTCTAAGCCCCTCACGCACCAACCCTTCTTTAACCTTTCCCTCCATCTGAATATTTTCAGCATTCATAAGCTTAACGATCGAGACTGAAATTCACCTTCAAAAGGATTAAATGGAAAACTTACAACTGAATGCAGGATTTTGGCAACAATGGAGCAGGTTTGATAGCCATCATAAGCACCAGACACTGTGTTATGATGTGAAGATTGGCAGCCTCATAACTAACACCTTCCTCCACAGCTTCCTGACCACTCTCTTCTGGATCTGCAAGGAATTTCTTAGTGTTAAAACAGGTACAGTCAACTCTTGCCATACCCAAGGCAATATGATGAACTTAAAAATATTAATTTAATGGATAATGGAAGGGGGAGGACTGGGAGTCAGAAAGGACTTTCAGAATTTTGAGATTATTGGGGGAAACAAATAAATATTTCATACAAGGACACTTCAGACCATCAATGAATTGTAAGGTAGACCGAGATAGCTACAGAGAGGACAAGCAAGAAGGAGACAGCAAGTGAGAGGGAGGGAAGGAGGGAATAAACAAGGGAGAGGTTTAGTAAAAAAAAAAAAATAAGATGTTAGCAATAAGGGAGAGCTAGAAATGGAGAAACAAGCAAGAATGTGGATAAACACTCCATTTACTAAAAAGGAAGTGTCTTTATGTACATATAAATTTACATTAAAATTATGTTAAACGTGTTGGAGGAGCAGCAAAATTTATTTAGCAATATCTGCTTATAAATACTGGAAATGGGAAGTACAATGCCTGCACTTTAAAGGAGGGGTTTGGGATATTGGCAGTTTGGAGGGATATGTTGTGTATCTCTATACATATATGCTTCTAAACTGTTGTATTCTGAGCGCCTCTGCAAAAGCAGTGATAATGTGTGAGTGTGGTGAAAGTGTTGAATGATGATGAAAGTATTTTCTTTTTGGGGATTTTCTTTCTTTTTTTTGGGTCACCCTGCCTCGGTGGGAGACGGCCGACTTGTTGAAAAAAAAAAAAAAAAAAAAAAAAAAATACCATCGGGAGGTTGAGACAAATTCTTCGTGTGTAAGCCATGAGTGTTGTAAGAGGCAGATAAAATTACTTTTCTCAACACTCAAGCAGTGTCCCACCAAGGTAGGGTGACCCAATAAAGAAGAACACACTTTCACTGTCACTCATTCAATCACTGCCTTGCCAGAAGGGCATTTACCCTACAGGATTCAAGTCCAGTTAACCAGTTTCCTTGAATTCCTTCATATTACCTTGCTCACATTCCAACAATACATCAAATGATAAAAACCCCTTGCCTCTACTCTCTCTCATCTAACATACTCACACAAGCCTGTTGGATGTCCAAGCCCCTAGCACTCAAAACTACCTTCACCCCTCCCCCTCCAACCTTGCCTAGGACATTTAAATGCCCTCCTAGTCATCCTAATTCTCTCCATCCTCTCTCAATGTCCAAGCCACCTCAACAACCCCTCAGCCCTCTGAATAATACTTTTGGTAACTTCACACCTTCTATACTCTGAATTCTCTATATAATATTCACATTATACATTGTCCTCAAACACAACATCTCCACCTCCTCCAGCCTCCTCACTGCAACATTCACAACCCATGCTTCACACCCACATAAGAGTTTTGGTGCCCCTATTCTCTCCTAAATTCCCCATTTTGCCTCCACAGATAACGTTCTTTGTCTCCACAGATGCCTTAATGCACCACCCACCCTTTTATCTTCGTCAAATCTATGGTTCACCTCTTTTCTCATGAACCATCTGCTGACAATATAAATATTTCAATATTTTATTCTTATTTGCTGCAAAGTAATATACAAACCTCATTGAGATAGTCTCAATGAGCTCTGCTCTTGATTTCTTATGCAAGCTCTTTACAATGACCTCTGCTTTGTATTTCTTATTCAAACTGTTTACAACACACTGGCATGTCAGTTACCTACCTTGTTCATCGTATGCTCTTGGACTTCTCATGGCCATCAGCCGCTCTCTCAGTTCCCGCACTTCTTCCTGGTCTTCTGCAAATTCCAAATATCACATCTTTTAGAAAACTGTAACATAAATGTGCCTTTCACCTTGATGGAGAAACAGACATTGCAAAAAAAAAAAAAAAAAAAAAAAAATTAATACAGTACACACATGAAAATTGATGATACAATGTTAAAACATTGCTTTAAATATAAGGAGTTAATTACACTACAAGAGATCCCCAAATTACACCACAGGAGGTCCCTAAATTACACCACAGGTTCTTAAATTACACCACAGGTTCCTAAATTACACCAAAGGAGGTTCCTAAATTACACCACAGGAGGTTCCAAAATTACACCACAGGAGGTCCCCCAAATTACACCACAGGTGGTCCCTAAATTACACCACAGGAGGTCCCTAAATTACACCACAGGAGGTCCCCCAAATTACACCACAGGAGGTTCCTAAATTACACCACAGGAGGTTCCTAAATTACACCACAGGAGGTCCCTAAATTACACCACAGGAGGTCCCTAAATTACACCACAGGAGGTCCCTAAATTACACCACAGGAGGTCCCCAAATTACACCACAGGAGGTCCCCAAATTACACCACAGGAGGTCCCCAAATTACACCACAGGAGGTCCCCAAATTACACCACAGGAGGTCCCCAAATTACACCACAGGAGGTTCCTAAATTACACCACAGAAGGCTCCTAAATTACACCACAGGAGGCTCCTAAATTACACCACAGGAAGTTCCTAAATTACACCACAGGAGGCCCCCAAATTATACCACAGGAGGTCCCCAAATTACACCACAGGAGGTCCCCAAATTACACCACAGGAGGTTTCTAAATTACACCACAGGAGGTTCCTAAATTATACCACAAGAGATTCCTAAATTACACCACAGGAGATCCTTAACCCTTTGACTGTCGTGGCCGTATATATACGTCTTACGAGGTACCGTGTTTCACGTATATATACTCATAAATTCTAGCGGCTTCAAATCAAGCAGGAGAAAGCTGGTAGGCCCACATGTGAGAGAATGGGTCTGTGTGGTCAGTATGCACCATATAAAAAAAATCCTGGAGCACGCAGTGCATAATGAGAAAAAAAAAACTCCGACCATTTTTTTTAATTAAAATGCCGATTTTGTGGTCTATTTTCGTATAGTATTTATGGTTGTATTCTCATTTTCATGGGCTCACTTGATAGAATGGAAAACATATTATAGAAATAGAGGTGATTTTGATTGATTTTACTATAAAAAGAACCTGGAAATGGAGCTCAAATTAGGGAAAATGTTTGATTTTTGCCAATGTTCAAAAGTAAATAAATGATGTCATTGTCCAATAAATGTCCAACTAGCCATTCTAATATGCAGTCATGAATGGGTTGATGTTATTTATACAATTATTACAGTATTGCAGTAGTCTGCATAATAGTAAGTCTTCTATTTTTTGTTTGAATAAAAATTCAAAATAGAAAGCAAGAGTAATATCAGAGGGGCTGGAGACATGACTGATGAACAAAGAAAATGTTATTTTAGAGCCAGGAATGTCTGCATTGTTCATTCTGGACCTTATTTTGAAATTGTCATATTTTTTTAATTTTCGTGAAATTGGCCATATTGCAAATTTCTGACCATGTTATTGGGTAGTTGAAATCGGTAAATGGGCAGTTTCTAGTACTCAATCGATAGAAAAAAATGGAGTTCTAAAGAAATAGCTATGAGTTTGGTCGACTGGAACAATGGAATTAGCCGAAAATAGGGCTCAAAATGGGCGAAATCGCCGATTTGTAAATATCGCCGAGGTCGCTAACTTCGCGAGAGCATAACTCCGTCAGTTTTCCATCAAATTTCGTTTTTTTTGCTATCATTACAAACGGGAAAAGATTTTCTATCATTTCATAAGAAATTTTTTTTTTTTTTTAAATTTTGCGACACCAGGAGACACCTCAGGATTGGGGGTTGCGACAGTCAAAGGGTTAAATTACACGAGAGGAGGTCCCCCAAATTACACCACAGGAGGTCCCCCAAATTACACCACAGGAGGTCCCCCAAATTACACCACAGGAGGTTCCTAAATTACACCACAGGAGGTTCCTAAATTACACCACAGGAGGTTCCTAAATTACACCACAGGAGGTTCCTAAATTACACCACAGGAGGTCCCCAAATTACACCACAAGAGGTTTCTAAATTACACCACAGGAGGTTCCTAAATTACACTGCAGGAGGTCCCTAAATTACACCACAGGAGGTCCCTAAATTACACCACAGGAGGTCCCTAAATTGCACCACAGGAGGTCCCCCAAATTACACCACAGGAGGTTCCTAAATTACACCACAGGAGGTTCCTAAATTACACCACAGGTTAGTAAATTACACCACAGGAGGTCCCTAAATTACACAACAGGAGGTCCCTAAATTACACCACAGGAGGTCCCCCAAATTACACCACAGGAGGTTCCTAAATTACACCACAGGAGGTTCCTAAATTACACCACAGGAGGTTCCTAAATTACATCACAGGAGGTTCCTAAATTACACCACAGGAGGTTCCTAAATTACATCACAGGAGGTTCCTAAATTACACCACAGGAGGTCCCCAAATTACACCACAGGTGGTTTCTAAATTACACCACAGGAGGTTCCTAAATTACACCACAGGTGGTTCCTAAATTACACCACAGGTGGTTCCTAAATTACACCACAGGAGGTCCCTAATTACACCACAGGAGGTCCCCAAATTACACCACAGAAGGCTCCTAAATTACACCACAGAAGGTCCCTAAATTACACCACAGGAGGTTCCTAAATTACACCACAGGAGGTTCCTAAATTACACCACAGAAGGTCCCTAAATTACACCACAGAAGGTCCCTAAATTACACCACAGAAGGTCCCTAAATTACACCACAGAAGGTCCCTAAATTACACCACAGAAGGTCCCTAAATTACAACACAGAAATTACTTATCATAAGAAGAAAAGCAATATAAAGATTTTTATTCTTTTTTTGGTCACTACCTCAGCGGGAGATGGTCAATGTTAACCCTTTGACTGTTGCAGCCGTATATATACGTCTCACGAGGTACCGTGTTTGACGTATATTTACTCAAATTCTAGCGGCTTCAAATCAAGCAGAAGAAAGCTGGTAAGCCCACATGTGAGAGAATGGGTCTGTGTGGTCAGTGTGCACCATATAAAAAAAATCCTGGAGCACGCAGTGCATAATGAGAAAAAAACTGACCGTTTTTTTTAATTAAAATGCCGACTTTGTGGTCTATTTTCGTATAGTATTTATGGTTGTATTCTTGTTTTCTTGGTCTCATTTGATAGAATGGAAAACATATTATAGAAATAGAGGTGATTTTGATTGATTTTACCATAAAAAGAACCTGGAAATGGAGCTCAAATTAGGGAAAATGTTTGATTTTTGCCAATGTTCAAAAGTAAATAAATGATGTCATTGTCCAATAAATGTCCAACTAGCCATTCTAATATGCAGTCATGAATGGGTTGATGTTATTTATACAATTATTACAGTATTGCAGTAGTCTGCATAATAGTAAGTTTTCTATTTTTTGTTTGAATAAAAATTCAAAATAGAAAGCAAGAGTAATATCAGTGGCCTGGAGACATGACTGATGAACAAAGAAAATGTTATTTTAGAGCCAGGAATGTCTGCACTGTTCATTCTGGACCTTATTTTGAAATTGTCATATTTTTTAGTTTTCATGAAATTGGCCAAATTGCAAATTTCTGACCACATTATTAGGTAGTTGAAATCGGGAAATGGGCAGTTTCTTGTACTCAATCGATAGAAAAAATAGAGTTCTAAAGAAATAGCTATGAGTTTGGTCGACTGGAACAATGGAATTAGCCGAAAATAGGGCTCAAAGTGGGCGAAATCACCGATTTGTAAACAGCGCCGAGGTCACTAACTTCGCGAGAGCATAATTCCGTCAGTTTTCCATCAAATTTCGTTTTTTTTGGTGTCATTACAATCGGGAAAAGATTCTCTTATCATTTCATAAGAAAAAATATTTTTTTTTTTTTTAATTTTGCGACACCAGGAGACACCTCAGGATTGGGGGTTGCGACAGTCAAAGGGTTAAAAAAAAAAAAAGTAATGTCATCAAGGTTTGGAACATATGATATAAATGGTTAAGAGAAAAACTTCAAATACTATGGTGACAAAATCCATGAAGGAAAAGATGCCTTACCCCAAAATGAGATTAAATATTAATAATCAATTTCCAATATAAAATAGTTCATACTATATAGAGCTTTATTAAGTAAACTGAATTGATAAAGATCTACATAGAGCAAAACATTGTTACAAGTTTCCTCTACACCTGTTCCTTCCTTATTACTCTCAACATCATGTCTTCAAATCCCAACATTTCAAAAATTTATACAATGTTTTAGTCTGTGGAGTCTTAACTAGGGGTACCCATACCCCTTGGAGGTATGAAACTCCATCTCTGAACAATTTAAAAAAAAAAAATTTCTTTGTTGATTTAGAATACGATATCAGCTGTTTTGTTGTCAGCTATCCATATGTAACGTAAAACCAAGCTACTGCCTCACAAAATCGTAATAACAAGATTGCAAAAAAGCACGGGGTTTGAACCTGTGTTGAGTGGTCACAGTGAGACCCATGCCAACCTCCCAATGGTGTATAGAATGATGAATCTTATTGCAGCCAGCTGGCCCAGTGGTTAACATACTGTCTTGTAGTCTTACCACTCACTTGTCATGGGTATCAATCCCACCCATTCCATGGTTTGTTTTTCAAGTTACTGACACCTTTTGAAGTCATACTGGTACTCAATAGGACCAGTGATGATGATGATTTTGACAGTCTGGCAAAGGGGGTATGGGAAGACATTGGGAAATCCACTGGCAATCTGTAATCATAAAAAGGCTAAGTAACCCTGGTTTAGTCCATTCTCAACCATATTATGCCTCAAGTAATGGTCTGAAATGCATTTACCTCCAATTTATGGGTCAGATGTGAATTTTTTCAACCATTTTAATGTGGTCTTTATTCTTTCTTTTTATTTATTTATTTATTAATTTGAACATGATACATTGAAGTACAAAAAAATACAGTGGTTAAGTAACATGCCAAAGCCCCTTGTATGCAGAGCATTATAGGCAGGCTTAAGATTAACTAAGCAATAATATATTCAGTGGTAAACATTATTGTAAACAAATAACAATTAAGCACAAATGAGTATTTCAAAGACAGGTCATATGGTTATTTACTATGTTGCTGTACATTCAGTAGAATGGAGTATTCTGTTAGGTAATGTTATTAAAAACAACAAAGTTTAATTGGGTCACAGGCTAAACATTTATGAGATACAATTATTCAGTATTTATTTAGTTGTGGGTGAGTCAGTGATTTTTAAGTAGAGACCTGAATTTATAAACCGACAGTGTGCCTTTTATATTCACAGGTAATGAATTCCAGGTTTTTGGGCCTTTTATGTGCATTGAGTTTTTGCATAGTGTGAGATGGACACAAGGAACATCAAAGAGTGATCTGTGCCTTGTGTTATGGTCATGTGTTCTGTTGAGGTTGGTAAGGAGACGTTTGAGGGGAGGGTTTATATCCGAGTTAAGTGTTCTATGTATGTAGAAGGTACAATAATAAGTATGGATGTTTTGTATGGTGAGTAAGTTTAGAGTTTTGAATATTGGTGGAGTGTGCTGCCTGTAGTGGGAATTTGTTTTCATTCTGACTGCAGCCTTTTGTTGGGTAATTAACCCTTTCAGGGTCCGTCCCGTAGATCTACGGCTTTATGTTCAGGGTCCAAACCGTAGATCTACGCCATGAGCTCAGCTCACTCTGATAAACTGTGAGTGGTACATTTGGGCCTAGATATGAGAGAATACATCTATGTGGTATGTGTGCACCACATAAAACAGGTCCTGCAGCACACTGTGCATAATGAGAGAAAAAAAATGAAATCATGATTTTTCGATTAAAACAGCAACTTTGCAGTGTTTTTTCGTATGTTTTTTATTGTTGTATTTGCGATTTCTTGGTCTCATTTGATAGAATGGAAGACATATTACAGAAATGGAGATGATTTTGATTGGTTTTAGCATTGGAAATGGCTTGAAACTGAGCTCAAAGTAGCAGAAATGTTAAATTTTTGCCGATATTCGAGTAAACAAACGACCTCACACGTCTAATACACATCAGCTGGTGGGTCTAATATACATTCACAAATATGGTGATGATATTTATACAATTATTACAGTATTGCATAACAGTAAATCTTCTATTTTTTGGTGTGAATAAAAATTCATTATGTGAATAAAAAATCAAAATGGAATTTATTTGTAAAGCCTCAAAACATAACTAATGAACAGAGGAAATGTTAGTTTAGTGCCAGGAATGCCTACATTGTTCATTCTGGACCCTATTTTGAAATTGGAATATTTTGAACTTTGTGTTAAATTGGCCAAATTAACAATTTCCGATCACTTTATTTTGTAGTTGAAACAGTTGACTTGGCGATTTCTTGTGCTCAATCGATAGAATAGAAGTAATACTAGTGAAATAGCTAAGAATTTGGTTGATTGGAATAATGTAACTGGCCTAAAATGGGAGTCAAAGTCGGCAAAATCGCCGATTCGTAAATATCGCTGACACATCAAAATTCGCGAGAGCATAATTTCGTCAATTTTCCACCAATTTTCGTACTTTTTGTTTTATTACCTTCACAAAAAGATTCTCTACGATTTCATAAGAAAAAATAACAAATTTTTTTTTTGAAATATCTTGGACACTGGTGCGTGACTCCAGATTTGGGCCTTGGACCCTGAAAGGGTTAATGGTCTGAGATGGTTAATTGTTGTTGAGCCCAATGCACAAATTCCATAGGTGAGATAGGGGTAATTAAGTGAGTGATATAGGGCCAGGAGGGCTGACTGTGGAACACAGTACCGTATCTTCGATAGTATGCCTACGGTCTTGGAAATTTTCTTGGAAATTTGTTGTATGTGTGTTTGAAATTTGAGTCTATTAACAAGGTGGATTCCTAAGAATTTTCCCTCTGTGAGCTTTGTGATAGGTGATCCGTTTATCATTATGTTAAGAGGGACATCTGTAGCTCTGTTACCAAATTGAATGAAGTAGGTTTTGTCAATGTTGAGAGTAAGTTTGTTAGTCCTCATCCAGGTAGATATTTTCTGTAATTCGGTATTCACAGTATTGGCGAGCATGACTGGGCTCGGGTGAGAGAAGACGTATGTACTGTCATCTGCAAATAGTGTGGGTTTGAGTAGTTGCGATGCATTTGGTAGGTCATTTATGTAAACGAGAAAGAGAAGAGGGCCAAGGACACTTCCCTGTGGGGCACCAACTGTAATTGGCTGTGCAGAAGAGTTTGCTCCATTTGTGTACACATATTGGCTTCTGTTGCTGAGGTATGACTTTAGGTAGTTGAGGGAGTGCCCTCTTATACCATAGTGCGACAATTTTGTGTGGAGCAAGTCATGGTCAACTGTATCAAAAGCTTTATATAAATCAATGAAGATCCCCAGTGGGACTTCTTTTTTCTCTAGTGTAGTGTATATTTGTTCTAGCATGTGTATAATAGCATCATTCGTATTTTTATTAGGCCTGAACCCAAACTGACGGGTTGAGTATGTTGTGGGAGATTCATTTTTCGAAGATTTTGGAGAGAGGGTGTAAGTTGGATATTGGCCTATAGTCATTCAAGTCTGTTTGGTCTCCTTTATGGATCAGGGTGACCAGCTGTATCCCACCAAGGAAGGGTAACCCCTAAAAGAAATATCACTTTCACTATCATTCATTCCATCAGTCTTGTCAGAAGGGCACCGATACTACAGTTCAAAACTGAAAATATCCCCACCCCTCCTTCAGAGTGCAGGCACTGTTCATCCTACGACCATCACAAGAGACAGTATCATACCTGGTTCATGATTCACTGGTACCCTAAGAGACAACATCTGCTCTACAATTTCCACTCGTGCACGCTCCTCTTCCTGGGCTGTTTCAGATCCTGTTCTTGATCTTTCTTGAGATTCTGAGGGAAAAAAATTAATATTTCTAAAAGCAATTAATGAAATGGCTAAAAATAAGTTGGTCTTTTTACTTAACATTTAAATCTCACAAGGGTAAAAAAAAAAAAAATTGCAGAATTTCTTTTCATTGGGCCTCTAACTGAGGGTTGAGTTTTGTCAGCTTATTACTTGCTAAGAAATTACCACGATAATCCGAGAGAATGCATGTGTTGTACTACAGGTGCTCCTTGATTTATGATGGGGTTACATTCCAATGAACCCATTGTAAGTCAAATATAATTTTTCTCCCAAACATGCCAGCTGTCTCCAAGGCAGGGTGATCCCCAAAAAAAGAAAGAAACACTTTCACCATCATTCACACAATCACTGCCTTCGCAGAGGTGCCCATATACGACAGTTTAGATGTCACTCCAAATGGCCAATATCCCAAATATGAATACGATACATAAATAAATAACTACTGTCACTGAATAAGTAAATAAACAAATAATTACTATAACTAAATACAAAGTGGGAAGTCTGAATGTGCGTGGATGTTGTGCAAATGATAAGAAAGAGATGATTGAGGATGTTATGAATGAGAAGAAGCTGGATGTCCTGGCTTTATGTGAAACAAAGCTGAAGGGGGTGGGAGAGTTTCAATGGAGAGGAATAAATGGGATTAGGTCAGGGGTTTCAAACAGAGTTACAGCTAAAGAAGGAGTAGCAATAATGTTGAAGGATAAGCTATAGCAGGAAAAGAGGGACTATAAATGTATAAATTCAAGGATTATGTGGAGTAAAATAAAGATTGGATGTGAAAAGTGGGTTATAATAAGCATGTATGCACCTGGAGAAGAGAGAAGTGTAGAGGAGAGAGAGAGATTTTGGGGAAATGTTGAGTGAATGCGTGGGGAGTTTTGAATCAAGTGTGAGAGTAATGGTGGTTGGGGATTTCAATGCTAAAGTGGGTAAAAATGTTATGGAGGGAGTAGTAGGTAAATTTGGTGTGCCAGGGGTAAATGTAAATGGGGAGCCTTTAATTGAGCTATGTGTAGAAAGAAATTTGGTAATAAGTAATACATATTTCATGAAAAAGAGGATAAATAAATATACAAGGTATGATGTAGCACGTAATGAAAGTAGTTTTGTTAGATTATGTATTGGTGGATAAAGGTTGATGGGTAGGCTCCAGGATGTACATGTTTATAGAGGGGCAACTGATATATCGGATCATTATTTAGTTGTAGCTACAGTTAGAGTAAGAGATAGATGGGAAAAGAGGAAGGTGGCAACAACAAGTAAGAGGGAGGTGAAAGTGTATAAACTAAGGGAAGAGAAAGTTCGGGTGAGATATAAGCGACTATTGTCAGAAAGGTGGGCTAGTGCAAAGATGAGTAGTGGGGGGTTGAAGAGGGTTGGAATAGTTTTAAAAATGCAGTATTAGAATGTGGAGCAGAAGTTTGTGGTTATAGGAGGGTGGGAGCAGGAGGAAAGAGGAGTGATTGGTGGATTGATGAAGTAAAGGGTGTGATAAAAGAGAAAAAGGTAGCTTATGAGAGGTTTTTACAAAGCAGAAGTGTTATAAGAAGAGCAGAGTACAGGGGACCCCCGCTTAACGATCACCTCCAAATGCGACCAATTATTAAGTGTATTTGTAAGTGGTTTTTTTTATTTGTAGTTTGGGGTCTAAAAGGGCTAATCTACTTCACAATATTCCTTAGGGAAAAAAAATTCGGTCATACGCACCTGAACATACTACTGAATGAAAAAATTTCTTTAAACCGGGGGTCCTCTGTATATGGAGATAAAAGAAAGGTAAAGAAAGTGGTGGAAGTGAAAAAGGAGAGCAGATAAAAGAGGGGGAAAGGGGCACGGTCAAAAAAATTTTAATGAAAATAAAAAAAAAATTTTGGGTTAAAAAAATTAAGAAAGCCTGGGGAAAGATGGTTTTTTCAGTTAAAAACAGAGTGGGGGAGTCAGTAGAGGGGGAGAGGGGGATTGGGGAAATGGCAAAATTTTTGAGGAACTTTTAAATGTTGAAAAAAAAGGGAGGCGAAATTTCAGCACGGCCAGGGGAAAAATACTATTTTTTAGGAGTGAAGAAGACAGAATGTAAGTGTGGGGGAGGAACAAAGGGCATTACTAGAATGAAAGGGGGGAAAACAGCTGGAACTGAGGGGTCATACAGAAAGTTAAAAGCGGGGGGGGAAAGGTTGGAGGGGTTTGGGTACTTTGTTTAATAAATGTATAAAAGGGGGGAAGGGTACCTGGGGTTTGGGCAAGAGCCGTAAGCCCCCTTTATAAAAGGTAAAGGGGACAAAACATTTTGTAAAAATTATAGGGGAAAAAGTTACTGAGTATACCGGAAAAGTGTACAGTGGGGGTTATAATTGAAAAATTAGGGGTAAACAGAATGCAGGAGGGCAGATAGCAAGGGGGTTTTTCAGAGTGGTGGGGAATTTAGTCAAGTTTTTACTTTGAAGCATATATGTAACATATTAGAAAAAAGTGGGGAAGTTTTTTTTAAATTTTTATGGATTTAAAAAGCATATGATAAGGGGATAGAGGAGCAATTGGCAGAGTTAAAAGTATATGGAATAGTGGTAATTTAACTAAATCGGGTAAAGAGTTTTTATGAGGAAACATATAATGAACAGTATTTAATAAGGCTAAAGAGGTTTTGTGGCTTTTAGGGTTTTGGAAAAGGCGTATGACAGGGTGGATGGGGGGGGCAAGTGGCAGATGTTGCAGGTGTATGGTGTAGGAGGTAGGTTACTGAAAGCAAAAAATTTTTTTTACGAGGATATGGGGCCAAGTTAGAGATGAGGAAAGGGAAAATTTATTTCCCAGTAAAAAAGGCCTAACAAGGGTGTGATGTCACCGTGTTGTTTAATATATTTATAGAGGGGTTGTAAGAAAAGTAAATGTGGGGGTTTTGGCAAGAGGCGGGATTAAAAGATAAAGAATCACACAAAGTGGGAGTTTTAAAGTTGCTCTTTGCTGATACACTGTCCCTTTTTGGAGATTCTGAAGAGAAGTTGCAGAGATTGGTGGATAAATTTTGGGAGTGGTGCAAAAAAAGAAAATTAAAAATGAATAAGGAAAGAGTAAGGTAATGAGAAACAAAAAGATTGGTGATAAGTTTGGGATACAGATTGGAGGGAAGAGTAGGAGGGGGTGAATGTATTCAGATATTTGGGAGTGGGCATGTCAGCGGATTGGTCTATGAAAATGAGGGGGAAACAAGAATTGATGAGGGGAAAAAAAGGGGGAGTGGTCACTTAGGGGTCTGGGAGACAAAGAACTTTTCCCTTGGGGGCAAAGAGGGGAAAATATGGGTATATTTTTTCCCCAAAGCTCTTTTATGGGGGTGAAGCAGGGGGATAATGTTGCGCAAAGAGAAGGCTGGAAAGGGAGGGAGATGTCATGTCTGAGGGCAATGTTGGGGTGAATATAATGCAGAGAATTTATAGTTTGGAATTAGGAGGGGTCGGATTCCAAAACGTTCCAGAGGGGTGAGGAGGGGTTTTTGAGGGGGTTTTGACAGTAGAGAGAATGGAGCAAACAGATGACTTCAAGAGTGTATCAGTCTTATGGGGAAAGGGAAGGCGGGGGAGGGGGTGGGCCCAGAATGGTTGGAGGGGGGGGGTAAAGGGGCTTTGTGTGCGAGGGGGTTGGGCTCCAGCAGGGATGCGTAGCATGTTTTTATAGGGGTGAAAGGAACAAATGGTTTTTTAATACTTTTCGCGCTGTTGGGGTGTGAGCAAAGTAACATTTATGAAGGGGGTTTAGGGGAAAACCGCAGGCCGGGCTTGAGTCCCCGGAGATGGGAAGTACATGCCTGCACTCTGAAGGAGGGGGTTAAGTTGCAGTTAAAAACGCAGTGTTTAAAACACCTTTGGCAAACAGTGATGGATGAAAATGGGGAAAGTTTTTCTTTTTTAGGCCCCCCACCCGGTGGGAAAAGCCACTTTATAAAAAAAATAAATAAATGAGGGTCATTGTGAGGGGAAAAGTTTAATAGATAGGATAGAGAGGGGGTATATGTAACAATAGTTTTTATTGCCGGGTACTTATTAAGGGAGGGGAAGTCAAGCTCCGCCTTTTTTCCCCACCCCAAATGATAGTTTTACTGCCGGCTGCTTGAAAATAGGGGCCCCTCACCCCCACCCTTCCCCTCCTTTTTCCCCCCCCCCCCCAAAAAGGTGACGTGGGGGGCCCCCCGCCCAAACAAAATCACTAGACTCGCATTTTCCCGGGGGACTACTGTAAGTACTTTCCCTCCTTGTTTTCCCTTAGTGATTTTTTGGGTTTTGAAAGTTTCCACTTTTGACCAATAAAAAATTTATTTCCTTTTTCAGCTTGCTCGGTTGACTGTTGTAAAAATTTCACCACATTTTTTGGGTATTGTTTTTTTTAAACAGGGAGAGTGATTTCTTAAGCAGGGGGAAAAACCTGTCTTTTTTTCCAGTTTGGGAAATGACAGGGGAGGGTCACCGCCAATCAACGAGCAAACTGATGGAGATGGACTAACGTCCTGAGATTTCCCCTTTTTTGGGAATTTAATTCCCCTTGGAAACCTGTATGAAATTGCAGACAAAACCCCTCATCATTGCAGCGGTAAAAAAAACCTCCCTTCCCGTCATCAAAATTGAATACTAAAGGGCAAACCCTGTGAAGAACTACCCCGGGTTGGTTGAAAAACCAAACACCTGAAACCCCCCCCCCCCATCATGGGCAACGGCTACGTTTCCCAAACAAGCAGTGTCCCCAACCCAGCCCAACCCCAATTTTTAAAAAATTAGTTTTGAATTATTTATCATTTATTTTTCATTTTCTTTAAGGGAAAGGAAAAAAATTTTTTTTCATATTTAAGTGTTTTATTTTTTTAATATTTTCTATTTAAAAAAGTGTTTTTATGTTTGTCTATTATTATTTTTTTTCTATTCTTTAAAATTTTTCCTAAAAGGGACCCACCCGGGGGTAATACTGTCTGAATTTGTTTACGGGGCTGGGGTAA